GACGACTTTGCTCAGTACCTTTCTTCTGGATGTGCTTCTCACGCTGTTGGATTGAGTGTTCCTTCTCTTTTCTTTTGCACTAGCATTCCATGCCTACGGAACAGCAGGCAAGATGCTGGTGGAGACCAGGTAAACCCAGCCCTGCTGCACTCCTCCCTCCCCCTTGCCCAGACACCGGGAACCCTCCCCGCGGGAGCGAGACTTTCATTCCCGGATTCACCTATAACTTAGGTTTCTCAAGAGTCACTAAATACACAAAATTCCAATTTAAGGTACCTTTCAGTGTTGCAAGAAAAATTTAGATATGGAAAACTCCAAGAACATGGAAAATAGGCCTCCCTCACTGTAGTTAATCTCTCCACAGAGTTCTATACGCTGCCCCTGCCCCCAACACTGCTGCATAAAGGTGGTGTTCCATCGCAAATATCATACTTTTCTTCCTTTGGAGTAAAATTTCATGAGATGAAAAAATTTATGAGATCAGAAAATTGCTGAGAGATTACACTTCTAAGCTTCTAGATTAGGAAATTGTAAACTCAAAAGAGCTGTTTTTGAAAGCAGTTGATTGCTCTTTTAACTTGACTAACATCGTAGGGCTTTTTTTTTTTTTTTTTTTGAGATGGCATTTTGCTTTTGTTGCCCAGGCTCGAGTGCAGTGGCGTGATCTTGGTTCACTGCAACCTCCTAGGTTCAAGTGATTCTCATGCCTCAGCCTCTCCCAAGTAGCTGAGATTACAGGTGTCTGGCACCACGCCTGGCTAAATTTTGTATTTTTAGTAGAGTCGGGGTTTGGCCACGTTGGCCAGTGTGGTTTTGAACTCCTGACCTCAGGTGATCTGCCTGCCTTGCCCTCCCAAAGTGCTGAGATTACACTCATGAGGCCACTGCGCACGGCCCATCATGGGGCATTTTTGGAACACCTTAAAGAACATTTAGAGCCTCCATGGAGGGATGAGTATAATACCACATCGAGAAAAGTTGAGTGTTGTTCAGTGTGCATTCCAAGGGACATAGTGAGTACCACAGAACCTGCCCATGCCCTGTGAACCGTGGCTTGTCTGAAATCATATCTGTCATTCATTCCAGCCTTGGGCTGGGCCTGGGCAGCAGCGCAGGTGCTATGCCAGCTCTCCCTGATGGCATTTCCTGCGCCCTCTGCCCTGCAGCATGATTGGGCTGATGCTGGGCACCTGTGTTGCCTTCTACGTCGTCATCGGCGATTTGGGGGCCAACTTCTTCGCCCGGCTGTTTGGGTTTCAGGTAAGGATGTGTTCAGGGTTCTGGGTTGTTGAGATGCTGACGGCTTTTCTGAGGTCCTCCGTGGGATCTTGCCAGGGACCGAGACCAGGGCGCTGGTCGGGAGAAGCTTCTGTCAAGCCCACCCTCAGTCCAGGGTCTTGGGGGAGTGTGGGGGCTTTGCTGGGGTCACAACTGTGAGAGGTTTGGGGGAGGAAGCCAGCCAGGCAGAGTCTGACACTATGTGGATGAGGGCTGGGTGGGGGAGCCTCAGACCCTGGCACCTTGCAGAGCAAGTCTGTGCCAGCCCAGGCTGCCCATTGGAGGGCAGAGGTGGCTAGGCCCTTGTGCATCCCTGGCTTCTGTGGTCACCCAGGCTGCTGGGTGGATCCAGAGGCTCTGCTGCTGGGGGCTGTGGATTCAGCACTTCTTGCGGGGACCTTAGTGTGGCCTCCTCCATGCTTTTCCCCCGCCATGGAGAGGCCACCCGATGGACAGGGAGAGACACACCTGTCCCTCCCTGCCGGGAAGCAGAGCCCCTTGCTAGGTGAGCGGGCATCGTGGCAGTTAGGGTGCTAATGGTGTAGAAAGGCTTTCAAAGGCCACAGCCGAGGCAGGGGTGTCCTCTCCAGGAGTGGATCTGCTCCGCGTCATAGAACATTCCAAGAAGCGTCCAGGGAGCCAGGCCCCCTTGTCTTCTTCTGAGAGTCTCCCTGTTGGACCTCCCATTTTCTGTGCTTCGCCTTGACCTCAGTAGAGCTTCAGGCCTGCCCTGTCCATACAGCACTCTGTACCTTTTCCACCCACCGCCCAGGGCCGCTGACTCTGACCCGCAGCTGCTGTGTTACGGTAGTGTTGCCTCCCGAGTTACGGGGCTACTGTCCTCTGCTCTGGCTGGTCTTGCTCTGGGCTGGGCTGGGCTCTAGGGAAGGGAAATGCTCAGTGTCCAAGGTTGCACAGCATGGCGGCTGTGAGAGCAGCTTCCTGGTGAGCGTGCCAGCCTCGGCCCGCCGGCATCATTTATCCGGATGCCGTTGGCTTTTGAGCTCAGGGCACTCCACTCCCTGGCAGTGCAGAGAGCCGTGTGGTGAGCAGGCCCGGACCTTGGCCAAGGCCCCTCCCGGCTCCCCACAGGTGGGCGGCACCTTCCGCACGTTCTTGCTGTTTGCGGTGTCGCTGTGCATCGTGCTCCCACTCAGCCTGCAGCGGAACATGATGGCCTCCATCCAGTCCTTCAGCGCCATGGCCCTCCTCTTCTACACTGTGTTCATGTTCGTGGTGAGTCTGCAGTGCTCGCGGGTGCCCACTGAAAAGCTGCTCCTAGCAGCAGGGCTGTGCCCAGGTCTGGAGTGGCTGCTCCTGGGAATGTGTTGGAATGAGCAGGATATGCCATGAGGTGCCATTCATCTCAAGGCCACTGGGCACCACGGGGCAGACGGGGCTGGGTGGACCCAGATACGGATGGCTGGCAGGAGAGTCTGAGGCTCAGGGCAGGGTGGCTGTGAAGCTGGTTTCACGTCATCCACACAAGGAGAAGGGAACACCAAGCCCACTTGCTTTGTGTAGAGATGTCTGAGGTAGGTAGGTAGAGATGTCTGAGATGACCAAGGCTCACAGTGCCAGTGTTGCAATGCAAGGTGGCAAACCATTGCTTTTCTAAATGAGAATTGATAACAGGATGGACCAGAAGCCAGCTGTGAACAGAAAACTTCCCAGAGCCCCCAGTGCATCATCCATTCTCTGCCTGGGACCTGCCCATAGGAGCCCCAGGACCCGAGCTCCTGGGACCTGCCAATTCCCTGGCAAGGTCAGAAAGGACCCTTCTGGAGTGGCTGGAACCTGAGTTTGCACTGGGTTTACACCCAGAACCTGGGTTTGCAGCGGGTTTGCACCTGGACGAGGGCAGGTGGTCACTGAAGCCAGGGTCTCCAGTGCTCCTCAGCTCTCCCAGCGAGGCCTAGCCCAGTGGCAGCACCTCCTTACTCGAGATAGCCGTGTCCTTGGTGGGCCAGTCTTTTGGAAGACGTCCGTGTCTGGCACAGTACAGGATGGAGAGGGACCTGGGCGTGTGGGAAACCGCCCTCTGTAACTGACGGAAACTGGGGCCGTGTGCGCTCAGTGGTCTCCCTCCATCTGTGCTAAGCTGCCCCCTTGTCAGATCAACTGTTCTGCTAACTGAAGGATAAACCAGGGTGCTCTGAGGCAGGGGCAGGAATTCAGAAATGCTCGAGGTCTCACTGCCTCCAGCTGGCAGCACAGGGTGGCGGGGGCTGGGTTGTGGGTGGGAAGAGCTGAACTCTCCTACTCCTTCCCAGCAGGATGCTGAGTCCCACCTGCATTCTGACCTGCCCTGTGCTCTCTCCCCGCTCCCCTGCAGATTGTGCTCTCCTCTCTCAAGCATGGCCTCTTCAGCGGGCAGTGGCTGCGGCGGGTCAGCTATGTCCGCTGGGAGGGCGTCTTCCGCTGCATCCCCATCTTCGGCATGTCCTTTGCCTGCCAGTCGTAAGTGTCCCGCTGTGGCCCCTGCTGGAGGTGGGTTTTGTTGGGTGGAGGGCAAGCTGCTGGGAGACGGGACCCTCTGTCTTTTTCATTTCCTGTGATGGCTCTTTGCTGGCTGCTGAAGTGTTGTCTTGCTCAGCAATGACCTTTCCCCCTCCAGGTTTGGGGAGATGGTTATATTTTAATCGGGAGGTAAACCGGCTTCCTTCCTGGGATGTGTTGGGGGCTAGCTGGTGGGAGTCCCTGGTTTGCCAGATCCCCACAAGCAGAACGTTGGCTGTGGGGGATACAGCAACAGCCCTGCCATCTGATGGCACAGTCCCAAGCGTTGTGCCAGGATTGAGCTGTTCTGAGAATATTTAAAAGGAAATTGCACAAACATTGACTTCAGACGGCTGCTGGATGCATTGGGAGGCTGCATGTGTGCGTGAGCCTGCTTCTCTGGCACACAGTGCTCTGTAAATGCAGATCGGGCTCTCCCATAATTCCAGCAGCATTACCTTCTCCACCGAAATGACAAGAGTGGGTGATTCATGCCCGGTTGGAACATGATAACCGGCTGAAAAGAGAGGCGTAAATCCGGCGCGGACGGGAAAAGATCATCAGTGTGCGGGGGGCTGGCAGAGCGGCCCTGTCGTGTTAGTGGGCATGCACTGAGCCAATCGTAAACTAATGTGACAGATGAAATTTGTTCATACTGCTGTGTTTACACCCACACGCGAGATCCAAATCGTCATTTCCCACTTAGCATCTCTCTTGGCAGCTCTGTCTCCACCAGAACGCACCCCAGTCTTACTGTTTAATAACCATTATGATCAGTGACAGAAGCTGCATTCTTCCACCATGTACCTAGTTACCAGTTGCCCTTTGTGTCTGCTTGTTTGCATTTGTAGAAATACATCTGCAGCTGGTTTTTTGGTGGTAACCACATAGTAGCCAGTGCGTATCGGTTGGGTTTGCTTCCGGAGTCAGGTGCTGGGTTCTGAAGCACTGGAGTGTGCGACCTGCTAAATTCAGGTTTCCTTCTGCCCTCCCCCAGGGCGTGCAGATCCACGGATTCACCCCATGTTCTCTGGAGCAGGGACGCCCCGCCAAGTGCAGGTTTCCTTCTGCCCTCCCCCAGGGCATGCAGATCCACGGATTCACCCCACGTTCTCCGGAACAGGGATGCCCCTCCCTGTGGTGTCTGCTGCATTGACCTCCCCATCCCTGAACCCAGGAATGTTTGCTGAGAGCAGACAGCTATTCCCTCCCACAGCGTCACTGCACCAGAGTGCCTGTCTGCTGGGGTGGCCGGCCATGCCCCCACCTGTGTGATTGGTCTGGATGCCAGCTGGGGCCAGGCCTCTTCTGTGCCTTCACTATCTGGTCCTTTCTGGTAAATGTACACCTGGTTATGCAGAATGGTTGTTCTAGGCCCAGAGAAGTGGCTGCAGCAGGACTGAGCCCAGGAGGCCCTGGAGGGCAGGGTCTGTCTGGAGACCAGGGTCCCCATCCTCACCATGGGGCAGAGGGGCACACTCCCGAGAACTGCACACAGATGGCTACACTGACTCTGAAAGGCCCTGAGCCTCAGAGGCTGCCTCACAAGGTGGACGGGCCAGGGATGCTCTGTGGGCCACGGGCCGGTGCTCAGCACCTCCCCCATCTGTCAAGCTCCTTTGCAGGTGACCAGGAGGTTTGGTGGCTTCTACCTTGTTTCTTTCCAGGGATGATCCTGGGGGTCCCTGGGGTAGGTGGTCAGGATTGGAGAGAAGCCTGGGGCTGGGCCTTCCACCCTGGCCATGCCACGTGCCTGGGACATCCCTTCCCACAGTATCCATGGCTTCCTTGGGGGGTCACTCCTGGCAGTGTTTGTTTGGGCCTGGGGGGAAGCGTGTGTCATGGTTCTCCAGTGCTGGTGTCCGAAAGCTGAGACCCTCTTTGTGGACTCAGCTCGGGCTAGAGGATAGTTTAGCACCGGGAAGTTCATGCTGCAACATGGCCTTCTCTTGGAGCTGTGGGTCTGGGGCCATGGAGACCTCTCAGGTATTTTCCTGCTTCTCAGCCAGCCTCCTGGGGCTGTGTGCACAAGTGTTGGACTCCTGCAGAGTCCCCTGAGTGCTGCTGATGGCACTTCATGCCGAGGGCAGCCTGATGGGACGGTGCACTAGGACCGGGCAACAGGACACCGACAGTTGCTGGCAGGGCCTTCTCACTTGGCCTTGTCAGTCTGCTGGGTACCTTTTCTTTTTGTTGGAGATGGGGTCTAGCTCCGTCACCTAAGCTTAAGTGCAGTGATACGATCACGGCCCACTGCAGCCTCAACCTCCTGGGCTCCAGTGATCCTCCTGCCTCAGCCTCCCAAAGTACTGCTATTCAGGCATCGGCCACTGTGCCTGGACTGGTTTGTTTTTTAACAAAGTCAGGACGTCTTGTTTTTCTTTCACTTTCTTCAAGGTGAAAGTGATTTGGCTCCGCCAGCTGCTGTGCTGATCCATTTACTGGCTGCTGGCTTTCTGCCCTTCCCCTGGCCCACCCAGCTTCTTTTGTGTCCTTGAGCCCCTGCCCCAGGACGGCCATGGCCACGGCCACCGAATACCCTCGGAGCGGCCCCCTGGATGCCCCACTCCAACGTCTTTGTTTAGTTTCTGGCAGAGTGGCTCTCACCTGTGCTCTGGGGTGAACTGCCTGGCCCAGCTCCGTCCTCCTCGGCTGCACACGGATAGTCCGTGGCCCCAGCCTCTCCCATCTCGCCCACCCCTCTCCAGGGGCCCAGGTCCCCATGCACATCTGTTGGTTGGGTCTGTGCCTGTGCAGGGCTGTTACGTCCTGGCTTGGCCAGTGGCTTGGGTCTCTCCCATCCCCAGCAGCACCACGCTCCTGGCAGCAGGCTGTCGGACCGAAGCCAGTTTTCTCATCACACAAGTGAGTGGCTGCAGCGGGAAGCAAGCCCTGGGCCATCTCCTTATCCGTGCCCGACTCTGATCCCGCCTGTGCAGAGGCGCTGAGATGGGCCGGCCGCCTGGGCCATGGTGTGTTTGTTTAACTTTAACTCCTGACAGCGATTCTCTTAACAGTTTCCTCCCGCTGCTTCCCCTGTAAACTAGCTGCGTTGACTGTCAGTGCCCCCTTGCTGGCGTGGAGCAGCAGCCTGGTGTCTTGGAGCCTGCAGGAATGTTCGCAGGTCACATGCTCTGGGGGTGTCCTGAGTGGACAACACATGCTCTGGGGGTGCCCTGCGTGGACAGCACACGCTCTAGGGGTGTCCTGGTGGACGGCACACGCTCTGGGGGTGTCCTGCGTGGACGGCGCACGCTCTGGGGGTATCCTGCGTGGACGGCGCACGCTCTGGCGGTGTCCTGCGTGGATGGCGCATGCTCTGGGGGTGTTCTGCGTGGGGGCCACTGCAGTGCTTCTGTCCTCAGCAACACGACATCCTGGCCTGAGCGCCAGGACTCAGTGTTTGCGGAATGTTGCGTGAAGGAAGGACAGAGGCTCCTGGCAGGTCCTGGGGACCTGGGGCCTCTGGGGAATGCGTGCTTCTCTCGGGTCCACTGTAAAATGACCTGTTTTTATATAGCCAGGTGCTGCCCACCTACGACAGCCTGGATGAGCCATCGGTGAAAACCATGAGCTCCATATTTGCCTCCTCCCTCAACGTGGTCACCACCTTCTACGTCATGGTAAGAGCCTCACCACGCCCTCTCCACACCTGTGTCATGCCAGTGTGATGTGCCGTGCTGCCCTGTGGGACTGCCTCAGGCATGCCCCTGGCCCTGTGTGCTGCCAGCTCCTTCTCTCTGTTCTCATCCCAGTGTCTGGAGGCTGTGTGGGGACCTGGGACAGCTCCATCAGCTTCCATCATTCCAGGACCAGCCCTATAGGCCCGGGTCCACCCTGGGCCAGGAAACTCTCCTGCCCTGAGGAGCCTAGCACCAGGGCTGCTCCCAGAATGCTTCATCCCAGCCACTCTCACTGTCTCTCTAGACCTCTGTTAATTCTCTATAGAAATGGCATGTTTCCTACAGAAAGTGGAGACTTTAAGAAGGAGGCTGAATGGTGCTTGGCCCCTGGAAGGCCGTCTCTTACAGAGCTTCACTGTGAAGTGGATTGAAGGCCATTCTTGGGGGCAGGGCGTATGTTCTGTCCACTGTGACAGGGTCCACACAGACTGGGAAGTCTGTCTGCCACGCTACCCTTTCTCTTCCTCCAACAGGTGGGATTTTTCGGTTACGTCAGCTTCACCGAGGCCACAGCCGGCAATGTGCTGATGCACTTCCCCTCCAACCTGGTGACGGAGATGCTCCGTTTGGGCTTCATGATGTCAGTGGCTGTGGGCTTCCCCATGATGATCCTGCCATGCCGGCAGGCGCTGAGCACGCTGCTGTGTGAGCAACAGGTGAGACTCCCAGCGCTCTCTCCCAATTGCGATAGCACAGGCCAAGCTTGCTTCCCATGAGATCCCAGCTGTCCCGAACTAGAGACAGAGCAGGAAAGTGGGGATTTGCTTCAGAGGAGTCCTGCGAGGGTGGAAGTTGGGGGTGCCTGCAGGAACCAGATTGATGGGCAGGAGCTGATAATGGCGAGTCTGGAGATTCGCACTTGGAGTTCACTGCACAGTTCTCATTACTTTTGTGTAACTTTGAAAAAATTTAACAATGTAACGAAAGGTTTTTGAATCATAAGAGAGGCTGAGTTTGATGCAGGCCATAGTGGTGGTGCCTTTGGTCCCAGCTCCTCGGGAGGCTGAGGTGAGAGGGAGGCTGAGGTGAGAGGATCGCATGAGTCCAGGAAGTTGAGGCTGCGTGTGATTGCATCACTACACTCCAGCAGAGGCAACAGAGCAAGACCTTGTCTTTAAACAAATTTTAAAACTAGGCTGGGTGTGGTAGCTCACGCTTGTAATCCCAGCACTTTAGGAGGGTGAGGTGGGAGGATTGCTTAAGCCCAGGAGTTCGAGACCAGCCTGGGCAACATCGTTTGCCCCATCTCTACAAAAAATTAACAAAAATTAGCCAGGGATGGCTGTGCATGCCTGTAGTCCCAGCTACTTTGGAGGCTGAGGCAGGAGATCACTTGAACCAAGAGTTCAAGGCTGCAGTGCACTGTAACCCTCCATCATATTCCAGCCTGGGCTACAAAGCGAGTCCCTGTCTCTAAAAAAGAAAGAAAGAAAAATAAAAAGTGAGGCTGGGTTTTTTACTTTAACGTATGTAGGCAAGGCAGGCACTTAGTTCTTGATAAGAAATTTTCAACTGTAGGCGGAAACCAGGAGGCTGTCCTGGTTCTCTCTGTGGCAGAGTTAACCATGGAAGGCATGCTGTGCTGTCTTGCACCCTTAGGATGGGGTGCAGTATTGGGGGAGCACTGCCCCATCCAGGTTCCCCACCTGCCTCCTCTCGGGAGCTCTGCCAGGTGGCCCATCCTCTTCTGTCCCGCAGCCTGAGATCTGTGAGCCTGGTCTGTCCCGTCAGCTGGGACTCCGAGTGGCTAGAGGCACAAGTTCCTTTTGAACTGTTTCAGCCAAGGCAGATGGAGTGGTCTCAGAGGACCCAGGGGAGAGTCCATCAGTCACGGTGGGGGTGGTTGGTCTCCCTGAGCCTTGGGAGCAGCAGCACAGGCTCACTTTCCATGTGGCCAGGTGCATGGTCACTACAGCCTGGTGACACTCATCTGCCTCCTGCGGACTTTCTCCAACCACGTGCCTTTGGCTTTGCAGCAGTGGAGCAGTGGCCAAGCACCAAGGACTGGGCGCCTCCCCCACGCACTGGGGCTCCTCTCTTCTGAAGAATTCAGGCACCTAGGCACGGGTGAGGCAGGATTGAGGAGGCAAGGGCAGAGCCCATCATCTGGCCATGGGGTCCCCCTGCTCTTCCGGCCAGGCCAACTTTCACTGTTTGATGTTTTGTACCTGAGCAGCATCTGTATTTCTGTACATGACCCATTTTTACCTTGTTAAAAAGTTGACAGTGGCACGAAAGGTATTGTGAGTCAAGTAGGAGAGCTCACGCACATCCCTTCACCCCAGTGAGCACCTGGCCGTGTGTTTCCTCCATCAGCGCTCGTGGCTTCTCTTTTCCCCAAGGTGCAGCGGCAGCCATTGCACCTGCTTTCTTGACTTCGGCCGATGTGCTGTGAACGTTTCTCCACGGTTCCTAGAAGCCTGCAGGGGCTCTGTTCCCTTGCTTCTCCACCTCTTGTGGGGGCCTGGGCACACTGCTCCATCACCTTTGACCTCTCGTGGATAACTGTCTCACGACAGTCTTCGTGCTAAAGTCCCCTCTCCCCTTTTCTGGTCTGTGTGATAGGCAAATTTCCTCTTGCGTGATGGACCTAACCCCTCACCTCCCTGGCCTGTATATACATTATCGCCCTAAGGCCCATAGGAAATTCTGGCTCCAGCTCCCGAAATCCATCCTGTGTAAAAGTCCATTCTGAAAATGGGATGCTTCGAAACTGCAGTTCTAGAAAGTTCTGCAGTTGTTTCCTAGCCCAGGGATAGTCATCATGGTCAGCCCGTTCTGTGTGTTAACTCATCTGGTCCTTACCATGACTGGATGAGGAGATGCTTCTGTTGACAGATGAGGAAACTGAGGCACAGAGGTCAAGTCACTTGTCCAAGGCACCAAGCTGGGGCTGGTGAGTGGCAAAGCAAGGATTTGAGACAGGCAGTCTGGCTCCTGCGTCCTGTACTAGACCACAGCCTGGGGCTCTGGGGCAGGTGGGGTTGAGGCCACCTACCCTTGGCTCTGCCGCATACTCCCTGTGCAGGGCAGTAGAGGCCTGGCTGCACCCTGGAGCCGAAACAGGCACTTGTATTTGGTGACACTTCATCATGCCCTTCTCCTCTTCTTTTTCTGGACCTTGAAACTGCTCACTGCTTGTTGCACATCTGCTGGAGATGATGATGACACAGCCATGCATATGTGTGAGTGTGAGTGACTGTGTGTGCGTGTGGGGGTTCTGCCTGCACCCTGAGACCTGCAGGCCAGGGGAGGCCTAGAGTCATTTGGCAGGGGCAGTGCTGTGCAGCCTATACTCTGCTCTCCATACTTCCAGGCACTTAAAAAACTCTCTTGTGGCATCGCTCTAAAAGCAAAAACGAAAACGGAAGGACTCATTACTCGCATTTCAGAATGAGGTTGTAAAATTTACAGCCTGTGCCTGGGGTGAGAAGCCCTGTTGCAGGCTCCTGTTCAAGTGGCTCAGCCAGATCTGACTATGCTGGTCAGGCTCACTTGCCAGCTGAGTGTGCGCCCGGCCTCACGTGGAGATGTGCCTGGTGTGCCCAGCAGAGCTCTTTCGGGCATGGCCTTCCAGGAGAGTGGTGGAGGAAATCAGTCACTTCAAAGCCTTTTTGTTTCTATATTCTTTTATACAGCAAAAAGATGGCACGTTTGCAGCCGGGGGCTACATGCCCCCCCTCCGGTTTAAAGCACTTACCCTCTCTGTGGTGTTTGGGACCATGGTTGGTGGCATCCTTATCCCCAACGGTAAGACTGGGGGCTGCTCCAGTGCCGGGCAGTGGGACCTGGGGGCGCCGGTGTTCAACAAGACCTGCACAGTCATGAGCTGTCCTCTCCGGTCTCCTAAAAGTGTCTAGAGACTGTGTCATTGGTCCACAGATAAGGGGAGGAGATAAAATCTGGCAGCTTGATGGAACAGCAGACACCCATTGACACCGGGCAAAGAGGGACTGCAGTGCCAGGACACAGGCCTGATTTGTCAATGATCCATCATAGAATGGCGCATTCTGTGCCGTTGACTCTCGACTTCTGGTGTTGTTGGTGCTTTACCAAGGGGAGCGTTGAAGGCCCTGAACGTGTTTATGTTACGCAAATGCACCCACTGCCGAGCAGACAAAGAAGAGCTTATTATTATCAGGTCACGGGGAACCCGCACGCCTCTTTCCAGGGAGCATCCCTAGAGGTGATCTGTCTGGGCTCCTGCCAGGGGGCTGCACTCTGGTAGCATGTGCCAGGCCCTGGCTTTTAGAACCGCCCTAGCATAGGTCCTGCCCAGCGTAGGGCCACTCATGGCACAGCAGGTGGGAGAGGCAGCGTGGGAACCGTGCCGTGCAGAGCCAGCATCTGGTATAGGCAGAAAATCCCTAGTGTCTGTTTTTTTTTTTTTCCAAACGGAGTCTCGCTCTGTCACCCAGGCTGGAATGCAGTGGCAGGATCTTGGCTCACTACAACCTCCATGTCCTGGGTTCAAGTGATTCTCCTGCCTCAACCTCCCAAGTAGCTGGGATTACAGGCATGCGCCACCACGCCCAGCTAATTTTTGTATTTTTAGTAGAGACAGGGTTTCACTATGGCCAGGATGGTCTCAAACTCCTGACCTCATGATCCACCTACCTCAGCCTCCCAAAGTGCAGGGATTACAGGTGTGAGCCACTGCCCCTGGCTCTGCCTGGCTCTTTGAAGATAAATAGAGAATTTGCCCCGGGAGCCCAAATGCACTGTTGGAGGAATCAGCTGGCAGTTGTCAGGCTTACCGGGCACAGAGGGCATCTCTGCTCCCAGTTCACGCCTAGATGGCCTTTCCTTCAATGCTGACTTGCTCACCCACATGCTGGGCAAAAGCTCAGGTCCCCTCCTGACAGGCACCCTTTCCTGCTCATCCCTTCCTGTCACTTCTCTTTCCTAGTGGAGACCATCCTGGGCCTCACGGGTGCAACCATGGGAAGCCTCATTTGCTTCATCTGCCCGGCGCTGATCTACAAGAAAATCCATAGGAACGCGCTTTCCTCCCAGGTAGGGGACACTTACGGGGAGGCGTGGACGAGGGCTGATTGGTCTCGGCTGGGGAGAGGTGGAGGCAGAAGGAAGCCCCTATTCAGCGTTTTCAGATGGGTTCTGTCCAGAAACTTAAAACCCACAAAAGGGACATGGTCCAGTCAGTCTGGGGAACCCTGGGTTCACAGGGTGCATGGTCTTTGCCCAGCAGGGCCTCACTCGGCAGCTCACCAGCTGTGCATTGGGCTTTCCTGAGAGCCGACTTAGCTGAGTTGTAAGCACTTTCCCTGTGGTGCTTTTGTGGTGACTGACTGTCCGTGGACCTGCTGCCAACTCTGAGTCCCCTCCCCAGTCGCCCACTCCCAAGGCCACCAGCACTGCGGTTTCTAGTGTGACCCTCAAGGGGTAGTTTGTGCATGTGGGCGGCCAACACGTGCATGTGCATGCACGTGGCTGTTCCTTTCTTTTTTCTTTTTTTGAGATGGAGTTTCGCTCTTGTTACCCAGACTGGAGTGCAATGGCGCGATCTCGGCTCACCACAACCTCCGCCTCCTGGGTTCAGGCAGTTCTCCTACCTCAGCCTCCTGAGTAGCTGGGATTACAGGCATGTGCCACCATGCCCAGCTGATTTTTTGTATTTTTAGTAGAGACGGGGTTTCACCGTGTTGCCAAGGATGGTCTCGATCTCTTGACCTGGTGATCCACCCTCCTCGGCCTCCCAAAGTGCTGGGGTTACAGGCGTGAGCCACCGCGCCTGGCTGGGTGTTCCTTTCATTGTAACACAGCTTCCTGCTGCTGTTGCTCAAAATCCCTTGCAGGTCAGGTTGCTCCAAGCCGTGGGCACAGAGCTGCCTGGCTATTTTTAGCCGTTTCATGGTGTTCCATGGTAGGAAAATTCCATAATCTCAGTCTCTGAAGGAGTCACCTCTCCAGTCTTTTGCTTTTGCAGACAAAATTGCGATGAATATCTGTGTTAATGAGCATCGTGACACATTTGAGCACACATCTGTAGGAAGCCTTCCAGAAATGGAATCCTGTGTCAGGAGTGTGAGCATTTGTAAACATGGTGGCTCTGCCCAAATGCCTGCAGTGTCACTCCTAGGCAGGCTCAAGGCCTCTGTCCCCACGCCCAGGACCTTCCAGTCTTCATCATTCTTCTCTGGCGGGAACTTGGGCATCTTTTCATGGGTTCAGAAGTCACTTGGGTTTCTTTTTCTGTGAACTGCCTGTGTTCTTTGCTTACTTTTTATGGAGTTGAGCTTTTTTTACTGGTACATATTGATACATTTTTTTTCTTTTTTTTTTGAGACGAAGTCTCGCCGTGTTGCCCAGGCTGGAGTACAGTGGTGTGATCTCAGCTCACTGCATCCTCTGCCTCCTGGGTTCAAGCAATCCTTCTGCCTCAGCCTCCCAAGTAACTAGGAATTACAGCCACATGCCACCATACCCGGCTAATTTTTTGTATGTTTCTTTTTTTTTTTTTTTTTTTTGAGACAGAGTATCACTCTGTCGCCAGGCGTCAGGCTGGAGTGCAGTGGCGGGATCTCGGCTCACTGCAGTCTCCACCTCCTGGATTCAAGCAATTCTCCCTCAGACTCCTGAGTAGCTGGGACTACAGGCGTGCACCACCACGCCCAGCTAACTTTTGTATTTTTAGTAGAGATGAGGTTTCACCATGTTGGCCAGGATGGTCTCCATCTCTTGACCTTGTGATCCGCCCACCTCGGCCTTCCAAAGTGCTGGGATTATAGGTGTGAGCCACCGCGCCAGGCCAATTTTTTTTTTTTTTTTTTTTTTTCTGAGACGGAGTTTCGCTCTTGTTACCCAGACTGGAATGCAATGGCATGATCTCAGCTCACCGCAACCTCCGCCTCCTGGGTTCAAGCAATTCTCCTGCCTCAGCCTCCCGAGTAGCTGGGACTACAGGCGCACACCACCATGCCCAGCTAATTTTTGTATTTTTAGTAGAGACGGGGTTTCATCATGTTAGCCAGGCTGATCTCAAACTCCTGACCTCAGGTGATTCGCCCACCGTGGCCTCTCAAAAGTGCTGGGATTACAGGCGTCAGCCACCTCACCTCACCTATGTTGATACTTTTTTTTTTTTTGAGATGGAGTTTCGCTCTTGTTACCCAGGGTGGAGTGCAATGGCATGATCTTGGCTCACTGCAACCTCTTGCCTCCTGGGTTCAGGCAGTTCTCCTGCCTCAGCCTCCTGAGTAGCTGGGATTACAGGCACGTGCCACCATGACCAGCTAATTTTTTGTATCTTTAGTAGAGACGGGGTTTCACCATGTTGACCAGGATGGTCTCGATCTCTTGACCTCGTGATCCACCCACCTCGGCCTCCCAAAGTGCTGGGATAATAGGTGTGAGCCACCGTGCTCGGCCCGTTAATACATTTTTAAAAGGTATACTATATATACAGCTACCATAAAGCCCATAATTCTTGTATACAACCTGGTAAGTTTTTACAAAGTGAACCACATGGAACCACCATCCAGAGCAGACATAGGACATCCCAGCACCCCAGAGTTCCCCATGGTTGCCTCATTGTCATCCACTCCCACGCTAAAGGTCACTGCTCATCTGTCTTCCAGCGTTCTAGAATGATCTTGCCTGTCTTTAAGTTGCAGTAAATGGATTCTTACAGTGTACGTTAGAATACGCATCCATGTGTGTCAGCCACTTCCTCGGCATTTCGCCTCACTGCAACCTCTGCCTCCCAGGTTCAAGCAATTCTCCTGCCTCAGCCTCCGGAGTAGCTGGGATTACAGGTGCTTGCCACCACACCCAGCTAATTTTTGTGTTTTTAATAGAGACATGGTTTTACCATGTTGTCCAGGCTGTTCTCAAACTCCTGACCTCAAATGATCCACCCACCTCACCCTCCTAAAGTGCTGGGATTATGGGTATGAGCCACTGTGTCCAGCCCCTTACTGTGGCCTCCACCTCCCAGGTTCAAGCTATTCTCCTGCCTCAGCCTTCTGAGTAGCTGGGATTACAGGAGCGTGCCACCACGCCAGACTAATTTTTGTATTTTTAGTAGAGATGGGATTTCACCATATTGGCCAGGCTGGTCTCAGACACTCCTGACCTCAGGTGATCTACTCACCTTGGCCTCCCAAAGTGGTGGGATTACAGGCGTGAGCCACTATGCCCAGCCTGTTTGTTCTTTATTTTGAAAGTCAGAAAAGTTGAGGGTCTCTCCGATCCTACATGAGGCTGGGGCTTTGGTACCGCTTCTCCAGCCCCCTCCCAGCTCTGGGTCCTGCTGCCCTAGAGCCGGGAGGGAGCTGGAGCAGCAGGCAGCTTAGAAGGTGCCAGAGGACAGATGCCTGGGGCACAGGAGGCCACCTCACAGGGGTGCACCCAGAAGGCAGTAGTCCCCAAAGGGCCTGAAAGTCGGCCCCTGATCTTGGAAAGATGTAATGAAATGCACACTGTGGCTCTCGGAGAGACATGAGCCACCAGTGGGGCATCTGCCTGTGACCCCCGAGGACCCCCGAGGCCTGCTGAGGCTCAGGCCCATGCTGGGTGAGTGCCTGGATGCTAACTGGGCTGCCTTGAGACCCACATGGAGGCGCGTGGTGTAGAGCAGCCAGAGCTCCAGCCCGAAGCTGTGCTTTTCATTCCTGAAGTGCGGAGACTCATGCCTGTTCTACCTGTTTGGAGTGGAAAGTGGGTGTTTTCTCTCCCTCCTTGGAACTTCTCTCTGCCTTGGAGTCAGCGATGCCTTGTGTTTCTGGAGGCCCTGATCACTCCTCCAGGGGAGGGTGCTACGATCTGGGCAGTGCGTGACCCTTGGGGAGGACCCTGGATTTTCCAAGTTCAGGTGAGATGTCTGGATTGGGCTAGCATTCCTCCTGCCCGCCGGCTCTGCCTCTGTGTTGATCTGACGGCTGCTGAAATGAAAGTGACGGGTGCTCTGAAAGCAGGTGTCTGGCACACTAGTCCCGATGAGTGACCACATCCTCAAAGCAAGCCAGAAGGCACAGGGTAGAGGCTGGGATGGGGCTCCAGGGGCTTCTCCCTGCCACTGAGGCTGGGCAGCCACTGCGCTCCCCATAGCTCCCTGCCCCCCAGTTTCCAGCTGTCCATCTGTGCAGAACTCCACTTACACCCTTATTCGAGATTCTGAGGGAACTATGGACCATTCCCTTGTCGACGTCACACGTTCCATGGTTAGACTGCAGTGGCGTGACAAGCATGGGGGAGCCTGGCCCTCACCCTGTCCTCTGGGCTGTGGCGCCTGCTCCACTCCATCATGTCTGCAGCCCAGTCCTCGGCAGAGTTCTCACAGCTGCTTGGGGACTTCAGTGATCCCTGTGCTGTTTCCAAATGCGCAGCCCACCTGCAGCATTCGAGGCTGCTGCTGAGTCCATGTTCCTGCCTTGGCCCTGGTACAGAGGGCCAGCACGTGGCAGCCATGGACTGGGATGTGGTCACCGCATGTGCTGTCCCCTCATGGACGAGGCACAGACGCACACTGTCACAGATGCCCATGTGGCCTCAGCATTCCCATGGGTCCCCTCAAGCTGGGTGGCGCTGCTGTCTCTGCCAGAATGTTTCTTTTTTATTTTAGACGGTCTCACTCTGTCGCCCAGGCTGGAGTGCTGTGGTGTGGTCTCAGCTCACTGTAACCTCTGCCTCACGGGTTCAAGCGATTCTCCTGCCTCAGCCTCCTAAGCAGCTGGGATTACAGGCACGGGCCACCACGCCCAACTAAGTTTTTTTTTTTTGTATTATTAGTAAAGGCAGGGTTTCACCATGTTGGCCAGGCTGATCTCTAATTCCCGACCTTGTAATCTGCCCACCTTGGTCCCCCAAAGTGCTGGGATTACAGGTGTGAGCCACCGTGTCCGGCCGCCAGGGTGTTTCTTAGAGGAAAGGCTGAGCGTGTGAACTGTGATGTTGGGTGGGACAGCGGCTGCTCATGCTCAAGGCAGTGGTTGCTGGTGAATGCCCCTCAGAGCCTGACAGCCTGGAAGTGAGCGAGTCAGGAAAAGGGAAATTGGGGATGGAGCCTTCCAGCTGGTGGGGTGTTCCCCGGGTGTCACCATCTCAGTGTTCAGGGCTGCTCTGCCGCTCTCATGCAGGGGTTGTCCTGAGTGGCATTTCACTGGCAGTGCTGTGCTGCCTGGTGTCTGGTGGGAGCCCAGGGACGGCTCTACTGATTGGGACCCCTTAGGGCAGGAGGCAGCAGCAGGCATGTGCGTGGCAGTGGGCAGGGCTGGGTCTGCCTCCTGGACCCGCCTGTCTGGAATAGTCCTGCCCTCGCCCCAGCCTGAAAAGTCCGCACAGGTTCCCTGTGTATGGTGACCTTAAGCCACCACTTCTCCAGCATGTTTCGAGATGTTCTTGGACTTGGGGCTGAATTCGGTCCCCAGGTGCTTCCCTGAGAGGTAGCAGGTGGTGGGGGGTGTCCCTGTGCTGCAGTTTGGGAGCCCCCTCTCTGCTGACCAGCTTCACACTCAGGGCTCTCTGTGGGTCCTTGGTCAAGTGTGTTCTCCTCCCTGTGCCTCTGTCCTTTCCAAGGCCTGTTGGCCCTGGGTCTTCCGGGAAGCTTGCTGTCTCCCAGCATGGGGAAGGATCATCGGCTTGATTTTGCATATGATTTTTAAGCTCAGCAAGTTGAGGGTTGAAAGAAATCATTGAAGTCATGGAGGTGTTTCTTTGGCCTGTCAGTCTCCATGGATGTTTTAGATGAGGTCCACATTGAAAATAACCTAACATAGGAGTTCGAGACCAGCCTGGCCAAATGGTGAAACCCCGTCTCTACTAAAAATACAAAAATTAGCCGAGTGTGGTGGCACACAGCTATAATCCCAGCTACTCAGGAGGCTGAGGCAGGAGAATCGCTTTAACCTGGAAGGTGGAGGTTGCAGTGAGCCGAGATTGCATCATTGCACTTCGGCCTGGGCAACAGAGCAAGACCATCTCAAAGAAAAGAAAAAAGAAAAAAAGAAAATAACCTGACATGAAATGACCAACCAATGTCTTTATCTTTGGGTCTAAAGTGTTGGAGGCCTGGAGGAGCCAATCTTGCTGCGCTCCCTGGCGGGTGGCGAACTCTGGGCTCTGGGATTCCACCTGGGGAGTCTTCTGCCCTGACCTGCCAGTGTCCTGGAGCAGAGGTGCTTGCCCTTCCTATTTACATACTCTCACCAGGATCCCCTAGTGATCGTGTTGGTGTTACGGGAAGTCCAAGTAGGGAGCTAAGTTTTTTGGTAGCTCCTCAGAAGGGAATTTGGGCCATCAGCTGGAGAAGTATGAGATGTACTCAGCATGTGCAGCTGTACCCAGTTAGAGAAACTCGCCCAGGATGTGGCGACAGGGTTCCCACAGTGAGGGGGGTTCCCAGGCTTCCAGACTATACTGTCTCCTTTCTAGGCACCTTCCTAGTGGGTTGGATTAAATTTCCATCTGGACCCTTTACTCCAGGTGACCCGAGCCCAGCCTCTGCCCTGTGCTGGCTGGCAGAGGCCTCGGTGGGAGGGCAGGGCCCTGAAGATAGAGGTCCAGGGGCAGCTGTGTTATAGGACGGGTCACAAGGGCTGTGACGGGCCCCCAAGGCGTGCCTCTGATGGCCTTTCCTCCTGGCATCAGGCTTCCAAGCCACGGCCATCCGCGTCACCCACTGGCAGCTGGCCTTTCACACCTGCTCCCTACATAGGCCTGATCGCCTCAGGAAATTGAAAGTTTCTTCCTTTTTATAATTACCCTAAGACTGTGTTGGTCACCTTCTAGACACCACCATTGCTCTGGGACTCTTCCCTTCTGGGAAGATGTAGCGTGGCTGAAGGGGCATCTCAAATGGAGAACATGGGGCTGGGGCGGGGCCTCCGGAACACACATCAGACGATGTCCCCACATGTACATCTCAAATGGAGAACATGCAGGTCCTGCTGGGGCCTCCAGAACACACATCAGACGATGTCCCCACATGTACTGAGGCAGGCCTGCTTTCGCCACAGGCTCCAGCCAGCTGTGGTTACTGCCAGAGGGGCCTTGGGCTCCCTGGGCATCCCACGAGCTACAAGGCCACTGCAGCCAGGCTTTCTGCAATGGAGCCCACTGACCCTGGAGCCGCAGCCTCACCTGGCGTCCGGAGATGCTGACACAGCCCAGGGTTTCTGGGTGGCAGAGAAGGAGGTGGAGGAAGCCGGCTCCTGCTAGTTCTTCCTTCAGCCAGCTTCGGAGAGCATGAGTCCTTCCGTCCAGGGACCATCCTATCTAATTGCATTGGACCAGGGAAGTCTCACCAGTTCTTGTGATTTTTTTTTTTTTTTTTTTTTTTAAAGAGCCAACATACCTTTCAGAAAGGGATTTTGAGTTCTGGCTCTAAGACCACAGAGTTAGAATGACAGTCCTTTTGCTCTACCAGAGGCTGCCTTGCCAGCACACCCAGGCTTTACCGAACCAGGAGTTGGCGCTCCCCTGGGGAGAGCAGCTTGTGCCAAGCTAGGCCAGGCGGGAACAGCAGCACCTGCAGCTGTGGCTGTGGCCACGTGAATGACAGGAGGAGCGGGCCCAGCACGTTCACTAACATAGCAGGGTGGCAGGAGCTGGGCCACATGGTGTAGAGGTTGTCAGGGTCCCTGAGGCAGCATGCGTGATGCTTATGATCGGCCGGAGGGCGCCTCTGGGAGGGAGGATGAGGTCATGCAGGGAGAGCCCTCGGCAATAAAAACTGCCTGGTCAACTCACAGAGGGACCTTGATGGGCACCACACTACAGCTATGGAGAGGTGGAGGTTGTTTCTGCCCCTGCCCTCATGCATGGTGCCGGCTGTGGTGACTGGGGCAAGTCCTTCCTGCCCACGTGGGCTGTGTCTGCTGCACAAGGCCGGCCCTGCGGGTTGTGCGGGAGCGTTCGCTTTGGGGACAGCATGGACAGGGGCTCTTGAGGTGGGCGGCTGCCTGGAGGCCCCTGCTTCTCTCCCAGGCAGGTCAGCCCGGGGCTCAGCCTCTGCTCCTCTAAGGCTCCTCGTGTCCCTGCAGCTTCTGGAAGCCGCTCTCCCTCCCGCTGGGCTTTTGTGGCTGGCATGCTCCCACACGGTTGGCCCATGATCCTAGCTGGCATGGAGGGCACATCAGCCACAGGCTGGATGCCAGGAGTCCCACCGTGCTCTGACTGACAGCGCCACATCAGGGCTCAGGCCCTGTCCTGATGGTGAGCGGCTTCGCTGTTAGGCGGGCCAGGTCTCCTGGGAGTGGCCACCTGTCCTCAGGCAGGGCCGACTGCACTCGGGGGACTTTGTCTCGCCCACTCTCCTCGCACCTCACCCAGTCCCTGAGCCTCTCTGCCAGGCCGGTTTTATAGCCTGGGCAGGGGTGGGGTCTGGCCGTGACCCCCGCCCCTGGGGTCTTTGTCTCCTCAGGTGGTGCTGTGGGTCGGCCTGGGCGTCCTGGTGGTGAGCACTGTCACCACGCTGTCTGTGAGTGAGGAGGTCCCTGAGGACTTGGTGGAGGAAGCCCCGGGTGACCAGCTTGGAGAGGCTGAGGGTCTGAAGGAGGTGGAGGCAGTGCGGCTCTCAGGTACGTGGGTCTCGGGTACTCGAGTCTCCTGCGTGTGACCAGCCCTGGCCCTCGGAATCTTCTCAGGGCAAGTGCTCACTGGGCGTCTCCTGGGTCTGGTCCTAAGATTGTGCTCATCTGCCCAGCGGCCTCTGTCCTGTGTGGGTGCAGCAGATGGGGTGGGGCCGCCAGCCTTGCCCGTGACGATGCTCTGTGTATGGAGGCTGGCTGTGGCATGGCCTGTATGCAGGGAACATGGGACAGGAGTGGATGCCTGCCACTCGGAAGACTAGGATTACGTTTCTGAGTGTTGCTCACGTGCCGTTCATTTAACTTTGAGGATAGAAATTTCGAGCCAGTTTTCTCCTGGATGGTGTCGGCGACCAGGCCTCAGTTTGGTTTGCTACTTCAGGTTAGTTATTATTAGTTTACTAGGACTGTGGCTGGAGTTATGACCGTGACTCCTCATGCAGCTGCAGCCTGCTTTGGGAGGGGCCCGCGGTGCCCTGTAACCTCGATGCCCCATCTGTGGCAAAGTCCTGGGGGCTACAGAGATGCACGTTTCAAGAGTGTGGCTATCCAGGGCGCTGCTCAGCTCCGTGTGCCATGGGTCTGCTGCATCCCTGGCTCTCCCTGGCCTGGATGGGAAGTACCACACAGACTGGCACTGCAGCAGCAGATGGCCCAGGCCCAGGCCTGCCAGGAGCTTTGAGCGGCCTGTGCTAGGCAGGCATGGGTGCTGGCACGTGGGTGCTGTCCATGACGACCGTCATGCCAGGGTCTTCCTCCCCTGACAGTGGCTGGGTTTACGCATCCACACTGCCTGTGTGTCCACCACATCCAGCACACCTCTGCAGAGGTCCAGCTCATGTGGATTTGCTGGGTGGCGTCTGCACGCCATCCTGGGAGCCCCGGTGGGGAGCAGCGCTGGCTGTGTCCGGGGGTATCGGGTCGCTGTGGAGGTGCTGGCCAGTGACTTCCCCTCGGAGCACAGCTTCCACTTCTTAACAGAGGGGAGGAGAGGTCCCGTGGAAGGGAGCCCCTGGCGTCAGCTGAGCATGTCTCAGCTGTGGTGACCTTGGGGCTTGTGGTCATGCAGTCCTGTGCTGGCAAAGTCTCTTCCCAGCATTGTCACCTCATACAGACTGCTCCGAGGGACACCCTCCCAGGGCCTCCTTGGAGCCACTGTGCTTAGAGTCACCGAGGATGCCTGCTCCTGGGTGGCAAGGGTGGGCAGAGGAAGCCTGCCTTCTGGGTTTCCTGCAGCTGGCAAGGCAGTGCTTGGGGACAGCTGGGGTCACCAGAGAAAGAAAATGGCAGTGTTCTGAAGCTCCAGGTTGCCGCCCGCTGCCTTGTGCTGGGTTTGGTAATTGGGACAGAGTGCACCTGAAAAGGAGGTGATGGTTTTGCACCTGCCTCAGTGGGCACCCCAGGCAGGACCACTTCCTTGCTGTTCGTGTGTCTGGGCCAGAGAGGGCGTTGACATAGTACTGTTGGTGGGGTTGTGGTAGCCCAGGAGTTGGAGTCCAGTGTGCCAGGACCCTAGTCCTGGGCAGTGAGGGGTGTCGACCTCGTACAGTGGTACAGGGCCGCTGGGGAGTGGACTTCTCCATGCCAGCCAGCAGGGGCTCCCCGTCTTCCAGCGCTGTGCGGCCTCTGCCTGCGGCCAGTGCAAACAGCTGTGTCCTGTCATGAGGCTGCCCAGGCCTCCGGCTCACCTGGTGCCCCCCGAGGCCACATCTGGTTTCTATTTCTTCCATGAGGCTGTAACAAAACACATGGCCCTTCTCAGAACCACATAGTGCTTGTTCTGCATGTCTCCAATTTTCCAGCCCCCAGTGCCCCCTGTGATAAATGGGCCGCCTTGCTGAGGCCAAGGGGCCTGTTCTGATGCGTGCTCCCTGTCGGACGGCTGAGCGGAGTTTTATTGATCTCTTTGATGCTGCAGAGACCAAAAATATGGTACCTACTAACTAGGTAAGAGCCCTGTGTGGCCCTGGACTGTGGCTGAGTCCCACCCTTGTGCAGATGTCATGGTGGCCACACACAGCCTGGGCCCCACATACTGCCTTGCAGGCCTTGGCGAGCATGGCTGAGTCCTTGCAGAGGCTCATGAAGACAGTGACCCATGAAAGCTAGGAGTCGGCACTCATGCCTGTGTGCCGTAGCACCCTGAAGCTAGGGGTGGCCTCAGGTCTTGTGACATCTCCTTTCTTGGAGCTGCAGGTCCCCTGTCCTCCCAATGCCTGCAAGCCCCCGCTTGCTGCACAGGGCGGCACTGCAGGGCCTGCACCCTTCAGGACCCTCATCCCCACTCCCAGTGGGGCAGGCACAGCTACACTTCTGCTTGGTGGGAAAATGAGGCTGGGCCTGGCTCAGAAGGGACCCAGACTGTGGTGATACGAGGGGAATGAGGGTCTGCTGGGTGTTGATGGGTCATGCATGTTGGTGCAGGGGCAGAGATGGCCACAGTCCTTTGTACTCAGGCTCAAGCGAGGGACACGTGGCCCCCACGTGTGGAGCCAGGTCACATGGCTCGACCCAGGCCTGAGGCTGCAGGAGGCAGGGCAGTTTGGAGTCCGGCCAGGTCTTGCATGGCTGGCATGCTTACTTCAGACAGTGGAACCAGCTCCCTGTCATCTCAGGACAGCAGCAGAAACATGGCACAAAATTACGACAGGAGGAGAGGCATGGGGGACACAGCAAAGGAGCTATGAGAAGCCTTCTCAGGGCTGGCATGGTGGCTTATGACTGGAATCCCAGCACTGTGGGAGGCCAAGGCAGGAGGATCACCTGAGGTCAGGAGTTTGAGACCAGCCTGGCCAACATGGTGAAACCACGTCTCTACTAAAAATAAAAAATTAGCTGGGTGTGGTGGCTGGTTGCTGAGGTGGGAGGATCACTTGAGTATGGAAGGTCAGGGCCGTAGTGAGCTGAGATGTCACCACCGCACTCCAGCCTGGGTGACAGAGTGAGACGGTCTCAAAAAAAAAAAGCTTTCTTAGCAGGGCATGCAGGAGAGCTCCAGCAGGGGGCGTTGTCCCCACAGTGGAGGAGAGAAGGGAGAAGCAGGTGGCCCTTGTTTCTTGCACCATTCAGTGCCCTGCTGAAGGAGTGGGAGCCTCCCACCTCCCCACAAGAGACGGCAGTGGTGCCCGCTGCAGCGGAGGCAGAAGCAGTGGTGAGGAGGTTCTGCCTGCTGGAGGCTGAACCAGCATGGCTGTGTCGCCAGCCCAGACACCCAGGAACCAGGAACCAGATGGCCTGGGATTCCCCCTCACATTTGCAAAGATGAGACCATGAGGTCATTGGTCAGCTATGTCCAGAAGACTGGGCTGGAAAATATAGCCCTTCATGAGCAATACTCTCTCGTGGCAGCACTGAGGGAAAGTGAAGAATCAACTGTTAGAAAATTGTGTAAAAGCAGGGACCAGCTTTTCAAAATCAGGTCAGCGGCCATTGTTCTTGCCTCTGGCCAATGCGGAGTGCTGGAATCCTGACCTCCTGAACTTAAGGTGGTGCTTGAGTTGATGAGGAGCTCCATCAGCCGGGTGCCGGACTGTGTTGAAAAGTCACTGCATCTGGGGGCAGTCTGATGTGACTGTCTCCATCTTTACTAATCACAGGGCACACAGAGGGAGCCACGGCATCTACGCCAGCAGGCCACAAAGCCACCTTGCCGACTCTCGGGGTCCAGACGGCAGCATCGCTGGCTCCCCGCCTATCTGCACTGGCCTCCGGTCCAAGGTGGACACCAGCCTCGAATGTGGGGTTGGGGATGTGTTAGATGCTCCCCCTTCCCCTCCAGGTCACCTCCTCCAAGTCACTGAGCGTATCTCACTCCAAAGACAGAGCCTTGAGCCATGGTCTTGGCAGCCTTGGGGCTTCCACAGCTGGCTGGACAGCAAGGAGGAAAGTCTGAGGGGTCCGCCTCTGCTGTGGCTGAGTTGTGGTCATTGTTAGGAAGTTGTGTGTTTCTGCAGGCGCCAGGAGCTGGGAACCTGCCGCCCCCGGCAGTGAAGAGCCGCTGGGACAGGACATAAAGGTGCTTTCCTGGCACCAGGCTCCAGTGGTGCTTGAGGGTTGTGGATTTTTTCGACCGGAGGTGATTTTTTTTTTTTTTTTGAGATGGAGTCTCACTCTGTCGCCCAGGCCAGAGTGCAGTGGCACAGTATCAGCTCACTGCAACCTCTGCCTCCCGAGTTGAAGTGATTCTCCTGCCTTATCCTCCTGAGTAGCTGAGACTATGGGTGCACAGCACTACACCCGGCTAATTTTGTATTTTTTGTTGAGACAGGGTTTCACCATGTTGGCCAGGATGGTGTCAACTCCTGACCTCAAGTGATCCTCCTGCCTCAGCCTCTCGAAGTGCTGGGATTCCCGGTGTGGGCCACCATGCCCGGCCCGGAGGTGATTTTTGAAGCTGGATGAGGGAGGATGGCTGCCCTGTGGCAGCTCCCTCCGCTGGGTGTTGCTAGGGGAGTGCCTGGGGCTGTCCCCTTCGGCTGCTGCCTCCTCCGCTGTGGCTTAGCTGGGTGTGCTGCTGGCCTCCTAGAAGAAATTCGGACGCCAGAGATCCCCTCCCTCCCAAGGAGTTCAGTCATGATCTGGCGGGGGTCACTTGCCACACGGGGCCCTTTTCTGTCTTTGTGAAACCTGTGATCATGTTGAGATTGGAAACGCCTGGCAGCACTCAGACATTTTTCAGTTGCTAATTTTGAAGTTTTTTTTGTTAGTTTTACTAGAGCCAAGAGGCACTGCTGGCAAACTGTCCCTGACACAAAGGTTGGCTCCGTGTGGAAAAGTCTGTGTGCGTTGCCCGTGGACAGCTGCAGAGCGCCGGGTGTGAAGGCCAGGCCTGGCTGTGAGTGCAGCCCTCGGCTGGTCAGCTGCTGCTGGTGGCGGGGAGCCAGGGCGTGCAGCCTTCCTGCAGGGGGCGGTGTACTCCTGTGCCACTTGCAGAACGCTGAGAGGCATGTCGTTCCCTGGAAATTTTCTAAGGGGACCTCTGGGGCAGCTCCTGGCTCACCGTGGGCACCTGCATCCCATGGTTCCTACACCCACACAGAACTCCCCCTGGAGCCCCAGACTGGTCATTTATGGCCTGTGGAATGGAATTTTGCTCCCTGCTGAGACGATGGCTACTCAGAGGCAACTTGTCCTTTGACAATGGAGGTTTCCTTTGTTTTGCTACATTTTTCCTTCCCCTCCCCAGCCTCCCTTTCTTAACTAATCCACTGGAAGGGCCCTCTTTATTGATAGTTGTGGCTTGTTTCCGCGGGGGGCCTCGGCAGAGGCTCCATCACGTGATGGAGACTTGTTCCTGCGAGGGGCCTCGGCCAGGGCTCCATCATGTGATGGAGACTTGTTTCCGTGCGGGGCCTCTGCCGAGGCTTCATCGTGTGATGGAAACCAGCATTTTTCACCTGCTCGGGCTTATTGAATTGGTCACTTGGGCTGGGCATGGTGGCTCAGGCCTGTAATCCCAGCACTTGGGAGGATGAGGTGGGTGGATCACTTGAGGTCAGGAGTTTGAGACCAGTCTGGCCAACATGGTGAAACCCTGTCTCTATCAAAAATCAGGCAGGCATTGTGGTGTGTGCCTGTAATCTCAGCTACTCAGGAGGCTGAGGCACCAGAGTTGCCTGAACCTGGGATGCAGAGTTTGGAGTGAGCTGACATTGCGCCACTGCACTCCAGCCTGGGTGACAGAGCAGGACTCCATCTAAAAAAAAAAAAGTTGAATTTGTGACTTGGCTAAACTGTAGAGCCCAGCGACTGCTTTTTGTTACATAGTTAGTTACATAGAAGGGCGGTACCTTCCCTCCACAGTGCGTCTAGGACTCTCAACTCCAAACTGACCTCAGTGTAACTGGGGTTTCCCTAGACTAACATATCAGGCTGCTCTTACAAGGCTGCATAAAGCTAAGATAATTGGCCCCGTTTCTTCTACTTTGTGAGGTGGTGAGACCCCATCTGCTGCTCTGAACTAGACTGTGTGAATTCTTCCTCAGACAGCTTCACCCGAGTCTCCCTGGGCTGCAGCGCCTGTCTCAGTGGACATATGACCTTGCCAGAACAGGAAGGTGGTGATGGTGGGGATAGAGGTGGTGATGGTGGTGGTGATGGAGGTGATGACGATGGTGATGGAGGTGATGGTGGTGGTGACAGAACACTGGTGATGATGGCAGTAATGGAGGTGATGATTATGGAGGTGGTGGCAGTGATGCAGCGATGGTGGAGTTGACAGTGGTGATGGAGGTGATGGCAGTGATGGTGGAGGTAACAGTGGTAACAGTGGTGATGGAGGTGATGGCAGTGATGGTGGAGGTGACAGTGGTGATGGAGGTGATGGCAGTGATGGTGGAGGTAACAGTGGTAACAGTGGTGATGGAGGTGATGGCAGTGATGGTGGAGGTGACAGTGGTGATGGAGGTGATGGCAGTGATGGTGGAGGTAACAGTGGTAACAGTGGTGATGGAGGTGATGGCAGTGATGGTTGAGGTGACAGTGGTGATGGAGGTGATGGCAGTGAATGGTGGAGGTAACAGTGGTGATGGAGGTGATGGCAGTGATGGTGGAGGTGACAGTGGTGATGCAGGCGATGGCAGTGATGGTGGTGGGGATGGAGATGATGGTGGTGATGGTAGTGATGGAGGTGACGGTGATGGCGGGAACTGTGGGAGTCTGTCAGTGGGTTCATGTCGCCATCTGGTGGTAATGCCTGAGTATTACATGGAGTCTAGCTCTCCCTGCCTCCAGTTAGGTTTAACTTGCATTTTGACATATTTATGGATACACATGAAAAATGACAGTTTTCTGTGCTACGTAGCTGCTAACAATCAAACAGGAAAAAAAAAATAATTGCTTAGGCTCTCCCATTTGGCTGGAAAATGTGGTCACAGTCCAGGGAGCACCGCCCTGCTCCTGGACCTGCCTGGCAGTGCTGTTCCCTAACTGTGCCCTGCTCCCAGCCCAGGATCCGGTCGCGGCCGTGGCAGAGGATGGCCGGGAGAAGCCGAAACTGCTGAAGGAGAGAGAGGAGCTGGAGCAGGCCCAGATCAAGGGCCCTGTGGATGTGCCCGGGCAGGAAGATGCGAAGGAGGCACAGGAGGCAGCGCAGCTGGATCGCCCTGGGCAAGGTGCTGGGTGCTGGCTGTGGGGTGGGGACCAGGAAGAGGGGCCCCAGTGGCCCTGCGGCACAACTCTCGGGGCTGTGTGTCTTCTTCCCTTCAGCCCAGCCTGAGTTCTGGTCCTGTCTGCCTTCTCTGTCTCTCAGTTGAGATGAGTGTCCTGCCCCTCCAAGAGCAGCTGTCCCTATTGTCACTTTAGCATCAGCCGAGCTTGGCAGGCAGCAGGGAAGCTGGTGGGGAGGTGGTGTCTGTTGGCCTGTGTCACACCATTGGGAACCAGAACCCAGTTCAGATTCCCTGGGAAGGGAAGGTGGGGCCTCAGCCTGACCCCATCTGTCCCCTATGCGCTTGCAGGGATTGCCATGCCCATGGGCGAGGCCCACCGCCATGAGCCTCCTGTGCCTCATGACGAGGTGGTGGTAGATGAAGGCCAAGACCGAGAGGTACCAGAAGAGAACAAGCCTCCGTCCAGAGACACAGGCGGAGAAGCTCCGGGGGTCCAGGGCCAGATGGCACCACCTCTGCCCAACTCAGAAAGAGAGAAACGGGAGCAGGAGCAGGAAGAGGCTGGGAAGAGGCCTGGACAGGCCCAGGCTTTGGAGGAAGTGGGTGATTTTCCTGAAGATCCCCAGAAAGTTCCAGAAGCAGATGGTCAGCCAGCTGTCCAGCCTGCAAAAGAGGACCTGGGGCCAGGAGACGGGGACCTGCATCCACGGCCCCAGGCAGCACTATCTCAGGAGCAGAAGGCCCTGGCAGTGGGTGAAGAGGAAAAGGCCAATGGGGTGCCACCACCAGGCAATGCTGCCGGGGACATGGGGCAGCCCACAGAGGACAGCGACCACGGTGGGTGTCAGCGCAGGCTCGTCTCGGAAGACAAGCAGGGGAGGCTGGGCAGGATCAATGGTCTCTTCCTCTGTCCCCAGTCTCTCTCCTTGCACCAGATTAGTATGCAAATGGAGCGGCCCGGCAGCTGGTGGGGACAGGAAGAGGCTGGTAGCTGACAGCTCCTGTAATATCTGTCACACAGTTGTTTGCCAGACCACTAAATGTCAGGTGCTGCACTGTGCTCATGTGTCTGGGTGTGTGCGGAGGGCAGTGGGGGCCGCCTGACAGGTAACACGTTGTTAAGTGCCATCTAAGAGCTGGTTGGGATGGTTCTTGCATTTTTATTGCGAAGGCAGTTCACATCGGCTCATTGCCACGAGCCTATGTGGTTGTTAAATATTTTTTTATTGCTTCGCTAGTAATCATCAGGTTGAATATAAACTGTGCTGATGGGGGTGTCACTTTAGAAACATCTGCCACCTCCTTTTCACCGTCCCTTGCCTTCTGTCCCCCTCCCCATCCTCCCTTGACTTTCCTGCAAAACCTCCTGGGTCTTCACCATGTGTGCAGGTGGGAAGCCTCCCCTCCCAGTGGAGAAGCTGGCTCCAGGGGCTGGGCTGCCAGCCGAGCCTCGAGAGCAGAGGGACGTGGAGCGAGTGGGCGGAGACCAGGCGGCCAGCCAGCTGGAGGGTAAGGTCTTGCGCCCAGGGAGCAGCAGCCCCTTCCCCTAGCCCTGGGGTGATGCCCAGACCATCCTAGGGAGCTCTGCCAGGCCCCTGCTTCTCTTTCCAGCTCCCTGCCAAGCGGACCCCTCTGAGAGCTTCCTGCTCCCTTCCCATGAGCAGCTTCCTGTCTGGCACCTCGCAGGGAACGTTTGCCCTCCCTTACTCCCCTTTAAACGCCTGTGGCATTCTCATGTGGCTCATGATTACCATTTTGTCTTATTCTAAAGCAGGTTTGTTAACAGTTCTAACACTCGCAATATATTTAAAGCCAGCCAGGTGTGGGAGTGCCTGCACCCACATGTGTAAGGCTGTGCCTGGAGGGGACCCGGCTTGGGGGTGGTTGTGCCCTGGCCCAGAATGTTCTCCTGTACTCAGCCCTCAGAGCTCGTCTGTGTTCATCTGCAGGGATCTGTCCCCTGTGCCTCCAGGAAGGCTCCTCATACCTTTGCTCTCCTAGAATAAAACTTGCTGTGAATCCTCCTCCAAACCTTCCTGCCCCTTGGATCCCAGCTAGTGGCTTTTTGTGACCCCTTCTTGTGGCTTCACGCAGTTAGGGCTCCGCCTCTGCAGGGAAGGTAGCAGCAGCTCACTGTGGGTCTGCTGGGTTAGCTGCCTGTGCCATGTCCTCCCCCAGGCTGGGGGTCCACTCACCCTCAGGGTGTGTGACTGAGCCCCCACTCCCAAAAGTCCCCTGAATTTGATGGGAGCATCCAAGCCTTCTCTCAGGATGCTCAGCCCTGCCCATTCGGGGTCCAAGTGTGCCTCGTCATCGAGAGGGTCTGTTCTGGGATCTGTGGGTCACATGGCGCAGCGCTCTGGCTCTGGGGGCTAAGCCCCTGGGAGAGGGTCTGGGAGCCCTGGGCCAGCTTTGGCGTGGGCAGTTCTTCCCAGGGCGTTCGTTGAATGCACTTCCTCCGAGCACCTTGCCTTGTGGCTTCAGGACAGCCAGGCCCGAGGGAGGCCAGGTGCAGCAGCCTGGCTTCTCCTGGTGCAGCTTGCTGTCCTAGCACCTGCTGCGCAGCAGGCAGAGCCAAAAGCACACCCGGAGCTCTGAAGCATGTGGGATTTTTTCTCAGGCTTTAGTCTGGCTATAGTTTTTCCAGTTTCTGTGATCTGTTACCTGAACCTGTTTGATTCTTTTGATTTTCTTGTTTCTGAAAAAGACTTTTCACGTTTCCTATTCTGCCTTTCTTCCGTATGCCTCTCAACGGGACGAACAGCTGAAATTAAAAAGATAGTAGCAGGTACGCACGGAAAGGAGTGTGCTGAAGTACAGAGTGTGTCTGAGGGTTACAGACCTGACCGCAGCCTCAGTGGCACACCTGCCCCCGGGACAGCCCTTCGAGGGACACATGCCAGGCCCCAGACCAGCGAACACGCTCAGGCTCAGCTGCAGCCCCTCAGGCAGGGTCCTGATGCCCACTCCTCTCCCTTGTGTTACAAATGCTTCTCAGCATTGGGTCCTTCTCAGCCCACTGTGGCCTTGCTTGTCATTGGAGGGCGGCTGGCCTCTGCAAGTGTCTAAGGCCAGGCTGCTTAGGACAGCGGCTGATGGGGTGGGCCTGTGCTGCTGCCTCATGGGCCTCCTTGAGAGACCCTGCGTGGCCTCACTAGGGGGTAACTCCATGTCGTCTGCCAACCTGGTCCTTATGGTCTTGGTGGGCTCTGGCTGTGGGGACAGCCTGTCTCCTACATGGTGCTTCACATGTGTCCCATGTGGCTTCTCCACTCCTTCCTCTCTCCCCCTCCCCCCTTTTCTCCCCCCTCTTCCTCTTCCCTCCTCCCTCCTCTTCCCTCTTCCTCCTCACTCCTCTTGCCTCCTCCTCCTCTTCCCTCCTCCTTTTCCTTCCTCCTTCTTCCTCCCTCTTCCCTCCTCTTCCTCTTCCCTCCTCTTCCCTCCTCCCTCCTCTTCCCACCTCCCTTCTCTTCCCTCCTCCCTCATCTTCCTCTTCCCTCCTCATTCTCCTTTTCCCTCCTCCCTCATCCTCCTCTTCCCTCCTCCCTCCTCCTTTTCCCTTCTCCTTCCTCTTCCTTTCTCCCTCCTCTTCCTGCCTCCTCTTTCTTCCCTTCTCCTTCCTCCTCCCCCCACCTTCTGGCTCCTCCTTTCCTCCTTTTTCTAGCACCAGGCCAGGGCTAGCCCTGCAAGGAGCAGGTGAGGTCGTGGGGCCTGCTGTTCCGGAACCCTGCCTTGGGGTACGGGGAGGTGTTCGGCAGCACATGGGATCTCATCCTTGTACCATTGACCATTCTGTGTTGAGTCCTGTGGTACCCAGGGTGAGAGTGTGGCCTGTGGCTGATGTGCCGCCTTCGCTTCCTCGTGTGAAGGAAGTTTGCCGGAGGCCTGCTTGGCCTGTCATGGTCTTTCCCTGCAGGGAAGCATTTGGCCCCGGTGCTAGCAGGGAGCTGGGGCTGCTGCTAGAGGGCTGGCCCCGCGGCCCCAACCTCCTCAGAGCTGGTCCTGTCCCCCACATCTGGGGGTCTGGGAGAAGGCTGACCCTGCACTGTTCTGGCTGGTCGCGGTGTTTGCCTGGCATGCAGGGCCCTCACTGAGATGTTTGCTCTCACCACTCACAAAACATCCTTCTTGCTCCCCTGAACCTTTATGTCTTACAGCCCTAACCCAACATTTTTCAGAGGTTCCTATAGTAATTTGCAAACGTGTTATAAAAATGACATAAACCACAGCTGCTTGCAGCAAATAACTGGCCAGCACTGAAGCAGGTCTGACTGGGCCTCCTGCAGTAGGTGTGCGCCGGTGTGCCCCGGGCAGGTCTGTCCTCGGGCCCTTGCTGCCGGCACTGGCTCTTAACGCTGGGTATACCAGGGCTCCCCGTCACGCAGGGCCTGCCCAGAATTTCCACAGTGGACGGTGGTCAGGAGCGATGGTTAGGATGGCTGGCTGGGGCCCCAATGATGCTCCAGCTCCCATGCTCCCCTTGAAAGAAGACAGCTTGTTTGTTTTTTAAATTCTTGTCTTGGAGGAAACTTTCTTAAGGTATCAATATTCTTTTCAAAATATAGCTTATCATTTTTCTTCCACCCACCCCCCTTTTTTTTTTTTTTGAGACAGGTTCTTGCTCTGTTGCCCAGGCTGGAATGCAGTGGTTCGATCACGGCACACTGCAGCCTTGACCTCCTGGGCTCAAGTGATCCTTCCACCTCAGCCTCTCAAGTAGCTGGGGGTACAGGCGTGCACCACCATACCCGGCTAATTTGTATTTTTGCATTTTTTTTGTAGAGATGGGGTCTTGCTATGTTTCCCAGGCTGGTCTCTTAACTCCTGGGCTCAAGTAATCTTCCTGCCTCGGCCTCCCAAATTGTTGGGATTACAGGCGTGAGCTGCCATGCCCAGGTTTATTTTCTCATATGCTTGTCCTAGAACAACTGAATGTGTAAAATGGAAAAAGGAAAAAAAAAAAAACCCACCTAGCCCAGGTAACCATCCCTGACATTCTGGCACATTCCTTTTGACTCTGTGTTGCTTTGGACACTCATTTTCAGTGGGTAACAAGCAACTTCGCTGGGGTCCCGTCGGTGCGCCTGCGGTACAGCCAGTGAGAACTGATACGGGCAGAGAGGCTGGCCGTGCAGGAGGGGTTGTTGGGGGTGTCCTGGGGGCAGTCAGGGCACAGCCTCTCCTGGGCCAGGCCTTTGTGTCTCACTGAGCTTTCCAGGCACGCTTCATGGTCAGGTTCATGACGAGTGTGCCAGTGGTGAGTGGTCCTGGCACACTCCCCACAGGTGACCTGTGCGTGGCCTTGCTGTGGGCTAGTGCCGTCCTTGGCCCAGCATGGTGTGTGGGCACCCTCTGACTGTGCGTTTTCCAAACCCAGAAGCTGGCAGGGCGGAGATGCTGGACCATGCCGTCCTGCTTCAGGTGATCAAAGAACAGCAGGTGCAGCAAAAGCGCTTGCTGGACCAGCAGGAGAAGCTGCTGGCGGTGATTGAAGAGCAGCACAAGGAGATCCACCAGCAGAGGCAGGAGGACGAGGACGACAAGCCCAGGCAGGGTAGGCAGGGCAGCTGGCAAGGGGGTGGGGCCAAGCAGGGGCTCCTGCTATCCTGCGCAGGTGGGTCTGAGGCCCTGTGGCCTGTCCTGAGGGTGGTTGCCAGCTTGTTGTTTTGAGTCATTCCACTGGCAGCCTGTGTTCAGTGCCATGGCTAAACTCATGACGAACTTCATTTGCAGCAGGTGTGCAGCCAGAGCCTGGAGTGGCGGCACCCAGAGGCCAGGAGGCCCCTGAAGGCAAGGCCAGGGAGATGGTGGAGAATCTGCCTCCCCTGCTTTTGGACCCTGTCCTCAGAGTTCCTGGAGGCCACCCCGCTCCATCCCAGGATCTTAACCAGCACTCCCTGGAGCACCTTGAGGGGGCTGTGGGCAGAGAGCCTGCTGGCCTTCCTGATGGTGGCTCTGACACGGAGCCACCGCCAGCCCCGGCCAAGCTAAGAGACGGCCAGAAGGATGCTGCCCCTAGGGCAGCTGGCACAGTGAAGGAGCTCCTCCCTCATGTTGCGGAACAGGTGCCTGTGCCGGACCCCGCCAGGGAAGCTGGGGGCCCAGAGGAGCGCCTCGCAGAGGAATTCCCCAGGCAAAATCAGGATGTTCCTGGTGGTAGTTCCCAAGAAAGGAAGAAACCTGGGAAGGAGGTGGCAGCCACTGGCACTCGCCCTCTGAGGGAAGCCAACCGGCTCGAGTCAGGGCCCGGAGCAGAGACAGGGCACCTTCACGTGAAGTCCAAGCAAATGAGCCGAGGCCTGGACCTTGCAGCAGGCCTGCCTGGCAAGGCGGAGGGAGCAGCCCTTCAGCCCCAGGCTGCATTACGCCCGCCGGAACCACGGGTCATTTCTGATGGCGAGCAGGGTGGACAGCAGGGCCACCAGTTAGACCATGGCAGTCACCTGGAGATGAGAAGGGAGGCCCATGGCGGGGACCATGTGCCTGTGTCCCACAAGCAGCTGGGAGGTGGGGAGGACACTGCTGTCCAGGAGCCCAGGCAGAGGCCAGAGCCAAAGCTGGGGCCCAAACGAGCTGCCCCCGTGGCCCAGAGGCCAGACAATGCCAAGCCCAACAGAGACCTGAAGCTGCAAGCTGGTTCCGACCTCCGGAGGCGGCGGCGGGACCTGGGCCCTCGTGCAGAGAATGAGCCGGCCCTGAGGGACGGGGTCATCATTGGCTTTAACCCCCCACCTGATGTCCAGGTGAACGACCTCCATGGTGCCCTGGACGCTCAGCTCCGCCAGGCTGCTGGGGGCGCTTTGCAGGTGGTCCACAGCCGGCAGCTTCGACAGGCACCCAGGGTTCTGGAGGCCTAGCACCTGTTAGCCATTAGGGCCACGCCCGCCACCGTCAGGACAGCAGCAGGTCTCTCCCCGCCACATTCTGGCGGAACTCTGGAGGTCACACATACTCTTCCCCAGGGTTTCACGTCTGAGGCCCTCACCAAGTGTGAGTGAAAGTATAAAAGATTTCACTGTCTGTGGCATTGTTTCCAGAATGTTCTTGCTGTTATTTGTTGCACCTCTTCGTCTGAGGTCCTCTAACCTCTCGACTCTGAGCTCACTACAGTCCATGAGAAACGGCCTCCAGGGTGAGCTGGCCGGCGCGCTTTCTCCCAGGCTCAGGCTGGGGAGCCACTGCGTCTGGGGCCAAGCCTTCCGCTCCTGCTGGGAGCACATCTTCAGGTTGAGTGGAGGCACATGTGGCTGCCGATGGTCCCAACACAGGATACCGTGAGAGCCAGCGTCAACCCCAGACATCAGTGACTCCGATTTTTCAGTTTATTGATGTTTCCCACAGTGTGGTAGAATTCTTGAATAAATTGTTGTGCCTTCGCCTGCCTGGGTGGATGCTGCTTGGTGTCTGGGAAGCACAGGGAGCGGGGCCAGGCTCTTGAGGGGCCTCCGGGGGGGCTGGCTGGTGTCACTCTCTGCACTCATGGTTGGCACAGCCTCTGTGGTCTGTGTTTTTCGACATTGAGTTGTGGGCTTTTTAAAAACTAAGAACTACCACTGATACCTGATTGGTGATGTTGGTCCGGGGAAGTGACTGGTAGGAGAGCCGGAGGCTGGCCCCAGATTCCAGATGCACACAGCAGAGGCCAGGGGCTGCGAGGGAGTAGCACCATGACCTGCGCCCCATGGTGACTGGACACCAGACGCAGCACAGTCCCAGAGAGATCCTGCGAGCAGGCAGACCCGCCTGTGTGGGGAGCTCGTCCAGCCCCCAGCCCCAGGGCCAGGCTGATGGACATACTGCCCTGCAACCAGGACAAGCAACACAGCCTCTCGCCTGGTGGGAGGAGAGGGAAGGGTGCCACTGTGTGCACAGCACATGTGGATGGACGCTGCATCCCTGAGTCTGCATTGGCTTGTCCTCTGGGGAGCGTGCCATGAAGGGCAGAGGGCCCGTCAGAGGGTCAGGGCCTGGGCTTGGAGGAGGTGTGTGTTGGTGAAGGTCCCTGGCCTCGGCCTCTGGTGGCATCTTCCACCTGCACTTTTTGAAAACCTTTCAGCATTTTGTTGTGGTGTCTTACTTTGAAGGAAAATAAGAAACCACAATAATCTTCAGGCTAGGCAGCGTCAAGACTGGAAATTTTTTTTTTTGAGTTGGAGTTTCACTGTTGCCCAGGCTGGAGTGCAGTGGGGCCATCTCAGCTCACTGCAACCTCCAGCTCCCAGGTTCAAGTGATTCTCTTGCCTCAGCCTCCCAAATAGCTGGGACTACAGGCACCCACACCCACACCCAGCTAGTTTTTTTTTTTTTAGTAGAAACGGGGGTGCTTCACCTTGTTGACCAGGCTGGTCTTGAGCTCCTATTCATGATCTGCCCGCCTTGGCCTCCCAAAGTGCTGGGATTACAGGCGTGAGCTACCACGCCTGGCCTGAAGATGAAATTATGACTATAGGGAAGCTTCTGGATGCTGAGCGGTGACTCCTGCTGAGCCCTGGGGGCTGGGAGGGGGCTGAGGGGCCGGGGGCGCTGCTCAGCAGGCAGGAGGTACCCTGCAAAGGCAGTTCAGTCCCAGCCATTTCTGTCCTTCATTAAAAACAATTCCAAGTGAATCACAGCTCAGTGGTAAAACACCTCCCAGATATTCCCCTCAGACTGGAACTTTGTTTGTTCAACTGCTTGGAGTGGGATTTTCATTCTGGCTGGATTTCCCCAAATGTCGTAGTGTGACCCACTTTTCTTTTTCTTCTCTGGAGGTTATTCTTTCCTCCTCCCCTTTCTGCTAACTGCTGCTGTTGGAGGAGGACAGGGCCGCCCTCCACCAGCACAGAGAGGCATCCGTAACAGCCCTCTTCTGCCGTCACCCACCCTGCTGCACCCCCGAGTCCCTGTGCCCCCAGCCACATGCAGGGTCACCCGCCCCTTGCTCGCTTCCTTCTTCCTGCCCACCCCCACCCCCAGCCCAGGCGGCACCCCTCAGGGAAGGAAAGAGAAACTTATTTCCCCAGAAGCCTGGCAGACCCCTGGGTGGGGCTTGTCAGAACTGCACGGAGGGGCCTGGGGTCAGGCTGCGCTTTCTGAGCCACCTCAGGCTGCTCCTGTCTGGTCAGTCCTGGTGCTGTCACCGGGCAGTGGAGTCTGCCTCTGGGGGCTCAGTTCCAGGGCAGGGCATCAGGGACAGCGCTGCCCCATCCCTGTGTGCTTCTTCGTGGGAACAGACTCGCACAGCAGGCTGGCCAAGGGGTGGGTGTGGCCTGAGAGCCAAAGCACTTGCTGTCATTTGATGTGTCCCCCCCAAAATTCAGGAGGTGCCTAAATGATAGTGTCGAGAGTGACTAGGCCCCAAGGGCTCCTTCCTGGCTGCAGGAGTAAGCGCCTTATAAAAGGCTGCATGCAGCATGCAGGTCCCTTGCTCTCTTCCCCTCCACCTTCTGCAGCCTCAGGACACAGCACAAAGGCCCTCCCCAGATGCCAGGGCCAGTGCCTGTGCCTGGATCTCTGGCTTCCCAGCCAGCAGAGCTATGAGAAGTCAGGCTGTTCTCTGTAAATCACACAGTCTCAGGTGCTTGGTTGGGGCAGCAGGAGTGGCCTAAGTGTGGCTGAAGCAATTAGAGCTCTGCATGGTCCTGGTGGCCTGGAAAGAGAAGCCCCCCACTGCCCACCTTCCTGAGCTGTCCATCGGTGCAGTCCTGAGAGCCAGTGACTCAGGGAGGAAGGGCAGGAGCAAAGGCGGAGGGCGGTTTGTAAGAAAATTTGTGGGGGTAGAAGAGGGGGGATCCCCAGGAAGCCTGAGAGCTGAGTTTGGAGGTGTGGGTCACAGGAAGCAGCAGGTCTGTCTGCCACCACCTCACACATGGGGTGAAGGACAGCGGCGGGGGGTAGCACTGGCAAGATGGGTCTGTGGGCAGGACAGGCAGGCCCACGGAGGGGGTTGGAGGGAGATGAGCTGCCAAAGGGCAGAGGAAAGGGCATGACGGGGCTAAGAAAGGGTGTATGTACTGTGAGGCTGGCTCAGGATGAGTGCTGCATGCGTGAGGGGGAAGGCAGGGGTGGGGCAGCTGGGCCTGCACGCTGGGGAGGTGGGTTAGGCGGGTCGGGCCAATGCAAGGCATCTGAGTCTCTGGCCTACACAGGGATGGGCTGCGGTGGCTTGGCTCCAGCAGTCTGGTCTGGATTCCTGTGGTTCCCAAGATGTGACTCTATCCTGTGCCTTGGGACAAAATCTAACACTCTGGAGACTCACAATGCCCAGCTCCAGCAGACCCTCCACCCAGATGAGACAGCGGGTGTTTAGGGGAAACCAGGCTAATTCTGGGACAGCATCTTAGGAGGAAACATGGAGGTACAGACCTCAGCCCATGGGGTCAGCTGCTCGCATGGGCCTGGGGACAGGTGCAGGCCACAGCCCCAGGACAGCGAGACCTCCACACTTCGGAGCAAGGAAACACCTGAAGCAGTCCCTGCCACGCCCGGCAGGTGGCGCTCAGGCCTCACAGATTGCCGAGTCTCCCTGTCAGCAAGTGCCTGGGCAGGGGCAGGGTGTTGCCCTTCTCACCTAAGTTTCAGGTCCAGTGGTGTGATAGGGAGGGGAATGAGGGCAGGAGCCATCACTGAAGTACCTGGGCTGCTGAGGGGGCGACCAACTCCACACCACAAAGGAGTGGCAGTGGCTGCTGGTGCCTCTCTCGGAGGCTCAGGCCCTTTTGTAACGAGCCCCCGCCTTACCCCATGTCCAGGAAAGCCATCTTCAAGGACCCTGCCCCATGGGGTGTCCCGTCCTCATCTTTGGTGTGTGCTATATACCCATAGTGAGGTCTGCAGGCTTCACCAGATTCAGATTAAATACCTTAGTGAGAATGTTTTAAAATGCAAATTTTGAAGCAGAGTGTCCCTGAGTCCCAGCCCTGCCCTTTTTGGGGGAGAAGCCAGGGCCCACAGGTCGCAGTCTGCACAGTAAGCCCCACGCTGCAGGATCTGATGGAATCTTTATCGTGGCTTCCATTACATCTTATTCTAACTCAAGTCCTTATAGACACAATGCTGGAAAGCCAATTTCTGTTCTACCCACACCTCAACGTGCTGAGAAGAAACAGGATCTAACATCAGGAAGTCACGTCTTCGCCATTCCCACTTCCTTTCTGCCCTGGGCATTCCATGTGTGCCACCAGGCACCATCAGGACGAGGGCTCTGCACCCACAGCAGCAGACAGGTGTGAAGCTCAGAACCTCCTAACAGCCTCCCTCCAGCGTCTTCTTGGCCTACAAGATAAAGTGTTTTGTCTGAATGGCTTGCTTCCAAGTTAGACATGGCTTGAAAGAAAGCTACCATGCCAAATGCCATGTTCTACCAAATACCTTAGAGACTTCAGTGCTGGCACGTGCTGGAGGCTCGACTGGTTGGAGAACCATAGGTTGGTTCTCTGGGTCACTGGTTCAAGGGACAAGGGCCTTGTGACACCATCACAGACCTCACTGCTGTACCCTCCTTTGACCCCCACCACACACCACATTTGGTCCCATGCTCTCATAAAGGCAAAGCATGAGGCCCCCCCAACTTTTTTTTTTTTTTTGAGACAGTCTCACTCTGTCGCCCAGGCTGGAGTACAGTGGTGTGATCTCAGCTCACTGCAACCTCCACCTCCCAGGTCCAAGCGATCTTCCCACCTCAGCCTCCCAAGTAACTGGGACTACAGGTGAACACTACCATGCCTGGCTAATTTTTTTTTTGGTAGAGACGGGGTCTCTGTATGTTGCCCAGGCTGGTCTCAAACTTCTAGGCTGAAGCAATTCAGTGACCTCAGCCTCCCAAAATGGTAGGACTACGGGTGTAAGCCACTATACCCAGCAAAAGTGCAACTTCTGATGAGTCACCCACCCCTGCATCCAAGGCTGCTGGGAGCAGGCAGGAATGAAGGCTGTGGGGCTTTTATTCAAGTACCTTTCTCTGGCCCAAATCTCTGGATTGACAACTCCCGGTAAACAGAGTCAGCACTGGCGTCACAGCCCACCCAGACACACTGAGTTGGGGCGCCCGAGGTGGTACCCAGTGAGGCTGACACTTAACGAAGCAGCCTCAGAATGACTTAAAGCCCCACGGTCAGGAAGCCCATCGTGCCAGTTGTGAGGGTGGCAGGGGTGCCCGGCAGGGCAGGTTGAAGGAATCCACCACCGCAGCTGCACAGGGGCTGCGAGTGCCGGGGAGGTGAAGACCCAGAAGGTGCTGGGTACTTGCTGGGAGTCCTGTATCGGGTCGATGCTGGTATGTCACCCCTCGGCGGCAGTGCCAACACGAAAACTTAACGCGCTTGACAAGGCGCCTTCGTGCACCCATCCCCCATCCTTTCTGAGATTGGTGCCAGTCCCGCTTTACAAACATGCAGGCACAAACCCGGGACCGCCGAGATTTCGCGGGCTTGTCAGTGGCTCGGTGGTTTGGTCAGCCGGGGTCTAAAGCACGCAGCGGCGGCTCAAACTCTGAACCACGGGGAAGCAAAGGACGGCCGGGGCCCGCCGGCTCTTGAAGGAGAAGGGCTCGGAGGGGCCCGCGCCCACCTACCGCGGCGGCGAAGCAGCTCCGCAGGGCCTGGAACTCCCGCGCGCAGAGGTCCTTGCTCAGGCGGCCGCCCGGGGCCGTAGAAGCCTGCACGCACCTGCCGTACGCCGCGGCCTGCGGAGTGGACGCGCGTGGGTAGTGGGGTTCCCCTGTCCCCGTCACAGCCCTTCCTCCCCATCACTGCCCCGCTCGGCCCTTCCTGCCCCGCAGCACTGGCCTGCCCAGGGCTCCTCACCTCGGCCCCGCAGGCAGCCAACCGCTCAGGGAAGGCGCGGAGGCGGCTTCGCACCCGGCCCCACACCGCTCCGTTAGCCGACATGAGCCTCTGTTCCCAGAGCCCCTGGACACCGCCATATTAGGTCCGTCCTCTTCCGGTGTCAAACAGCTTGATAGGTCGGCGCTTCCGCCCATCATCTTTCCTGAGCTTTTTAATTGCCGTCTCCTGGCCTTGAGCCCCCTGCAATTGGCTTTTGTCCTTGTCTGTCTCTGCCATGGGACTTCGGATTGGCCTAGACTCAAATTATTTACAAAGCCGACCTCAGGGCCCGTCCCACTACGAGGGACTGGGCAGCGGAGTAGGATGCGCGCGGTGATTGGAGGGCTCGGGCCTGGCGGAAGCGGGGCGGACCGGGAAGTGACCTGCATTATGGCGGCAGTGCCGCCGCTGCGGGACCGCCTGAGCTTTCTGCACCGGGTGAGTGGGAGCGGCCCCCCCGCCCCCGGCTCCGACCCCACGTGTCCTCTCCGTCGCCGCTCGCCCCGGGCCGGAGCCGTTGACCTTGCGTCCCCGCCCTGGGTAGCCGCTCCTGGCCCCTTCGCTGCGCTGTCCCCGGGCCTCCCAAGCCGGACCCGCCGAGCGCGAGGGCGATGGGCACAGGCAGACCCTGGGGTAGAGAATAGGCCTCGGCCAGCATTCAGTGGCCTCCGACAGACAGGAAGGAGCGGCGGACCCAGTGGACGTGGAGCCGCTCCACGCTGCCGGCGCCCGGTGGGCTGACGGTGGCATTTCAGAGGAGGGCTCCGGTCCTGGAGAGGCACCCCTGGGTTGCCGAGAACACAGACATCTCGAAGGGACAGAGAAGGACGCACCGTTGTAAGCCCCTCTTAGTAAACTCTCTAAGAAGGAGAGGTCGGGGCCAGTCCCCAGGTGTCGTCCAGAGCAAACTGTCTTCTTTTGTCAGCCCTGAGCTTTCCTAGGGTGGACCTCAGAGGGGGCTGGGTAGTCCCGGGCGCGGCCTTGGGCTGCCAGAAGCCATGCCAGGGTTGGTCAAGCTCTCCGTGCAGGGTTTGGACAGAGTCGTTCTGTGCTGCGTTCTGCAGTCGTCAGCCGTCACCTGCAAACCTCTCAGCTCCCCTTAGGGCTTGATGGGCAGAATGTCAGTGATGTGTCCACAGCCTCGGGAAACACTTAAGGTCCACGTTTTTTTGTGTTGTCACTAGATCTCGGCCCTCACGAGTCAGTCCCATGCTTGTCCTCTTAAATATGCTTGAACTCCTCTCCTCTGTTCTGTTGCTGAATAATGCATGAATGAGCGTTTCCAATTTTCACCCCATAAACCATACGTCTTCCTGCCAGTAAGGAAGCATAAAAGAAAAAAGGACTTCTGCATTAAGCGAGCAACATAAAACACATGGCGTCACTCGGTTCTCAGGATCGAGGGAGCCAGTCAGGCCAAGGGGCTCTGTCACTCTGCCAATCCAGGCTCTAGGGAGCGGGAGCCATCCATAGTCCCCTGCGTGGAAAAGGGGCTTGCCTGAGCCTTGTTTGGCTTTGCTAGTCAGTAGGTAGATAGAAGTACCTTCAAATAGCCTTACATGCTGAGAAGTGCAAGGAGGCTGGGGGCTGTGTCCTATCTTATCCCAAGTGGCGCAGCCCCTCCCTGGAGAACCACCATTGATTTGCCTCTTCTCAGAGGCTGTTCGTCCCTGACAGTTGAGAGAGGACCCTGCTGCAGGCTCCCTGTGGCCCATAGCACCATTCTCGTCCCTTCCCAGTCCTTTCTCCGGCCATGTCAACAGCAAGAAGTGGGCCGTTTCCATCCCCTTTGGGAGCTGCGGACTCACCGCTGTGGGAAATGGCGCCTCATCACTGCAGAGGCTCTTGTTCCCTTTCAGCTCCCGATTCTCCTGAAGGGGACATCGGATGATGACGTCCCATGTCCTGGCTACCTGTTTGAAGAGATTGCTAGTATCCTTCCTCGACGTCCCTGTGTGGGGCAAGAGCGGATAGCAGGGTCCTGGTGTGGGGCAAAGGGTCACTGGGGGTTCTGCTGTCCCTAGAGGGATCTGCAGCTCCTTTATCATTGGAACCAGGCACCGGTGGGGTCTGAAGGCTGTGATACTGATGGCTCAGGAGAGCCTGGAAGCCCCAGCGCTCCTGATGGCAGGGCCTGCAGCAGGTGCCTCCAGGCACGTCTCCTTTCCCTTTATCATCTCCCTTCCCTAACCCGAGCGTGCTGCAGAAATCTCCCATGAGTCTCTGGGCAGCAGCCAGTGCCTGGTGGAGTACCTCCTGACCCGCCTGCACAGCAGCTCTGGCCATGGGAAGCTCAAGGTGAGCCCCTGGGTGGTCAAGGGTCAGGCCCGAGCCCCTGCCCACGGTGCTGAGGCTGGAGGAGCAGATGAGTGGTGTAGGATGGCTGGTGGCTCTGTGCCCTTGGGGCGCCCCTGGCCCTGCCCTGGTGTCTGGCCTGCCCAGCACCGCTGACCGCCCCACTCCCCAGGTGCTGAAGATCCTGCTCTATCTGTGCAGCCACGGGTCCTCCTCCTTCCTGCTCATCCTCAAACGCAACTCCACCTTCATCCAGGAAGCTGCAGGTACTGGGGCCATGCATGCTCTCCAGAAGAGCCAGGGCCGTGGACAGTGGGGGAGGGTGGTGAATCCTCCAAGCTTGAGAAGAAAGACATCAGCTAGAGCCCTCACCCCGGCCTGGTCCTGATCGCCACCCCACCTTGCTGATCCTGGTGGATCCCTGGCCTCTCCACCTGCGGCCCACCCTCACCCCAGCTGGCTGGCTCGGCCTCCCCCATGCACCCTGCCCCTCCCTCTGCTGGGTCCTGTGTGCCTGCCATGCATCCCTGGGCCTTCGGCTGCATCTGTCCCTGCACTTGCTACCTGGGTGCCATTGTTCGTTTCTGTGTGCCCCCAGGGTCTTCCCCCCCCCCCCCCGTCCCAGCACCCACATGTAGCAGGCTCCATGCCTATTCACATGTCCTCCCTGAGCCATGGGTTCTCCTCCTAGGGCTGCTCCTCAGAGCCCAAGACAGAGGTAGGGTAGGGCTGGGAGGCCGGTCTGTCCAGGCAGCAGGTGGGTCTGGGAGAGTCATCCCCCAGGCGGGGGGCAGTGCTGTGTGCCTCTGCCTAATGAGTATTTATGGGGGCTAGGCATGATATCTTCCGTGGGGAGGAGGGAGGCTTGGCTCCAGGTGGCCTTGGGGCGCACCGTGCTTAGATCCCCTGCCCCCTGCCACCCCAAAGGGAATTCCGGGGGGGGAGACTGAGTCTCTCTTGTGCCACTGCTTGTTTGTGGAAAACCTCAGCATGTTCCATCTGCTGGGCTCACCCCAAAACTGGTGTCAAAACCAGTGCTGCCCCTCTTGATGGCACGTGGGCGTGTGGCTCAGAGGGACAGACAGTCCCACAGGGGCCAGTGCCGTGGGCCACCATAGACAGCTGTGACAGGCAACTTAGGTGGTAGATGCCCCTGAGGGGCCACCGTAGACAGCTGTCACAACTTAGGTGGCGGATGCCCCAAGGAGGGACAGTGCCGGGTACTCTTGCCATCCTAAAGCTCCTTAGAGCTTTCAAGCCGAGGCAGCGCTGGCCATTCATCCTTAACCATTCACTGGGTCAGAGGGACCTGCCTCCCAGGCCCCTCCCATGGCTGTGGCTGGTACAGTTACGTTGTGGCCTCAATGGTCTTGGGGACATGCCCTGGGGGGTAGGGCTGCAGCAGGCCCTGGGGATGGGAAAGGCCTTTCTCAGACCCGAGGTTCTTGTCGGCACCAGAGTCTCCGCTGTGCAGAAGCAGTTGTGGATGTTTGCTGTCGCCTGCCGTTGCCTGGGCACTGGCCCTGGTGGTGCATGGGCTATGGGAAGTATCCGCACAGGTCCTGTGAGGAAAGCAGGTGCCAGATGCCACACATGAGAGACGGGGCACCCTGCACCAGGTGGGGGTGTGCAGCAAGGGTGGTCGCCCCATACGTACAAAATGTAGCAGTTAACGAAAGAGGAAAGAGGCCAGGCGCGGTGGCTCACGTCTGTAATCCCAGCACTTTGGGAGGCTTAGGCGGATGGATCACAAGGTCAGGAGTTCAAGACCAGCTTGCCCAGCATGGTGAAACCCCGTCTCTATGAAAAATACAAAAAAGTAGCCGGGCATGGTGGTGCCCACCTGTAATCTCAGCTACTTGGGAGGCAGGGGCAGGAGAATTGGTTGAGCCCAGGAGGTAGAGGTTGCAGTGAGCCGAGATTGGACCACTGCACTCTAGCCTGGGTGACAGAGTGAGACGCTGTCTTAAAAAAAAGGAAAGGAGGGAGGGGGAAGGGAAGAAGGGAGGGAGGGAGGAAGGAAGGAAGGAGGGAGGGGGAAGGGAAGAAGGGAGGGAGGGAAGGAGGGAGGGGGAAGGGAGGGAGGGAGGAAGGAAGCAAGGAGGGAGGGGGAAGGGAAGAAGGGAGGGAAGGAGGAAGGAGGGAGGGGGAAGGGAAGGAGGGAGCGGGAAGGGAGGGAGGAAGGAAGGAAGCAGGGAGGGGGAAGGGAAGAAGGGAGGGAGGGAAGGAGGGAGGGGGAAGGGAGGGAGGAAGGAAGGGAGGGAGGGAGGAAGGAGGGGAGAAGGGAAGAAGGGAGGGAGGGAGAAAGGGAGGGAGGGAGGAAGGAGGGGAGAAGGGAAGAAGGGAGGGAAGGAGAAAGGAAGGAGGGAGGGGGAAGGGAAGAAGGGGAGAGGGAGAAAGGGAGGGAGTGAGGGAGGGAGGGAGGTGGTTGGCAGTCCAACACAGGTTTTCTTTACTTAAAACCTGAGAGGCGCTCCTGGCCAATGGTGGTCAGGAGTACTTTCTATTACAGACTAAGAGCATATATTGGTTTTAGCATGAGGGGCTTTTCGGAAGCTGGGGATGTTTGTGTGTATGGAGAAGTTTATGGCAGGGTTGGAGTCTCTGGAGGAGAGGATATTATCTTGGAGGAGACATCCTTTGGTCAGAGGGTGGTTATCTGGAGGCTGGCATCTTCCCAGAGGAGGTGGTTTATCTCGGGGCTAGATTGTCTCTGGTCGGGAGGAGTTTGAATGTTTCTGGTTGGAGATGTTATTTGTGGTTTATGGTCGTGCTGACTTTAGCCATTAGGCTGATGCCCTTTGGATTTACTTAAGCAGTTTTTAAATTAAGGTGAACTTTAAAATGAGGGGCTTGTCCAAGATGGTGACACTCCTGCTCTGTCACCGAGGAGAGGCAGTGTGAGGTGCAGGCAGGTGGCCCCGGCTCCTGCCAAGAAGATGGCAGCCGAAGGGTGGCGTCTCGCCGGCAGGTCATCCAGCCACTGACTCAGCTTGTGGCCGCCAACCCTGGGCCCAGGGGCAGTCAGGGCATCGTCTCCAAATCACGGGGCCAGCCTGCCAGGGTGGAGATGGGCGGCCGAGGGGTGAAGGGGACTTGGCTGTGATGGAGGCGCCCACCTTCCCACGCATGGCCCTCTAGGGCTGCTCAGAGGAGCAGCTCTCAGGATGAGTCCTTAAAGGATGCTTGGCCCCAGGTGAGGCTTGGGGGGCCCTGGGGGGCCCTGGGGCCCCAGGATTTAAGGAAAGACATCCCAGATCACTGTGATGGGAGCTCTCAGAGCAGGGGAGCCCAAAGCAGCTGGGACTGGGTATGGGCAGGGCCAGGTAGAGCTTTCAGGCTGTGATAGAGAAGGCTGCTTTCACTCTTCAGGCCCGGGGAAGCCTCTGGGGTCCCTGGTGTGTGTGGGGCAGGTAGAGTGGGCAGGGGGGAGGCCGAGCCAGCTCAGACACAAGGGGTTGTGGGTCTTGGGGAGATGAGGTGGGTGCTGTGGAGAGAGACCCGCCTCTGTGGGGCATGGGTGATGGGGAACCAAGGGTCTGCTCAGGTGTGGCCTCTGCAGGGTCCTGGAGGAGGGGGTCAAGGGGGTCCTGGTGGTGGGAGCGTGCCACCCTGGAGAGGCCCCAGTGTGCCATGCCTGGCAGGGGGCAGCAGAGCACCCTGCCTCAACTTGCCTTTTCTGTTTTGCAGCTTTTTCTGGGCCCCCGGATCCTCTGCACGGGAACAGCTTGTACCAGAAGGTTCGGGCAGCTGCGCAGGTGAGCCCAGGAGCAGAGTCGCTCTGCAGGGTGCCCCTCCTCCCGTAGAGGGGCAGGACTGGGGCCTGGATGTCAGCTGGAGGGTTTGCTGTTCTCCCACTAGGGGCCCCTGCCTTCCCTTCTGGCTGGGGGTTGTGGGGTTCTCCCACCCATGCCCCTGCCTCTGCTCCTGCCTCCACTCCTGGCTGCTGGACACAGCCCATGTCTGGCTGAGTGGCTCAGGAGCCGTGTCCGGGGGACAGGATGAAGCTGGCGTGGGTGGGAGCTGAGGCATCCACCTCCCCTGTAGGACCTGGGGAGCACCCTGTTCTCAGACACCTTGTTGCCGCTGCCTCCCTCCCAGCCTCTGGGGACCCCACCAGCCACAGGTAGGTGACCGAAGGGTCCAGCCCAGGCACTGGGTTTCTGCCTCCCCAAGTGTCCTGGGCATCTGTGCCACCCGTGGGCAGGGCCGAGGGTTGGGGCCAGCTCGCCGCTGACTGAGGACCCTCTGCAGGCATGGGCTCCCAGGCCAGGCCACACAGCACTCTCCAGGGTTTTGGCTACAGCAAGGAACACGGCTGCACGGGTGAGTGGGAAGGGACTGCATGGGTGCTGGCATCCCAGGGTGCAGCGGTGAGGAGGGCCAGGGGGGCAGGGTTGCCCACCTGCTAGCTGCTGCCCCTGTCCCCTCCCCCACGCAGCCTTAGCCCTTCCTGGGGCTGCCCCACTGTCACTCTGGCAGACTGACGTGGGGGTGGAGGAGGTGTGGTCAGGGCTACTTTACGAGCAGGTGGAAGAAAGCAGGCTGAACGGGAGGTCAGGGGCGAGTCTGCTCTGAGAGAAGCCGAGGTCTGTGGCCCTGGCTGTGGTGGGGGTGACTCAGGTGGTCATGTGGGGAGCTATTAGGAGCTGGGGCAGCTCCAGTGGATGACTGCTTATCAGCGCCAGGAGAGCCATGGGTGGCACCACTGCGTGCAACTCGGACCCAGCTCTCAGCCCAGCCATGCCCTGCTGTGGGCCCAGGGATGTGTCTGGGTGCTCACTGTCAGGCTGTCCCGGCCCAGCCATGCCCTGCCGCGGGCCCACGGATGTGTCTGGGTGCTCACCTCCAGGCTGTCCTGGCCCAGCCATGCCCTGCTGCAGGCCCCGGACGTGTCTGGCTGTTCACTGTCAGGCTGTCCCGGCCCGGCCATGCCCTGCCACAGGCCCCGGACGTGTCTGTCTGCTCGCCACCAGGCTGTCATGTTGTCCTGCACAGCCCGGGGGCTCCTGCTGACGTTTTGGTATGGGGGTGCCTTCTACAGGGAGCTCACATGGGAAGGGCAGGCCCCTCCCAGCCCTGGATACCCCCTCCCTCAGTCAAGGCCGAGGCCAGGCCCCTTAGGACACCCTCACTCCCAGAAGACAGAGGGACAGAGGCCTAACTGCTGTGAGCTGGAAGTATCCAGAGAATGCTAAAGTGGAGTCCACTGGGAGCTTCCGGAAGTTCTGGTCCCCCGGGAGGCCTCCACACCTGCAGTGTGTACCCCAACCTTCCCAAGCCTGAGCAGGGAGCCAGTGCGGGTAACCTGCTCTCAGAGGACCTGGGTGGGGCCACACTGGGTGGCTGTCCCATCACCCTCTCCTCTGGTGCAGGCTTGGCAGGCGAAGCCTTCCTCTCCACCATCCAGAAGGCCGCAGAGGTGGTGGCCAGTGCCATGCGCCCCGGGCCCGAGAGTCCCGGTACCCAGAGGCTCCTGCCGCGGGGTGACGCCTACCAGCCTGCCGCGATGCCTGCAGCCAGCCACGGGCCCCCAGCCCTGGGGAACCTACTCCCCGGGGCCAGTCCAGGTCCTCAAGGTATCGAGGCGAGGGCTCTTCCTCTTCACTAGGAGTGAAGGAGTCTGGGTCACTCCTTCCTGTCACCACTGGGGCTTTGTGGCCATAGAGGCACATGCCAGGGCCTCCCACACAGCAAGAGGGGCAGCACCCGAGCAGAAGCAGACGCCGTGGGGGCTGGTGTTTGCTGAAGCCGGAGCCAAGGTGGCCATCCTTAGCTCAGGACTCAGACCCCCAGGGCACCTAGTCTGGGGCCCCGGGAGGTGGGCATGGGGCTGGCCTGAAGCCCCAGGGAGTTCACCTGCCATCCTGTTTCCTCTAGCTGTGAGGCACCGGCCTGGGCAGGCTGGAGGGGGCTGGGACGAGCTGGACAGCGGCTCTAGCTCTCAGAATTCCTCCCAGAACAGCGACCTGAGCAGGGCCTCGGACTCTGGCAGTGACAGCCATTCAGGGACCAGCCGGGAGCTGGGCGACCTGGCAGAAAGGTGAGTGGGAGCAGCTGGAGTGGTCTTGGAGCGCCCCACCCCCCACCACACCCTCCAGCATGGCTCCTGCTCTTCAGGTTCTTCCCAGTGTAGGCAGGGGCGGGCCACAGCTCCCACTAACTCACCCCTGACCTGGCCGTTCCCCCTGGCAGGGCCGAGGTGATGGCCCTGAGTGACTGTCAGCAGGAGCTGGGCTTGGTGAGGACCGTGACTCGGGGCCCACGTGCCTTCCTTAGCCGAGAGGAGGCACAGCACTTCATCAGAGCGTGAGTGCGCCTGGCCACCCACCCGGCGCTGCCTCCGCCCCAACCCTGGGCGAGGGATGAGGGGATGGGCCGCCACCCACCACCCAGATGTTCCCGTTGTGCAGGTGTGGGCTGCTCAACTGTGAGGCTGTACTGCAGCTGCTGACCTGCCACCTGCATGGGACCAGTGAATGCACGCAGCTGGTGAGCTGGGCGTGTGGTGCAGGGCTTGGCCATGTGTGTGTGTGCCTGTGTGTGAATGCTCCCGTGTGGCTGTGTGTGAACATGCCTGTGGGGGTGGCTGTGTGTGAACATGCCTGTGTGTGTGGCGGTGTGGGGGTGGCTGTGTGTGAACATGCCTCTGTGTGTGTGGCTGCGTTTGGGTGGCTGTGTGTGTGTGGCTGTTTGTGAACATGCCTGTGTGTGTGTGGCTGTGTGTGAACATGCTTGTGTGCCAACATTCCTGTGTGTGTCTGTGTGTGAACATGCCTGTGTGTGTGTGTGGCTTTGTGTGCGTGGCTGTGAACATGCCTGTGTGTGTGTGGCTGTGTGTATGTGCTTGTGTGTGAACATTCCTGTGTTTGTGGCTGTTCGGGCATATATGCCTATGTGTGTGTATGTATGCCTGGTGTGTGTGCACGTATGCCTGTGTATACACTCTTGTGCACCTGTGGTGGTGTGCACACCTGTGTGTGTACATGACTGCATGTGTGTGCTTGTGTATGTGTGCACCTGTGTGGCTGTGTGTATGTGCTTGTGTGTGAACATTCCTGTGTGTGCATAGCTGTGTGTGGCTATGTGTGAACATTCCTTTGTGGCTGTGCGGGCATATATGCCTGTGTGTGTGTATGTATGCCTGGTGTGTGTGCACGCCTGTGCATGTATGTCTGTGTGTACACTCATGCGCATATGTGCTTGTGTATGTGTGCACCTGTGTGTGTGTGAACGTGTGGATGCGCATGTGTGTGGGGGAGGCATGCGGAGGAATAAAGGTGAGGTGATCAGGGGCGGGGGACCATGTGCTTCTCGCCAGGGTCTGTCCAGGAGCTAGGGTATCAGGCGGTAAGGACAGGTCTCTGGTGGAGCTGTCCCTGCTGCCTCTTGGCACTCGGGTTGTCAGTGAGGAGGAAGAGGAGGGAGAGAGATGGCCAGATAGGACTCCCCTGCGTGGACTGCTGCCCCGTGGGTGCTGACGTTCCCTCCCTTCATTCGCAGAGGGCGCTGTGTGCCATTGCCTCCCTGGGAAGCGCTGACCTCCTTCCCCAGGAGCACATCCTCCTCCGCACCCGGCGACAGCTGCAGGAGCTCAGCACAGGCAGCCCCGGACCTGTGACCAACAAGGCTACCAAGGTGGGAAGCTGCAGGGGCCACAGGCACACTGGGGTCCAAGGGCACACACAGCAGGAGATACACTGCCGTCCACTGCCGCTCGGTCCTGCCCTGCGCTTGGTCAGCTCTTCCCGGAGTCCCCTCTGGAGTCCCTGTCCTGCCGGCTGAGGGAGCAGCAGCGTGTCAGGGACCTCGCCTCCCCGCCCCCTTCCTTTCACCCCAACTTTGCAGCACTCCCAGTGCACTAGCCGCTCCCTGCTCCTAGAAGCCCCCAAACTAGTCTGCCTTAATGTTCCTGCCCGTGCATCGTGGCTTACACTCACATCTTCCAGGAAGCCCTCCTTGACTGCACATGGAGTTAGCCACCCATGACACAGCTCATGCTCAGCTCCAAGCTGAGCATGGGAATGGTCCCATTCATCTGTGCGCACTTGAATGCTCTGAACTGCCTGGAGGCCGCAAGAATCACACTGGGACATCTCTCCCCACAACCAGGCCCTAGCACCTGCCCTCTGCCTGTGGGCATCCCCAGCTGCTTCTTCCTGTTTTCTCTGTGGCTGTGAGAAACACAGGTCCTCAGTCACCCATCCCCAAGTTGTCCTGATCTGTCATTGGTCACCTGCTAGCTCACCCTTCAGTCAGAGTGAACCATGGACTTGGGGTTCGCACCACCCTGGGTGACCCTCGTCGGGGGGGGGGTTTCTGAAATGGGCAGGCTGGAAGCACCCCGTTTCTAGCAGTTGGAAACGCCCAGATGTGCCAGGCCCCATGTGTTCACTCCCTCCAACAGTCCCTACAATCCCCAGGGTTGCCCAGGAGCCTCCCTGGTTCCTCCTTCCTTCCTCTTTCAGATCCTAAGGCACTTTGAGGCCTCCTGTGGGGAGCTGCCCCCTGCCCGAGGTGCCTCGGCCGAGCTTGGCCCCACAGCTGCCCTCCCAGGCCCATCGGACCTGCTGACAGATGCTGTGCCTCTCACTGGAAGCCAGCTCTTCCTCCAGCCTCTGAGTTCAACCGCAGTGTCACCCCGGAGCCCTGCTCCCTCATCTGGGATGCCACCCAGCCCTGTGCCCACCCCGCCCCCAGATAACTCCCCCGTTCCAGCCCCCAGACACCCCAGTAAGGCTGCGACCAGACTGGCAGAGAGCAGGGGCTGGGGACCTGAGCAGGTCCCAGGCGGGACAGACAGCCCAGAGAGAGCCCCCAGCAGCTATGCGTGGAGCCCCCACTCCTTGTTTGCAGGCATGGAGCTGGTGGCCTGCCCCCGCCTGGTGGGGGCTGGGGCTGCTGCTGAAGAGTCCTGCCCTGATGCCCCCTGCGCCCCCCGGACATCGTCCCAGAGGACAGCAGCTGAAGAGCCACCTGGCCCAGAGCCGTCAGCTTTCACATTCCTGAACGCCTGACCCAGTGGCCTGGCCCTGTAGTCTTCAGCTGCAGTCGCAGCCTGCAGGGTGGTGCTTCCTCAGCCTCTGTGACAGTCTCCAGGGCAGCGGACCTGAGAGGAGGGCCCTAGGGCCGCCTCAGTTTCAGATCTCCTCTACTAGAGGCTCTGGCTCTTGCACTAGAATCCAGACATGGAATAGGCAGGTGGCAGGACCTCAGAGATGCTGATCTCAGGGGTCCGAGGGGCAGCCCCTGCCCGTTTTGCCCTCAGACATGAGGTTTCTTGTGTGAATGTGGAAGCGACTACCTGGTTCTTTGTTTCATTTTGATCTCAGCTTCCTCCTTCCCCAGGAGGTCATGAGCAGTAACAAGCCACCACCTCCCAGTCCCATTGGGGTGGCTGGTTTGGTGCACATGGGTTGAGGGTGTCTTGTCCAGGCTGTCTTATGCTGTTTGGCCTGTGGCCTGTGGCCATGTCAGGTTTCAGGTCCCCATGTGACCCTTTCCTGGGCTCTCACACCTCACCCCTATCCTGTGACACTCCTTACACACGAAGCCTCTGGAACATCCAGTCCACCTCAAGACCTTTAGAGAGCGCCGGGGTTCATGCTTTCTGAATAAACACTACTGTTTACACAACGCTGGGCCGTTTGTTTTTCTTATTTTGTATATGTACATCTTAATAAAAATACCATCAATAAGGAGTATGTGTAGAAGACACTTTCCTCCACGTACGGATGGGTGAATTTCTTCCGGAAACATTTGGTAGAACTCCCCAGTGGTACTATACTTGGAGTTAACCTTAATTGCAAGGTTTCAAACGATGAAATTCAGTTTCTTAAATAACAGCCTATTGGTTATCTAGTTCTGATTTCAGTGGTCTGTGCCTTCAGGGGCCTGGTCTGTTTCTGTAAGTTGCTGACTTTGTGACTTCAGTTTTTTGTAGCATGCCTTTAGGATTCTTTTCATTCCTGATGTTGCTCATTGGTTTTCCCGTTTTCTTGGTCAGGCTGACTAGCACTTTATTAATGTTATTAGCTTCTTCAAAGAACAGTTTTTTTTCTACTTCACTGATTTCTTTTGTTCAGTTTCCAATGTCACTAATTTCTGTTCTTTATTTTTCCTTTATTCTGCTCTGGGCTTATTTTTATCGTTTCAGTTTCTTAAGGTGGAAGCTTAGATTATTTATTAGTGACCTTTGTTTTCTATCATGAGCATTGTAAACATCTCATATCGCATTCATTGGCTGCATCTGATGAATTTTGGTATATTCAAATATTTATTCAGCTCAAAATATTTTTAAATTTCTCTTGAGACTTCCTTTTTGTCCAGTGGGTTATTTTAAAGCATGTTGTTCTGTGATTATTTAATTCTGATATAGTCCAAGAACATACTTTGTATGATTTCTGTTATATTAAAGAATTCCAGCCAGGTATGGCTCACGCCTGTAATCCCAGCACTATGGGAAGCCGAGGTGGGCGGATCACCTGAGGTCAGGAGTTCGAGACCAGCCTGAGCAATGTGGAGGAAACCCCATCTCTACTAAAAATACAAGATTAGCCAGGCATCTCTGTGGGTGCTTGTAATCCCAGCTACTTGGGAGGATGAGGCAGTAGAATCACTTAAACCCAGGAGGCAGAGGTTGTGGTGAGCTGAGATCGTGCCACTGCACTCCAGCCTGAGCAACAAGAGCAAGACTCTTGTCTCAAAAAAAAAAAAAAAAAAAAAAAAAGGATTTCAAGCCTAGGCAACATAGCAAGACCCTGTTTCTACAAAAAAAAAATTTTTTTTTAAGTAGCCAGGCATGGTCCCAGCTACCCAGTGGCTGAGGCAGGAGGATTGCTTGAACTCCAGAGGTTGAGAGGTTGAGGCTGCAGTGAGCTGTGATTGTGCCACTGCATTCTGGCTCTGTCACCCAAGACAGTGGCAATCAACGGCTCACTGCAGTCTCAATCTCCTGAGTTCAAGGGATCCTCATGCCTCAGTTGCCACACATTGGCTTTTGATTTATTTTATTTTTATTTTTTGGTAGAGACAGGGCTCTCACTATGTTGCCCACGCTGGTCTCCAACTCCTGGCCTCATGTAATTTGTAGGGCCGTAGGGCCCCACAGGTTCATGGGGTGTCCCTTATGCTGTGCTGAGGTGTAAGATCTGAGAAGTAAAGAGGACACTGAAGAGCTGGTAAAGAGCAGCTGAACTTGGGAGGCCATGCCACCTGTTAGCGGAGATTGGTGAGAGCCCCAAATGCCCAGAAGCGTCCATATTTATTAGGTACAGCAGGGGGCAGGGTCGTGAGTGAGGTCATCATCTATAGGCTTAGTAATGGGGCATATACAATCGTGAGTCACAAGCGAGGGGGCCACCCCATTATGTCACGTGGGCAGAGAGGTGGGCTGTGTGCAGTATGGAGCTGTGCTACAGTAGTAGAGGGTCGTGTACAAAGAAGGGGTCCGCCCCCATTAGGCCACCGAAACAAGGAGGTGGGCTGTGTGCAACAGGTGTCGTGTGCAACACTTCTTATCCGGGGGCTGTAGACTTCAGAGGATTTCTAGTAGGAGGATACTGTAAGCCAGTGCACTGGGAGCTGACAGACTTGTGCTCTTCTCTTAAGATATTTATGGGAGGATGATTTGAGCTAGCACAGAAGTGAGAAAAGACTGACAGGGTGTACAGCTGCTGTGTCTGGTCACACCAGAGGGGTTCTTCTCCCTCGGTTATTTCCAGGATCTCAGGCCTGAGGCCTACTTTTCACAGGAACTGGATGAAAGATACTCCAACTCCTTTATCAGGAGGGGAGGCTCTTTCTCCAGGCCTGCCATACACCATATGCCCTTTCAGGCAGAGATGCCACCGCCTGGGTCTTTGGTTCTCGTCCTGGTCTGGCTGTTTTCCCATGTACTGCTTCTGTTCTGTGACTGCTCTAGGCATTCCTCCTACTACAAACTACTATATGGTTATATGGAAGGATTCTATAAATCAGCACTAAATGTGTCAGTACAGCTCTGACTACAATACCTGTATGATTATATAGAACTAAGTATGCTAGATATAAGTATTAAGTATGATTATATAAGCTAGACATATGTAAGCAGTAAGTTATACTTCAGGCACTAATTCTATAAACTAACATGATTATATACAAAGGATTATATAAAGGAAATAACTGAGTAATAACACCATAAACTAAGATATTCTTCAAGCACTAATTGTGCCTGGGGTCCAGACACAGTTCTCCTACCTTGGTGACCATAGTGGGCATTACCCACAACCTGTTTAGAATAAAGTTTTAAGTTGTTAGCCAATCAGGTTTTAGTTTAGATTGTGAGGTCTGGTTCCAACCAATGGAAATCAGACACAGCAGTAAGGATGATCCCAAATGCATAAGAAATAAATATGTCTGCTTTTCCTTTGTTCATTGTACTCTTGTGGCAAGATATTTCTAGTGAGGGTACCATTTCTACAGGAAGTAAAAATTGCCTTGCTGAGAGATCCTTTGTCCCAGTGCTGACTTTTCTTTGCAGCACTGAAAATTTACATATAACAATACGTGTAGGATGTATATGCTGAAAACTACAAAATACTGATGAAAGAAATCAATGAAGATCTAAATAAATGGAGAGAAATACCACATTCATAAATTAAGGTGTCAATTCTTCCCAAATTAAAGATCTACAGATTTAATGTAATCCCCATCAAAATCACAGCTGGATTTTTTTTAAAGATAGTGACAAGCTGATACTAAAATTTATAGGAAAGTCAAAGGAATTAGAGTAGCCAAGGTAATTCTGGAAAAGAAGAGCAAAGGGCTCACAATACCTGATTTCAAGCTTTACTACAGGCCAGGTGCAGTGGCTCACATCTGTAATCTCAGCACTCTGGGAGGCCAAGGTGGGAGAGTCACTTGAGCCTAGGAATTTGAGACTAGCCTGGCAACATAGTGAGACCCCATCTCTACCAAAAACACAAGTGCAGTGATGAAGACTGAGGTATTGGTGAAATGTAGAGACATTGATCAATAGACTAGAATAGAGTTCAGAATAGATGATATGGGCAATTGCCTTCTACAAACAAAGTTCTTTTTAAAACAATTTTTGCATATGTAGGCCCAATGAAGAAAGGGCAGCCTTTCAGCGGATGGTGCTGGAACACTTGGGCCTCCGAATGCAAAAAAGAAAAAAAAACCTTGGCTCATACCTCATACCTTATGGAAAGTTTAAGCTGAATCTTAAACCTAAATATGAGAGTAAAACTATAAGACTTCTAGAGGAAAACAGAGGAGAATACATTTTGTCTCTGTTAGGCAATGTCATCTTATATAAGATATAAAAAGCACAAACCATGGAAGAAAAAAATTGGACTTTATTAAAGTTAAAAAATTCTCTTTGAGCCAGGCCCAGTGGCTCATGCTTGTATGCCCAGCACTTTGGAAAGCCGAAGAGAGTGGATAACCTTAGGTCAGGAGTTCAAGACCAGCCTGGCCTACATGGCAAAACTCCATCTCTATAAAAAAGTAGCCGAGTGTGGTGGCATGCCCCTGCAATCCCAGCTACTCAGGAGACTGAGGCAGGAGAATCACTTGAACCTGGGAGGCGGGGGTTGCAGTGAACTGAGATCACGCCACTGCACTCCAGCCTGGGCGACAGAGCGAGACTCGGTCTTAGGGAAAAGAAAGAAGGAAAAAGAAAACAGCTTGGCAGTTTCCTTTTTGCTTTTTTTTGAGATGGAGTCTCACTCTGTCACTCAGGCTGGAGTGCAGTGATCTGATCTCCGCTCACTGCAACTTCTGTCTCCTGGGTTTAAGCGATTCTCCTGCCTCAGCCTCCGGAGTAGCTGGGATTACAGGTGCATGCCACCAGGCCCAGCTAATTTTTTTTTTGAGACGGAGTTTCGCTCTTGTTACCCAAGCTGGAGTGCAATGGCGCGATCTCGGCTCACCACAACCTCTGCCTCCTGCGTTCAGGCAATTCTCCCGCCTCAGCCTCCCGAGTAGCTGGGACTAAGGCGCACGCCACCATGCCCAGCTATTTTTTTGTATTTTTAGTAGAGACGGGGTTTCACCATGTTGACCAGGATGGTCTCGATCTCTTGACCTTGTGATCCACCCGCCTCGGCCTCCCAAAGTGCTGGGATTACAGGCTTGAGCCACTGTGTCCGGCCTTTTTTGTATTTTTAGTAGAGATGGGGTTTCACCATGTGGGCCAAGCTGGTCTCAAACGCCTGACCTCAAGTGCTCTGCCGGCCTCGGCCTCCCAAGTGCTGGGATTACAGGTGTGAGCCACTGGGCCCAACTGGCAGTTTCTTATAAACTATCATATGATCTAGCAACCCCACTCCTGGGTATTTACACAAGAGAACTTGTGTCCACAAGAAGCCGGTGAGTGAATGTTTATGGCAGCATCATTCATAATTGCTAAGCACCAGGAACAATCTCTGGGTACTTCATTTGATGAATAAAATAAGTAAATGTGGTTCACACCACTTACGGAATACCACTCAGGAATAAAGAGGAACCACCATGAATCTCAAAATGCGAAGTGGTAGAAGTCAGACCCTTTTGTGTGACATTCTGGAAAAGGCCACCTCTAGAGGATGGAGAACAGAGAGAACTGAGCAGCCGCTACCAGAGGTCAGCAGTTGCGGGGCGGAGGGAGAATGTTCTGTAACTAAGTTACAGAACTCCACTGCGCACCAAAAAATGTGGATATTACTGTATATAAATAAAAGTTTTTATTTTATTTAGAGCATTGGATTTTTTAAAAAGCAGCGGCAGGGGACCAGTGTGCCCTGCCTTTTAGGGGAATGATGGCTTCCCTGGAGAGGACCGGGGCAGGATCCCCAGGGCTCCCGAAGGCAGAGGAGTCACAGAGCGGCTACGCACAGGACCCAGCCTTAACACTTTGGAGAAGGAGTATGGCGAGGTGGCTCACGCCTGTAATCCCAGCACTTTGGGAGGCCGAGGCGGACAGATCAGGAGTTTGAGACCAGCCTGGCCAACATGGTGAAACTCCATCTCTACTAAAAATACAAAAATTAATCCGAGTCACGGCACCGAAAAAAAAAAAAGAAAATTAAGAAAGAAAAATTAGCCGTCGTGGTCGTGGTGGTGGGCACCTGTAATCCCAGCTACCAGGGAGGCTGAGGCATGAGAATCGCTTGACCCTGGGAGTGAGCCGAGATTACGCCACTACACTCCAGCCAGGGCGAAAGAGTGAGACCCCGTCTCAAAACAAAACAAAACAAAACAAAACAGAACAAAACAAACAACAACAAAAAAAACAAAGCAGAGAGCGAAAGAACGGGAAGAAGGTCAGGGAGGTTAGTAAGAGCCCATACGCCCTCGCGGTCGTACCGAGTAAGGAGGGGAGGCGCGCACGCGGGTGGGGACACGGCGGCCAGGGTCGGCGGGGGAGTCCGGGGTAGCTGGAGGGTGCTGTCTTAGGGGAGTCCGGGAGCGCAGCCCAGCCTCGCGTTCCTCGCGCCCCGCATCGAGCCCTCCCCTGGTGTCTACTCCCAAGGCCCTGCGTGCCCCGCCCACACCTGCATTGCCCCGCCCACACCAGCCCCGCCCCACTCGCCAATCACACCCGTCTCATGCCCCGCCCACAACCGCTCGGGTCCCGCCCCCGCCTGGCCAGCTCTGCCCGCCTCCTTGGCCCCACCGCCTAAATGACCCGCCCCCTTCCAGTGGCGTCCAATCGGCCCCCCGGCGCCGTCGCGTCCCTCAACTGTCCGCGGTTCCTTCCACGCCTGAACTTCCCGAAGGACAGCCTAGTCACCCAATGAGCTCCAGGGATGGCCTGAACGGGAGAGTGAAGAGCCAATCCGGAGTCGGGGCGCGCAGGAAAGGCGGGCCGGCGTGACGGGCAGGGGAGGTGGTGCCAGGCTGGTTGCTAGCTGCTGCCGCCGCAGCCTCCCGGCCGCTTCATTGTCACTCGGCCTCGGGGCAGTGTTGGGGGGCGCGGGGCGCCAGATCGCCGACCCGAGGTTTGGGCGCGACTGGTTCCACGGGCCCCGCGCCCCAGGCCCGCTTGGCGGCCGCGCCCCCGGCCCGCTCAGGTGAGGGGGCCCGGGCAAGGGTGGGGAATGCAGGGCACGCAGAGGTTGGGGGGGGGATCAGGAGCCTGCACAGGTGGGAGGTCGTGGTCTAGTGTTGGGGATCCGGGGCACGTACAGGTGAGGGGGGATCTGGTGCCTGTGCAATTGTCGGGGGGGTCCAAGGCAAGTGAGGGGGATCCGGGGCCCGCGCAGGTGAGGAGAGGCTCGTGCCTGAGGGTGTGGGTCCCCACCTTCATCCCCTCAGGTCCCCAGGACAACAAGGAATCCAGTCCCGGCATCTCAGGCCTGGCTGCCTTAAGCCCTAGGGGAACTGGGGAGGTGGGAGCTGCCCCTTGGACAAGTGGAGGGCTCTGCTCAGCGTGTGGGCTCTGGCCTCTCTGTCCAGGGTCAGGGTTAGGGTCAGTGTCAGCCCACCCTGGGGACCAGGTCCTGGCTCTGGTCATCAGTCCCCACCCCTTCAGGTTCTGGGAGGGACACCGTTTATTTATTTATTTATTTGAGACGGAGTTTCGCTGTTGTTACCCAGACTGGAGTGTAATGGCACCATCTCGGCTCACTGCAACCTCCGCCTCCTGGGTTCAAGCAATTCTACTGCCTCAGCCTCCCGAGTAGCCGGGACTACAGGCACGCACCACCATACCCAGCTAATTTTTGTATTTTTAGTAGAGACAGGGTTTCACCATGTTGACCAGGATGGCCTCGATCTCTTGACCTCATAATCCACCCGCCTCGGCCCCGCAAAGGGCTGGGATTATAGGTGTGAGCCACTGCGCCCGGCCAGGGACAGTTTTTATCCAAGATGTAGTGGCCTCCCAGGCCTCCTTTCATCTGGCCTGGAGGTTTCCAGGGAGAGGCCACATTCCCCATCCCAGGGCCGCTTGCACGTGTGGCTGGGAGAGCAGAGCCCTGGGCTCCAAGGGCCTTCGTGGGTCCTGCCAGGGGTGGACAGTGCCCTGCAGGAGGTGTTAAGTTTTATCCACACAAACGGAAGTGCATAACTGAGGACTCCAGGCTCCACCTCTAGGGAGTAGGGGTATCCATCTCTCTGTGGAAGGCACTTTGGCGGACTTGCTGTGGGGTGCTGGGTGGGAGGAAGCCCAGGGCGACCTTGGGCGATAGGTCGGGTGCCTTCTGACTCACCAGAGGCCTCTGTGGCAGGGAGGTAATTCTCAACATTGGTCCAGTGCGCCAGCTTGTCCCAGGGAACTGGTTCAGTTCCATGCTGAGCGCCTTGCCCTGCAGGAGCCGCACGATTCATGAACCAACTGTGTGGGGCCACAGGAGGGGTCAGAGCCTCATGGGGGGTGAAGAGTGACTGGCGGGTGCTTAGGGAGGGCTCTGAGTGCAGAGAGGGAGTGTCCTGGGACCTGGAGGCAGGGGATGGACGGGGCCAAGCTGGTTTAGTTTGAGGAGCAGCTGGGAGGCCGTGTGGCTAAAGCCACAGCAGAGGGGCACGGCAGGGAAGCTGATGAAGTCCCAGAGAGTACAGGGTCGGATCTTGCAGGAGCTGGATGTGTGGACTGTTCTCTGCCTAGGAAGCTGCCACAGAGTTTTTAGCAGGAGCACGTGTTCGAGCTGAGATGCCTTCAGAAAGAAAGATCAGCTGAGGTGCCCTGTGGGGATGTGGAAACGGGTGGGGGCTGCCAGGGTTTGCTCTGCGAAGTTCCAAAGTAGGGAACCCAGCATCCCCAAGTGTATCCCCGATCTCAGAATGCCCGTCCCCGGTGGGATAACTCATATACCCAGTGAGTGCTCGGCTAGTGCGCCTTGCCACCAGCATCTTGGCTGGACCTCACACAACCCCTTTTCAAAATGTGTATTTTACAGGGTTAGGCGTGGTGGCTCACGCCTGGAATCCCAGCACTTTGGGAGGCTAAGGCAGGTGAATCACTTGAGGTCAGGAGTTCGAGACCAGCCTGGCCAACATGGCAAAACCTTATCTTTACTAAAAATACAAAAATTAGCCAGGCATGGTGGCAGGCACCTGTAATCCTAGCTACTTGGGAGGCTGAGGAAGGAGAATCGCTTGAACCCAGGAGGTAGAGGTGGCAGTGAGCCTAGATAGCACCATTGCACTCCAGCCTGGGTGACAGAAATGAGACTCCGTCTCAAAAAAAAATAAATAAATAAATAAAATGTCCATTTTACAGAAGAAGAGAGTGGGGCTCGGGCAGTGGCTTTCTCGGAATTGCGGCGCGGGGTAGATGGCACAGCTGCTTTCACATCGACAACAGTCTGTGAGCCAGGCTCCCTCTGGGTGCTTCAGGCCTGTTCCCACACACGGGCCTTGCCCTCGTGCCCACCTGTCCATTGCCCAGGGCTCTCGTCCCGTGTCATGTGGTGGTGCTGGCTCAGAACAGCTCACTCGCGTTCCTGTCGAGGAGCCTGCTGCCAGCCAGGGATGCATAGGTTGTGTCAGGCCTTCCAGGGAAGTTTGGTGGCCAGTGGACCGAGATGTCCTGGGCTGGCCGAGGCTGGGCTGGAGGTGGTGGGTGCAGGGCCTGTAGTTTCCTCAGCCCATCTCACTGCAGCTCTTGCCTCCCTGCTCAGGACCTGCCTCAAACACCATGAAAGGCACCCGGGCCATCGGCAGCGCCCCGGAGCGCAGCTCGGCAGGCGTGGACCTGAGTCTGACAGGTCTCCCTCCACCTGTGTCCCGGCGCCCTGGCAGTGCTGCCACCACCAAGCCCATCGTCCGCTCTGTCTCCGTGGTCACAGGCAGTGAGCAGAAGAGGAAGGCGCTGGTGAGTGCTGGGGCCTAGAAGTTCCGGTCCTGCCTCCTGGACGGCTTTTGTAGAGGTGGCATTTGACCCCTGGGACCAGCTCCACATGTGAACATGTATCTCATATCTGGACAGGTTTGATCCTTGTGGCTCTTCCAGGGGGCAGGTAGGACTTGAGTCTTACAGATGTGGGTGCTAAACCACTAGACGGTCAAGGCCAGAGCCTGGATTTTTCCTGCACTAGCCCCAGTCCATCCTGCGCCACCACCCTTTGGATTTGTTTGAATCCTCAAGAAGTGGGGTTGACCTGTGGGGTGGATGATGAGCTCCTGGTGGCCTTGGAGAAACCTTCACAGGTGTGTGGGTGTGTGGGCCTCAGGACCGCTGTGGGAGCTTCGGGGTGAGAGCTGCCTTTCCTGCCCACCTCTGGGAGTGGGGAGGAGGGTGGGCGGTTCCCAGTCGGGGGCTGTGAGAGGCAGTGGGGCCTGCTGTACCATGAATTGCTGTCTGCCAGGCCCAGTATTCCAGGGAAGGGAGGAATCAAGCCGCACTGTGTGGGTTGGGGCAGAGCCTGCCTGGAGTCTCACCTGAGCTTCCAGAACAGCGAGGGCCTGGGGGCCTTGGCGTTGATGCACCAGCAGGTCTGGGGCTTCCTGCCTGAGGTCCATGCCAGGCAGCACAGCAGGGCAGAGAGAAGCCTTGTGGGGTCCAGAGGGCAGTCAAGGCTTCCCAAGGAACCCCTGGCAGGTCCAGGCCAGGTTTCCACTGTGAACAATGAATCTCTCCCTTCTCCTTGAAAAAGTCATTCCTATCTGCCCTAGAAGCTAGAGGTGGGCAGGGTGGGGGCCCACCAGAGGCCTAGCTGAGTTCCAGGGTAAGGGCGACTGGGCCAGTAGTAGACCCTTGCGCCAAGGAGATTCCCAAAGCCTGGGGCCGCAGGGTAGGGACCCAGGATGTCCTGATGTGGCAGTGTAGCCAGCAGGTTGTCTAAAGATTCGCTGTATCTCTAGGCATTTATAGACATAAGCTAAAAATACAAATACGCTGCATTGTTTTAGCAGACGGGTGACTGACGGGGCTAGCGCCATCTGTGAGCCCTCTGCCTCTCCTGTTTGCAGCCCTGCTCCTGCGTCACTGGCCCCCTCACCCCCCTGCCTTGGCCCCTCCCACTGCTTCTAAAGCCAGAGGCTCATGGACACCGGGCAGGGAAGACACACTTGAAATCGCAGATCTGGGCTGGGTGCTGTGGTTCTCGCCTGTAATCCCAGCACTTTGGGAGGCTAAGGTGGGTGGATCGCCTGAGATCAGGAGTTCAAGACCAGCCTGGCCAACATAGTGAAACCCGGTCTCTACTAAAAATACAAAAATTACATTGCACTCCAGCCTGTAATCCCAGGTACTCAGGAGGCTGAGACAGAATTGCTTGAACTGGAAGGTGGAGGTTACAGTGAGCTGAGATTGTGCCACTGCACTCCAGCCTGTGCGTCACAGCAAGACTCTGTCTCAAAAAAAAAAAGAAAGAAGGACAGAGAGAGAGAAAGAGAGAGAGAAAGAAAGGAAGAAAAACGAAGAAGAAAGGAAGAAAGAAAAAAAGAAAGAAAATAAACAAATGGCAGATCTGTTGAGTGTGGAGACTTGTAAAAGTTTCTGGGCTTTCCAGCAGATGGTCACTTGGCGGTGCGGGTGGGCTCTATCCATGGCCAACCAGGCACCTAACCACACTCCCAGCCTTCCTGCTGGGAAATGTCCTGTTACTGAATAGAGGTTCAAAGCCAAAGCACGTGTTAGTCATATCATCCCACCTTTCCTCGGCTGGCACCGTCGCCCGCTCCTGCAGTGCTGAGTGGCGTCTGCTCACAGTCCCCTCGTTCGTGGAATGTTCCAGCTGTTCGCTTCAATGCTTTGAGCCACTCACTCGATCCAAGACGGCGCCACCCCTGCATGCCTGTCTGCCTTCTGTCGGGCACATGGTGAGTGGGAGCCTTGCACTGCTAGTGGAAAGGGACCCCCTCCAGTGTGAGCACCAGTGGTGCCTTTCCACCTTGGTGTCCGTCAGTGAGTGGAAGTCCCTTAGTCCCTCCCCTGGCATCCCTTGTCTTCGCCTAGAGGCTGTGAAACTGACCCAGGAAAATTGAGGAAAGACTCTCCTTGTGTTTTGTGACCTTGGAGTTTTGTGGAGAGATGGTCAGGAATTTTGCAGAATGGCCCCCGTTGGGATTTGCCTGGTGTTTTTCTTGTGATCAAACTGGGTGGTGGATGGGTTTTGCGGAGAAGACCACAGAGGTAAAGTGCTCTTCTCAGCCCGTCCTATCCAGGGTCTGTGCTGTCCTCATGACCTCTCACGGTGATGCTGCTGGCCTGGGTCCTGTGGCCAAATGGAGGGTCAGGCTTCTCCACTGTGAAGTTACCTGTCCCTTGTGCTCTCTGGAAGGAAGTTACTTTGTTCAGTCCCCACAGAAGGGGTGGGGAGTTTTGCTCACCCTCCTTGAGAGGAGAGCATCTGTCGAAGTTATTTGAAATTCTTTTTTTTTTTGTTTGTTTCATTCAAGAATTTTCTTCCTAGACCAAATTATTTGAAATTCTTCTACACAGGACATTTGTCTGTTCATCCCCATTTATTAGCTTTTTTTTTTTTTTTTTTTGAGACAGTGTCACACTCTCACCCAGGCTGGAGTGCAGTGGCACACTCTTGACTCACTGCAACCTCTGTCTCCCGGGTTCAAGCGAGTCTCCTGTCTCAGCCTCCTGAGAAGCTGGGATTGCAGGCGTGTGCCACCACACCCAGCTAATTTTTGTATTTTAGTAGAGACAAGGTTTCACCATGTTGGCCAGGCTGATCTTGAACTCCTGACCTCAGGTGATCTGCCCACCTCAGCCTTCCAAAGTGCTGGGATTACAGGCACAAGCCACCACACCCGGCCCCATTTAATAGTTTTAAAAATCATTTATTATAATGGACTCATGGATATTTATACTTCGAGTTATAATTCAATACTAGTTTACTTATTTTGTTGCTCTAATTGTCACAGCCTTGGCCACTGGGAGCTTTCAGGTGGCTCCTCTGTCCCGGGGCCCCGCCCATCACTTTGTCTGGTGAGCACACCCTTATTTTGGGCCCTATAAGCTGCCCCAAGCAGCATCTTTTCTGTCTCCTCCTCCAGTCCTGGAATCAGCCATTTCTTGAAGCCCCAGTTCTTTTCTTGGAGAGTGGTCTTCCAGGCCAAGGTCTGGGAGCTGGGTGTGCCTGTCACTACTGGGCTGTTTCTGGGTGTTCTCAGCCAATAGAGCAAGGAAGCGTGTAGTGCACGCCCTCTGGCACATAGTGTACACGCTGTCTATACATAATAACCATCTGTGTTGCGGGCTCATACTGATGTCTCTACCCTCCATCAGCCCGTAGCACCTCTCACCCCGTGCTTGCTGATTGTAACCTCCCCTCCAGCAGTGAGGACGTGGCCCTACTGTCTGGTGTCGCTGGTTTAGCTCCATATGTGTGTAAGGTGGGGTGACAGTAGATGACCCAAACCTTGTGGGAAGAATACCACCAACGCTGTGCCATGTTCTGGCAGCCCCTCTGCCTCTAGGCTGATGGGCTCCACTCCTGCCCAGGGCTACTCGGGACAGCACCTTGCCTTCCACCTCTGATTGTATTTCTAACTTACCTTCTCCTGTGAGTGAGGCTGAACATTTTTTTTTTTTTTTTTTGAGATGGAACCTTGCTGTGTTGCCCGGCTGGAGTGCAGTGGTGCAATCCCAGCTCACTGCAACTTCTGTTTTCCAGTTTCAAGTAGTTCTCCTGCCTCAGCCTCCCAAGTAGCTGGGCCTACAGTCACACACCACCACACCTGGCTAATTTTTTGTATTTTTAGTAGACAGAGTTTCACCATGTTGGCCACGATGGTCTCGATCTCCTGACCTTGTGATCCACCCGCCTCAGCCTCCTAAAGTGCTGGGATTAGAGGCGTGAGCCACTGTGCCTGGCCTATCTTTTTTTACCTTTTTTTTTTCAAACAGAGTCTCTCTCTGTTGCCCAGGCTGGAATGCAGTGGCGCTATCTCAGCTCACTGCAACCTCAGCCTCCTGGATTCAAGCAATTCCCTGCCTCAGCCTCCTGAGTAGCTGAGATTACTGGCGTGTGCCACGATGCCCATCTAATTTTTGTATTTTTAGTAGAGATGGGGGTTTCACCATCTTGGCCAGGCTGGTCTTGAACTCCTGACCTCGTGATCCACCTGCCTCGGCCTCCCAAAGTGCTGGGATTACAGGGCTGAGCCACCACGCCTGGCCATCTTTTCATATTTTTAAGCTGCATGTATTTCCTTTTCTATTAATTGTCCATGTTCTTTGCTGATTTTTCTATTTTTCTTTCTTTCTTTCTTTCTTTTTTTTTTTTCCCAGAGACAAGGTCTCCCTGTGTTGCCAGGTTGAAGTGCAGTGACACTATCATAGCTCACTACAGCCTTGAACTCCTGGGCTCAAGTGATCCTCCTGCCTCAGCCTCCTGAGTAGCTAGGACTGCAGGCGCATGCCACCACGCCTGGCTAAGTTTTGTATTTTTTGTGGAGATGGGGCTTTACCCATGTTGTTCAGGCTGGTCTCAAACTCCTGGGATGAAGTTATCTGCCTGCCTTGGCCTCCTAAAGTATTGGGATTATAGGCATGAGCCACCAAGCCTGGCCACAAATCACATATTTAGACCCTCAGGCTGGCCCCAGGCCCCTGGTAAGCAAAGATACTTTCCGCAGGCGGGACCTTCCAGGGTCTTCGAGCCCGCCTCCCACTGCCCCTTCTGTGTCTCACAGCCCCTGCAGCAGCCTCCACGTCACCGAGCCTGTGCTCAGCCCCTAGCCAGTCCTCTTTTTGCTGACCCATTTTCAGGCTCCCTCTTTGGGGCACTTGCCATCCGATGGGCCCTGCTCACCTTCCCAGGAGGTGTCTCATTTTTCCTAGAAGGATGGAGGCCTCCGTGGGGCCCTTCCCCTCCTGCTGTTGTGTACCTCGCACCCCCATCCATCCTCCCAAATACCTTTCCAGCACGCAGCATGGAGAACAGGGAGGTGGGCTTCGTCTCGTGTTGGGCGTTAGCTTTCTTCCTGATAGTCACCGTTTGTAGCCTGTTTTGGAAGACGTGACCAAGTCCGTGAGTCCTTTCCCTGGAAAGTGGGTGTGCTCACATGCTCGTGTGCTTTCCGCTTCCAGACCTCGCAGCGGCCTGGCCGCCTTCAGCCGCTCTGCCACCTTGGGCTGGGCTCCCTGCCTGCGCTTTTCTGTTCCACGGTTTTAGAAAACGGTTTCCTGGTCGGGAAATTGTAGCGAATGGTTAGGTGTCCTGGTGGGGTCCATATGTCCTGCTTTCCTGGTTTCTTTTTGTCTTTTTTTGGTCGGGTTGTTTGTTTTAGCTTAAGGGTTCAGATTTAAAAATAAATCTGAAAGTTCATAGATCTCTTTGCCTGGGAAACTGGAGACCCCAGTCCATCCTGTGGTGGCGTGGGCACCTGGCCAGGATTGATACCACTGGTGGCCGTGGCATCCAGTGGGTGACAGTGGTGACAATCAGCAGATCACCTCATGCTCTCCCTCTGCCTGGGTGGAGACCTCCTGCTTGATTCGGGGAGGGGAGGCTTTTAGAGATTGGGGCCTCTCCCTGCGCTCAGGCCGGACTTGAGCCCCCTCATGCCACCCTGCCATCCAGCTCTCCTGCCCCTCTGATTACCTGCTGCCTTTGGGACCGCCTGGGCCACCCCTCTGTTCTCTGACTCCATTTCTCCAAAGCTGGCGGGACTGAGCGAACTGGTGAGGGAGTCTTTGTTGCTGAATTAGCTGTTTCCTCCCTTTGTGCAGGAGGCTATAGGACCTGGAGGCTCCCGAGCCATCAACAACCTTCGAAGATCCAACAGCACCACGCAGGTCAGCCAGCCTCGGAGCAGCTCCCCCAGGTAACCCCATCCCCTTCCGGGGACATCCAGTGGCACCCGGCTGCTCCTCCATGCCTCGACTCTGCCCTTCCTTCAGCTCAGTGGGTCCTGGGCCTTTGCTGGGTGGTGAGGCCTGGACTGACCTCATGGGCCAGCTCTGTGTCCCACACCTCCTCTAGCACTGGGACGGGAGGCCTGAGGCAAACACTGTCCTGGAACACATCCCTACCTTCCTCCTGGCTATCCCTGCGTCTGCTGGGACCCTGCCTGAGGGCTTCGCTGAAGCCCTTTCTAGCTGTCCTGTGAATGTCAAAAGCTGTCATTTGTGAGAGAAGGCAGCGCTGTGACCCTTCTGAACCCCCCCATGCTGTGAGCCCCCTGTTCCCACCTTTGCCCACTTAAACTCTGCTGCTGTCCCTCGAGGCCTCCAAACCAGTGGCTGGGGAGGAGCTGTCTCAATGGCCCTGTGGGTGTTGAGGGGAGTAGCGCCGGTGGTGGCCAGCAGCTTCCGGGGCGCACACCCTGTAGCCCAGAGTGGCAGGCAAGGCCCTGACACCAGCTCCCACCAGGCATCACCCCCAAGAGACCAGGGCCCTCTGTGGGTCTGTGGATCTAGTGAAGGTGGCGGCCACCATGCCCCGCCCAGCACAGCCTTTGGGAGTTGCTCTCAGCTCAGGAACCAGCTTCGTGGGGTCCCACCAAGCAAGGGACTGCCGGGCCAGCTAGTGTGTGTGTGAGTGTGTGTGTGGTGTGTGGAGTGTGGTGCGTGTGTGGTGTGTGTGTGGTAGTTGGTGTGGTCGTGTGTGGTCTGTGTGTGTTGTATGTGGTTTGTGGTGTGCGTTATGTGTGTTGTGTATGGTTTGTGGTGTGTGTGGTGTGTAGTATGTGTGTTATGTGGTGTGTGGTGTATGTGTGTGTGGTTTGTGGTATGTGGTGTGTGGAATGTGTGTGTGGTCTGTGTCATGTGCGTGTGTGCTGTGTGTGGCATGTGGTTGTGTGTGGTGTGTATGTGTGGTATGTGGTGTGTGTGGTATGTGGTATGTGTGTGATGTGTTGTGTGCGGGGTTTGTGGTGTGTGTGGTATGTGGTTGTGTGTGGTGTATAGTGTGTGTGGTATGTGGTGTGTGGTATGTGTTATGTGTGTGTGGTTTGTGCTGTGTGTGGTGTGTGTTGTGTGTGGTTGGTGGTGTATGTGGTATGTTATGTGGTATGTGTGTGTTGTGTGTGGGATGTGGTGTATGTGTGTGGTGTGTGTGGTATGCAGTTTGTGTTGTGTGTAGTATGTGGTATGTGTGTGGTATGTGTGGTTGGTGTGTGTGATGTGTGGTATGTGGTGTGTGTGGTATGTGTGGTTGGTGGTGTGTGTGGTGTGTGGTATGTGGTGTGTGTGTGGTATGTGGTGTGTGGTGTGTTTCTGGTGTGTGGTATGTGGTGTGTGTGGTATGTGGTGTGTGTGGTGTGTGGTATGTGGTGTGTGGTGTGTGATATGTCGTGTGTGTGGTGGTGGTGTGTGGTATGTGTGCTGGGTGATGTGTATGGTATGTTGTATGTGTGTGGTGTGTGTGATTGGTGGTGTGTGTGGTGTATGTGGTTTGTGTGTGGTATGTGGTGTGTGTGTGTGGTATGTGGTGTGTGGTATGTGGTGTGTGTGTGGTATGTGGTGTGTGGTGTGTTTCTGGTGTGTGGTATGTGGTGTGTGTGGTATGTGGTATGTGGTGTGTGTGGTGTGTGGTATGTGGTGTGTGGTGTGTGATATGTCGTGTGTGTGGTGGGTGGTGTGTGTGGTATGTTGTGATGTGTGTGGTTGGTGGTGTGTATGGTATGTTGTATGTGTGTGGTGTGTGTGATTGGTGGTGTGTGTGGTGTATGTGGTTTGTGGTGTGTGGTGTATGTGGTATGTTGTGATGTGTGTGGTTGGTGGTGTGTGATGTGTGTGGTATGTGGTGTGTGTGTGGGGTTTGTACTTGCATTTTCTGGTTGCTCTGGTAAGTTTTCTTTCTAGTGCTCATGATCCAGCAGTTGGGTTTTGTCCACTTTCTTGCAGTGGTTCCTAAAATGTGGTCCCTGGGAACCTGTTGGAATCATCTGCCCTCTCACCTCAGACCCACTAGACTGGGTGGGCAGTTTTCAGAGCCCTCCAGGTGATCCTGCTGTGTGCTTGAGTTTGAGAACTAGGGGCCTCTGTTTTTATTTTTTTATTTTTATTTTTATTTTTATTTTGAGACAGTCTCCCTCTGTCGCCCAAGCTGGAGTGCAGTGGCATGATCTTGGCTTACTCTGCTATCTCCACCTCCTGGGTTCAAGCAATTCTGCTTCAGCCTCTCAGGTAGCTGGGATTACAGACATGCACCACCACGCCCAGATAATTTTTTGTATTTTTAGTAGAGATGGGGTTTCACCATGCTGGCCAAGCTGCTCTCGAGCTCCTGGCCTCAACAGCTTTATTGACACACAATTCACCTATTTAAAGGGTACAACTGGATTGTCAATTGTAAGTGTATTCACAGGAGCGGTGCAGCTATCACCGCAGTCCATTTTAGAACACATTCATCATCCCCAAAGAAAACCCCGTGTCAGCTGATAGACACCCCCTCCCTCCCCCAGCGCCTGGTGACCAGTGCTCTGCATGCTATCTCTGGATTTGCCTGTTCTGAGCATCTCATGTAACTGGGATTGGACAGCATGCGACCCTCCTGTGGTGTGTGTCAGAGCGTCATCCTCTTTATAGCAGAATTAGTCCAGCTTGTGCAGGGACCACAGTTCTGTCTTTATCACTGTATTTTTAAGACAGGGTCTCGCCCAGGCTAGAGTGTAGTGGCGCTGACATAGCTCACTGACATCCCAAACTTCTTGAATCAGAGGATCCTCCTGCCTCAGCCTCTGAAGTAGCTGGGACCACAGGCATGCACCACTGTGCCCAGCTAAATTTCTTCTTCCTTCTTTGTTCCTTCCCTCCCGTTCTCCCTTCCTTCCTTCTCCTCCTTCCTCCTCATTCTTTTCCTCCTTCTCCTTCTTCCTTCTTCCCTCCTTCTCCTCCTCCTCCCCCTCCTTTCTCTCTCCATCCTTCCCTTCCTCCTCCTTCTCTTCCTCCTTCTCCTCCTCCTCCTCCTTCTTCTGTTCCTCCTCCGTCTTTCTTCCTCCTTCCCCTTCTTTCCTCCTCCTCCTCCTCCTCCTCCTTCTCTCTCTCTCTCTTTTTTTTTGTGGAGACAAGATCTCACTATGTTACCCAGGCTGGTCTCAAACTCCTGGGCTCAAGCAATCCTCTCACCTTGTCATCCCTAAATGTTGGGATTATAGGCATGAGCCACCACCCTCAGCCAGGCCACAGTTTTGATTCCAATTGATCAATTGTGTTTTATGCAGCTGTGGCCTCCCATTGGGCAGGGTGGCAGGAGGCAGTGGCCACCAGCCCACGCCTTCCAGCTGTGCTTCCCCTTCCGCTCTGAGCAGCAGGCTTGTGTGGCTCTTTGTTCACAGGGAAGAGGGTGGCAGCAGAGGCAGTCATGGTATGTAAGGCCCTCGGTGGGCAGCTGGGTGCACTGGCTTACGCCTATAATCCCAGCACTCTGGGATGCCAAGGTGAGAGGATCTCTTGAGCCCAGGAGTTTGAGATCAGCCTGGGCAACACAGCCAAGACCTTGTCTCTACTGACATTTAAAAAAAAGAGAGAAAGGAAAAACAAACATGGGCCTGTGATCAGTGTGGCTGATGAAACTTACAGGGGCTTCTGATGGAAGTTCACTCTGAAGGCCCGCTCCACTGAGGAGCCCTGGCTAGGTGTGCTGGGCAGATCGGGGCTTTGGGCCTGGAAACAGAGTTGCTGCTAGTACCTTGGCCCCTCCGTCCTCGAGGGACCTGCCCTGTCTGTGCCTGGCATCGGCTTCCCGGTCAGTGACTTTCCTTGCATGCCACCCTCTCTCGGACACAGGTTGACAGAACCCACGGACTTCCTGACGCTCTTCAAGGGCAGCCCCAGCGAGAGAAAGAAGCTGGACAGCCTGCGCACAGCCCCCAGCGAGAAGGGAGCCACCTGGAACGTCCTGGTAAGGTGGTGTGCGGCGGCTCGTCCTGGTCTCATAGATGAGGTTGTGGCCTGGTTCCTAATTGCAAAAGGGCACTATGGGGAGGTGTCGAGACTTGACCCTGACATGACAGACCCTGTGACATCCACCTGCCTGTGCAGGGAGTAGTGGGCTCCTCCTGCTTGTGGGAGAGGCGGGGCTGGGCAGGGAATGGGTAGGGTGTCTGGGTGTGTGGGGGCAGCGTCATGGGCTGAGCTGTCTGACAGGATGACCAGCCCCGGGACTTCACCTTGCCCTCCAATGCCCTGAGTTCCAGTGCCCTTGACTCACCGGCGGGCCCGCGGAGGAAAGAATGCTCCGTGGCCCTGGCCCCCAGCTTCACTGCTAACAACAGGTATGGCCTGTGCAGGTGCCAGGACAGGCACCCCTGGGAGGCTCCTAGAGGGGAGACTGCATGTATCTTTGTCTTGTTGATGGCTGATTCAGGGTGCTTTGGGCTGAATGAATGAATGAGTGAGTGAAAGAATGGCTTTCTTTCTCCAAAGGCTCAGGGAGGAGGCTGCCAGGTGGTGTCTTGCACCTACGGGGGTCTCAGCCCAGACTTGGCTCTTGAAGAATTTTGGGCCTTAGGGAGGTTCATGTGAGGCTGGGATAGTGGGGTCCTGGGAGGGGCCTTGTCTGAGGAGGCTTGTTGGGGGCCTGGGGAATCCCCAGAAGAAACAGACTCCAGGCAGCTGCCTCTGAGCCTTCAAGGAGAAAGAGTGCTCCTTGGGCTAGGCCTCAGGGGACCCATGAGAGGAAGGGACTAGGGACACATTTTCCACCGGCATTTAGAGCCTTCACCAAAGGAACAGTCTCGGGAGAGACCGTGTGGCTTATTCACCAGAGTCGACACAGGAAGAATTCTTGCGTTTGGGCTTTTTTTTTTTTGAGACAGTATCTCGCTCTGTCACCAGGCTAGAGTGCAATGGTGCAATCTTGGCTCACCACAACCTTTGATTCCCTGGTTCAAGCAATTCTCCTGCCTCAGCCTCCCAAGTAGCTGGGATTATAGGTGTGTGCCACCATGCCTAGCTAATTTTTGTATTTTTTTTAAGTAGAGAGGGGATTTTACCATGTTAGCCAGGATGGTCTTGATCTCCTGACCTTGTGATCTTCCCACCTCGGCCTCCCAAAGTGCTGGATTACAGGCTGAGCACCACCCCCAGCCGAATTCTTGCTTTTTAATTTACTTTTTAAGTTGGAGACAGGGTCTCATCTGTCACCCTGACTGGAGAGCACAATCATAGCTCACTTCAGCCTTGAACCCCTGGGCTCAAGAGATCCTCCCCCGTCAGCCTTCAGAATAGCTGGGACCACAGGTATACACCACCATTCCTGGCTAATTTTTGAAGTCTCGCTGTGTTGTGTTCAGGCTGGTCTCAAACTCCCGGGCTCAAGCAATCCTCCCTCCTTGGCCTCTCGCAAAGCCCTGGGATTACAGGTGTGAGCCCCCATACCTGGTTCTAAAATTTACCTTAGCGTTTATCAGAGTGATACGTGCACACACAGCCCAAGTGTCAGCAGCACCACAAGCTTCAAATGGTAAATAGCAGACCCACTGCCCCTCCCACCCCCAGCCTCTGCTCCCCAGGAGCAGTGTCTTTCAAGCTATTTCTTTTACTGTTTTCTTGAAAACATTTATGGATACATGGTATACTGCTCATTCATGAGCAGCTCAAAATCAGTCATGGTAGGAATACTCACACCACCCAAACTGGCAAATGAGCCCTGCTCCAAGAACCAGCTCTTGAACGTTTGTGAATGCAGGCTGGTGCTGGACATGGACTGATGTGGGTGTGGGCTGGTGACGGTGCGGGCTGGTGCCAGGCATGGGCTGATGTGGGTATGGGCTGGTGAGGTGCTGGGCATGGGTTGATGAGGGTGTGGGCTGGTGCCGGGCATAGGCTGATGTGGGCATGGGCTGGTGCGGGTGTGGGCTGATGCCAGGCATGGCTGATGTGGGTGCGGGCTGGTGAGGGTGCGGGCTGGTGAGGGTGCAGGTGCAGTCTGGTGAGGATGCAGGCTGTTGCTGGGTGCAGGATGGTGCTGGGTGCAGTGCAGCAGGTATGGGCTGGTGAGGGTGCAGGTGCAGGCTGGTGAGGGTTCGGGTGCAGGTGCAGGCTGGTGAGGGTTCAGGTGCAGGTGCAGGCTGGTGCTGGGTATGGGCTGGTGTGGGTGTGTGCTGATGCTGGGTGTAGGCTGGTGCAGCTACAGGCTGGTGTTGGTGTGGGCTGGTGAGGGTGCAGGTACGGGCTGGTGAGGCTGCAGGCTGATGAGGTTGCGGGCTGGTGAGGCTGCAGGCTGGTGAGGGTGCGGGCTGGTGTTGGTGCGGGCTGGTGAGGGTGCAGGCTGGCGCCGGTGTGTGCTGATGCTGGGTATAGGCTGGTGCCAGGCATGGGCTGGTGCAGCTACAGGCTGGTGGCGGGTGCAGGCTGGTGAGGGTATGGGCTGGTGTGGATGTAGGCTGGTGCTGAGTGTAGGCTGGTGTGGGTGCAGGCTGGTGCCAGGCATGGGCTGGTACAGCTACGGGCTGGTGGCAGGTGTGGGCTGGTGGCGGGTGTGAGCTGGTGTTGGTGCGGGCCATGAAAGGGGCATGGGGACACCAGACTGTGCTGCTGCCAGCATGTGGCAAGCACTGAAGGCCTCTATTCCCATCCAGCCCATGCCTCGAGTGTCGCTTTGAGATCTCAGGTATCCCCTCTGGAGGCCTGACTGTTCCTGTCTCTCTTCTGGCCTGGCAGGAGCAACAAGGGAGCCGTAGGCAACTGCGTCACCACCATGGTGCACAACCGCTACACCCCCTCGGAGAGGTCACCCCCACTCAAGAGCTCCAACCAGACCACCCCCTCCCTCAAGTAAGGTCTTCCGGGGAGGCTGCAGGGCTGCTGGGTCCAACCTCGGTCAGGGCACACAGTCTGTGCACAGAAAACCTCGTGGAGCTGCTGCATGCCTGGCTCCTCATCCACGTCCACTGCCCTCTGCTGTTCTCAGGTCAGGAGCTTCCTGCAGAGAGAATACAGCCCAGATTTGATGGCACAGTGAAGCCATCCTGGGGTCCCCAGGAGGAAGCCAGGGCTTATCCAGAGCCCAGAAGGCATCACAACAGGGGTTGCCTGAGCAGAGCAGAGGAGCCCCCCCGAGCCCACTGTATGGTCTCCCTGGGACTGGGGATGGCCCTTGGGGTTTCTCAAGTTTCCCTCTATTTTCAGTAGAGACGGGGTTTCACCATGTTGGCCAGGCTGGTCTCGAACTCCTGACCTCAAGTGATCCACCTGCCTTGGCCTCCCAAAGTGCTGTGATTACAGGTGTGAACCACTGTGCTTGGCCTCTCAGTGTAATTTTAGTGAGAACTTCTTACAGGCAAAGAGCTGGTTACCCTAGGTACCACTGAATGGAGGCTTGTCAGGGCACAGGTGGTGCAGAGGCCAGGATGTGGCACTGGAGAGCTGGCCTGACACCTGCCACTGTCCCCCTTCCCACTGGCTGCCAGCCTGCCAGCACGCCTTCCAGCCTCAGTTCTGGGACTCCCGAGAGAGAGCACCTGCTGCCTGTGGGCCGAGCCATTCCCCAGGTGCTGAGATGGGGATGCTGTCTTCTTTCCTGTTAGCAACATCCTCAAGGCAGCCACCCGAGAGAGCAGCGAGAGCAGTGGCTTCGGGAAGCCACCAAAAAACATCACCAGTGCCACCCACTCAGCCCGGAACAACACTGGGGGCGCCATGAGCCTGCCTGGGTGGAAGGAGGTGACGGAGGAGGAGGCCGAGAGGTGACTGCTCTCCGGGCAGTGGGGGGCCTGAGGCCAGAACATGGGTAGGCAGGGGTCAGGGTCTGGGAGGCTCATCCCTCTGAGGATAGAAATTTCCATTTAATAATTGTTTTAAAATACTGAGACTGAGCAGACCCATGTGGCATAGTTCTGTTTACATTAAAACACCCAGCAAAGGCAAGTTTATCGGAAGGAAGTCAAGGGCTGGTGAGGGGTGGCAGGAGGGCTCCTCCAGGGGCACTGGAACATTCCAGAACTGCACTGTGCCGGTGGTCACACAGCTCTAGATTTGCTAAAAATCATTGACTTGTACACTGAAAATTGGTAGATTCTGTAGTATGGAAACTATATCTCGTCAAACTGTTAATTAGAACAACGTTAAAGGCAAAGAAACTACAAAACTGAAAAAAGCCAACACCCAAAGCTTGAGCGGGTGTGGGAGGAGCCTCCTGTGATCCTGACTGTGGAGGCTGTGCCCCTAACACTTGCTGCTGGGGAGCTGGAGGGGGTGTGGGCGGAGCCTCCTGTGACCGTCATTCTGGTCAAGAGAGTCGCTGGGGTACCCCCTGCCTGGACTTTCAGAGCCTCTCCTGATGGGGCCACCACTTCCTCTGGCTGGGGAGGCCAGGCCTGTGGATGCAGTGGGTGGCAGGAGGGCCCCGGAGGGGAGATGGGAAGCCCACAGCTTCTTGAAGCCCCTGGTGCTGCCCAGGGCAGACCGCCCCTGAGTTGGGGCCCACACATTCTGGGTTCTCTCGGTGCTTTTGCTGAGAGAATCCACATGTGGTCCCAAGAGCCAAGGGGAAGCATTGTTTTGTTGAATCAGTTTTACTGAGTATAATTTGTATACTACAAAAGGTGCCCATGGTAAACGTGCAGTTCCATGAGTCTCCACCAGGGTGTGTAGTGCTGTCTATGGCCCAGCACGGCCTGACACCCACAGGCTTCCCTCGGGCTCCTCCCTGGTCTGGCACCAGCAGCCACCAGTCTGTTCCCTCATGGCCCTGCCTTCTCTGCCCACCCTCTCTGTGGAGCCATGGCTGGGGCCTGCGCTGGCCTGAGCCCCAGGCTAGTTGCCTGTGGGTAGGGTCCCGGAGCCAGGTCATGGCCATTGGAACCATCTGAACCATCCTCACTTCCTGGAGATTATAAATAAGGCCACACAGGCCTGCTGGATAGACGTCTTCTCTCCCTGGGCATCTTCCCAGGAGGAAGGTTTCAGGTTTTAGTGGAGCTGGTCCAGGTGGGCAGGTCCTGCCGTGTGAAAAGGGCTATTGTGTGGCGCCGCTCGCTTCTCTCTCCCCGGCTGGACCTTCCGCCAGCAGCCCGCTGGCTCCTGCGGGGTGCTGGTCTTGTCTTGGCCCTGAGCCCTGCTCTCTGGGCAGGTTTATCCACCAGGTGAACCAGGCCGCTGTCACCATCCAGCGCTGGTACCGCCAGCAGGTGCAGCGGCGCCGAGCAGGAGCTGCCCGCCTGGAGCACCTGCTGCAGGCCAAACGGGAGGTCAGTGTGGGTGTCAGTCTCTCCACGCTCCCTGGGGGGTCTGGCCCAGAATCTCAGGGCTCTCAGTTTCTGGGACAGGTGGAATCGAAGCCTGGGATTGCCTGTGGGTCCTGTCTCTGGGTGCAGCACCCTCCCTGACCCTGGGTACCCGCGGACAGGAGGATGGTCCTCACTGGCTCTCATCAGGGGCTGGGCATCAGGAAATGCCTGCTGGGTCCCTCCCAGGCTGGAGCTGTCTCTCTCGAGCTGCAACTGCTGGCCACCTGTGACACAGGGCTTGTCCTCTAGAGCAGAGAGATGGCAGATTCAGGGTCTTGGTGGAGTCTCACCTTCCCTGCTGGCCCTGAGATTCCATGAACTCTAGGGGGCTCCCAGGCGTTCGGGGGGAACCCCTGGTCTGGGTCTGGATTCCGTGTTCTAGATGTATACTCCACATGGCACTGGCTTTTTTGGCAGGAGCAGCGGCAGCGGCTGGGCGAGGGGACCCTCTTGGACCTGCACCAACAGAAAGAGGCTGCCAGGAGGAAGGTCCGAGAGGAAAAGGCACGCCAGGCCAGGCAAGCGGCCATTCAGGTGCCTGTGCTGACCACGTAGGAACTGTTGGGCCTGACTTGGTGGGGGCTGCTCTGGGGCTCCCTGGGCCCTGGGACACTCAGGGCAGTTTGGCTGGGAGCTTGGGTCGTCCTCTACCGGGGATGGCACTCAGCAATGCTCCCACTGCAGGAGCTGCAGCAGAAACGAGCTCAGAGAGCCCAGAAGGTGAGCTCTGCTGAGCGGGGGCCACCCGAGAATCCCCTGGAGACCAGAGTGCCAGGGATGCAGCAGCCTGCTCAGGAGCCATCCTCCACGCTGGGTGGCACTGCCTACCAGGCCCTCAAGGCCAACAATGCTGGTGAGAGTGGCTCAGTAGCCACCCTGCTCTGCGGGGGTGGGCTGCAGCCAGGAAGGAGGTGCAGCCCCCGCGGAGCTCCCTTGGACCCCTATGCTGCTCCCATGTTGGCAGCCTCAGTCCTCAGAGTTAGGGGCCTTGGCCCCAGCTGACCTGAGGAGGGTGCCGAGACCTTGACAGACAAATGGGCCTGGACATAGGGGCCCCTACAGAGCAGAAGGCCTGGAAGGGTGGGGTGGCACTCTTCCCCCACAGCTGCACACCCAGAAGGCTGTGGCTCCCCAGTGGCTCCTCTGCTTCTGAGGTCACCTCTGCCTCCCCCATGCCTGGCTCCTTCCCAGGGGCACCTCCAGAGCCGCTGTCCCCATGGGATGGCACTGGTGGGATGGTGTGTTCTGCTGTGCAGGTGCTGGCCTCCCTGCTGCAGGCCCTAGAGACCGCTGCCCACTCACCTCCAACTCATCTCCGGAACCGCAGCAGCCTCCAGAGGACAGGATGCAGGTCTGGGCATAGCTGTCTTTCCCTCACTCGTGGTTTTGGCTTCAAGGGCTGCATCCATGCCAGGGGTGTCCTGAGCCCAGCTTATCCCAGCCCCTCCTCTGCTGTGGGGCCACTCGTGCCTGGAGAGGCCACCCACGAGGGGTCTTCTTGCTCTGATGCAAGGTGTTGGCTGTCCTGGGGGAAGCCATCACTGGGGTGGAGTCCTCTTGTTTGCACAGATTCCTGGGGTAAGGGGCCCTGCAGCCTCGTCCGTGGAAGAGGAGCTTCTGGCTCCGAAGGGTGATGTGACAGTTCCCAGCCTGCTCAGTGGTGGGGCCACTTTCCTGGAGGGGGTGCTGGGAGGAGTCCCTGGTGGCTGCAGCTACTCTGGGTTTGAGCAGCTACAGAGAGCGGTTGGGAAAGTCTGAGCCCTGGCCTCACCTTCCAGGGGCCCAATGTTGGGACTGGGGAGCTCCGGCAGTACCTTTGGGGCTCTGCAGTTGGCTTCCTACGTGGGGCTGTCTCGGCCACCGACAGCCTTGCTGCATCTGTCCCCCTGCTCTATTGCAGGACGTCCTCACCCAGGGTGCAGCTGGCGACAACCTGGAGATGGTAGCCCCAAGCAGGGGCAGTGCCAAGTCTGGGGGGCCACTGGAGGAGCTGCTGCACACACTGCAGCTGCTGGAGAAGGAGCCAGAGCCACTGTCCTGCCCCAGGGTCCATCGCAAGGGCAGATACGCCTGGGCCAGTGAGGTGGCCGAGGTGTGCGCCCTGCCCTGCCCAGCCTGGCTGCTGGTACATCCACACAGCATGCAGTGGCTGTGGGGGTTGGGAAAATGGGGTGCCAGGGCTCCTCCTTACTTTGGTCAGGACCCTCCCTCCCAGAGCCCAGCCTCGGCTGCCACCACTGCCCCCGGGGACCCCCAGTCCTCAGGCTGCCCTGATAGCCCCCAGTGCTGGGCTCCTGTCCCACAGGAGGATGACGCCAGCTCTCTGACAGCTGACAACCTGGAGAAATTTGGAAAACTCAGCGTGTTCCCTGAACCCCCTGAGAATGGGACGCTGCTCTCGGAGGCCAAGCTACAAAGCATCATGAGCTTCTTGGATGAGATGGAGAAGTCTGGGCAGGACCAGCCAGACCCCCAGCAGGAGGTGGCCCCTCACCAGACTGCACCTGGCTGCCGGGGGGAAGAGGTCCCTCACCAGCTCCCACCCCGCCCCCAGGAGGAGGAAGTCCCTTACCAGCCCCCATCTGGTCCCTCACCATGTACCCACCCAGTTATGTAGCCTCCCACGGGGCTCTGTGATGATGGAGGCGGCAGGGCCAGCATTCCCCATACTGCTCTCCCCCAGCCTCCTGCCCCCACCCCGAGCCTCCTCCCCAAGCCCTGTGTGGGTGGCCAGTTGTGGCCTCCAGAACCCTGCTGTCCCCAGGCCGCTGGTTGGTCTGTCCTGGGTGAACACCAGTGGCCAGGCTAAATGGAGCAGTGATGTGAACTTCATTGCCGCAGGGCCAGAAGCTCAGAAGTGCGTAGAACTTTTTAAGTGGTCTGTTTCTTACTCCTGAGGCCGCGGCCCTGTTTCCTGTAGAGTAATGAAACGACCTCTGCCGGGTGGCCTGCCGCCTGCCACCTGCTGTCTGCCGCCTGCCGCCTGGCTTCCCATGGGCTCCTCTGCGTGCAGCAGCTCCTCTGTCTCCAGAGGGCAGGGCTTCAGGGCATTGTGTCAGGTCCTCGGCTGCCTCCCTGTCCTCTGCCACTGCTGCCTGATGCTCGGCTGTGTCTGCAGGGGCAGGTGCCGCAGGCGGGGCTGGGGCCTCTGGAGCCAGGGTCCGAGGTGGGCACATCTGTGATGCGGCTAAAGCTGGAGGTGGAGGAGAAGAAGCAGGCCATGCTGCTGCTGCAGAGAGCACTGGTAACGGCCCCGCACTGCTCACCTTGGGCCCTGCGGCCCCCTGCTTGCCAAGGCTGGGCCTGTGGGCCCCAGCATCCCCTCCTCTGCTTACACCCTGCAGGCACAGCAGCGAGACCTCACGGTCCGGCGGGTCAAGGAGACAGAGAAGGCACTGAGCCGGCAGCTGCAGCGGCAGAGGGAGCACTACGAGGCCACCATCCAGCGTCACCTGGCCTTCATCGACCAGGTGAGTGGCCGGAGACTGCAGAGGCCCAGACCCAGCACGTGGCTTGCAGAGACTTCCAGAGCCAGGGGCTTCCCATGGCCTGGGAGCTGCTTCTGCTGTTGGAGGTCACACAAGTGTCTGCTGGACACATTCCAAGCCTTTCCTGTGCCATTCCCTGCTGTCCATGCCCTGGAGAAGTCCCTCCTGTCTTTACCCAGAGCTGTCCTGAGGCAGGGTAGCTGGGGTGTCCCCTGGCCCCTTGGCTCAGTTGCAGCCCTGGTTGGATCCTATTCTGTTATTTTTTCTTTTTTTTTTGGTTTGGATCCTATTCTGGAGAGAACTGTAGGTCTGGGGTCCATGAAAAAAGCAGTGGCCTCCGAGGGCTGCTTGGTGGTTGTCACAGGTGTGTCCTGACCTAGGGTCTGGCCTGGGGCTGTGAGTGAAGCTGGTGTGGTCCTGATACCCTTTGGTAGGCAATGGCCTCCTCCAGGGCTGGGTGATGGGCGTGAAGGACCTGCCCTCATTCCAGGAAGACCCTGACACTACTGCGGGGGGTGGGCTGGGGCTTCTCTGATACTTGCTGGGTGAGGACGGGATGGCAGATGCAGGCCTGGACCTGAGTTTGCACACATGCCCTCCCATTGGCCCCAGAGTCCACCCACAAACCTGGGAGGGGTGGCCCCCTGGGAGGCTGGGAGGGTCTCCTCCATCATGGGTCCTGCCGCCTCACCTCTGGTCTGCGACGCAGCTGATTGAAGACAAGAAGATCCTGAGTGAGAAGTGTGAGGCTGTGGTAGCTGAGCTGAAGCAGGAGGATCAGAGGTGCTCTGAGCGTGTGGCCCGGGTGCAGGAGCAGCATGAGCTGGTGAGCCCTTGCTCCCCAACGTCGGCTCCCTAGGCCTGGCTCACAGGCTGGGTGCAGCTGGCGCAGTGGACTTGGAGTCCTGCCTCGGAGTGTCAGGGCCACAGGGGTGGCTGGGGCTGTCTGGGGGCACTGCGGCACCAAGCTGGTCCCCTTCTGCCTCTCTAGCTGCCAGGCCCTGGGGCGGGGCCGTGGGCCTGGTGTGAGTGCTCCCCTGCTACAGATGTGGACACCCAGTTTCTGCCTGGCCACAGCACAATGGCCATGGACCCAGAAGCCTCTGCCCGGCCTGCCCCACCACCGGGTCCCTGGGCCACGGGCCCTGCTCTCTGTATTGATCAGGTGTCAGTTGAGCACTGACGCCTGGCTCCCCTCCTGCTGTGTGTGCAGGAGCTGGTTCAAAGGCCCACTCACTCTCCGGGGGCTCAGCCTCCCTGGCTGTGCTTCCTACCAGCTTGGGCAGCGATGGTCCTGAGCCCAGGCTCTGAGTGGGAGTTGGCACTGGCATTTTAAAATCCCTGCATGTGACTGTGGCTGACAGCTGAGGCTGAGGACTTCCTGTCACACGGGAGAATGCAGGCTTGGGCTGTCCGACAGGCAGTCACACCCCTCTCTGGGGCAGGGCCTCTGCAGGCTGACGGCTCCCCTCCCATATCTCAGGCCACAAGGTGTGTGGCAGGCGGGCCTGGGCCTCCTGCCTGGCCGTGGGTGCTGGGGAGGAGCGGTGGCTCTCTGGAGCCACGTGTGTGTCTCGGGGCAGCACACGCACTCACCTATGAGCCTTGTGCTGGTGATCCTGGAAGCCTGGCATCTGCCTGTGCCCACGGGATGGCGAAGGAACGCTGTGTCCTTCGCATAGTTTCTTCCTGATCTCCTGTTCTCCTGCTTGTAGGAGATTAAGAAACTCAAAGAAATAATGAGCGCCACGGAGAAAGTCCACCGGGAGAAGTGGATCAGTGAGAAAACCAAGAAGATCAAGGAGATCACTGTCCGAGGTGTGCCATCGCCTCCCAGAGCCTGCAGACATGGGGTGGGCGCTGCGGGCCTGGGCTGCTTTTGAGAGAACCATAACTTCAGGCATTCGTGTAGCCTAAGACCTTCCTGGCAGAAGTGAACGCTCATGCCTGACCACCCCTATGTGGCCTGCCTCCTCTGCAGCCTCCTCTGGGATCCTGGCGGCAGGTGGCCGATCCAAGCTCCACGCAGGAGCCTGGCCCGGCCCCCAGTACCCAGGCAGTGGCCTGAACTGAGGGGCTCAGTGCGTCACTTCCTCAGGGCGGGGCTGGGGGAGATTGGGAGTTTGTGGGTGACGGTGGCACGTGGCCCTGCCATGGGAAGCAGAGTGAGCCACAGGAGGTGGCAGGTGTGGGCGGGGGAAGGGGGCTGGAGGCTGCTGGGTGTCGGGGTCTGAAAGGACCTCAGACCCTTGTCTGGGGCTCCACGAGGCCTGGTCCTCTCACTTTGGACACCTGCCAGGGCGCCTGGGAGCTGCCAGTGGGAGCACCAAGGGTGTGGGTGAGCCCTGAGCCCCACAGGCTGAGAGAGGTGCCGTGGCCCTGCAGGCGCCTCCCCACCTCCTGGGAGTCAGACTCGGCTATGCTTCGGGCTGGGTTTAAGAAGGCCCTGGGTGGGCAGGGTTCCCCTGGGGCCTAAGACAGGCTGGTCTTGTGCCAGGGTTGGGTTTCTGGGCTCCCGCTCGGCTGAACTTGGCCCCGGCCCGGGTAGTGGGGTGTCCCCTGTAGCTGGTGCCCCGCCCCTAGGCCTGGAGCCAGAGATCCAGAAGCTGATTGCCAGGCACAAGCAGGAGCTGCGGAGGCTCAAGAGCCTGCACGAGGCGGAGCTGCTGCAGTCGGACGAGCGGGCCTCCCAGCGCTGCCTGCGCCAGGCCGAGGAGCTGCGGGAGCAGCTGGAGCGTGAGAAGGAGGCGCTAGGCCAGCAGGAACGCGAGCGTGCTCGGCAGCGGTGGGTGGTAGCCCCAGGCTTGCGGGGCCAGGACTCTCAGGGCGTGGAGTCAGGGCAACCTTGAAGGCTGGAGCAGGGTTCCCTTGTTGGGGTGGGCGAGGGTCTCGGTGCAGCATCAGGGAGGACGCGAGGCACTTGGCCCTGGGGGCCCTCGGGGGCTTAGACTCCTCAGCTGGGCCAGCGGCCTCGGGCGCATGTCTGCAGTCCCTGCCCACCGAGGTCTGCGGGGTTCTGCACATGTTTCCCAGGGCTAAGGCTTGGAACCCCCACCAGACGTCCACTGTTTCAGAGCTGGCCCCAGAGCAGCTAACCTGTGGATAAGTGGCCTTGAGGCCCCTCCGGCTCTGACCTTGGGGCCCAGGGATGGTCTCATTGCTTTAATTGGCTTGGGGTCTGAGGGGTGACTGCTGGTGTCACATCCTGAGCCCTGGGGGCTGGGGATGTGCCCCGTGGAGGTCAGGCTCTGTGGGCCAGGGGGCCAGTGGGTAGCCCCTTCTGCACTGTCTACGCCTCCAGGACAGAGCCTGGGAGCCATCCTTTCCTCTCTGGCCTGTTGCCTGTGGTGGCCGGTCCTCCCCAGATGCAGCTCCGCTGGTCTCCTGGCCTCTCCCTGAAGGTGGGGTCAGGATGAGGGCCTGGCTCGAGCTTGCTCAGTTACCCTGGTACCCTCAGGCCAGAGGCAGGGAAGGTGGATGAGGCCTCACCAGGCACCTGCCTCCTGCCTCCTGCCCTCCATGCCAGCCTGGCAGTGCTGAACAGAGCAAGGCTGGCACATGGGCTGAGGGAAAAGGGAGCCCGGACATGGCTCCACAGCCACTTCCCAAAGCGCCATGAGGGCCTGGAGCTCAGGGAGTTGCAGCGGTGGGCTGACGGGCAGGGTCCTTGTGGCCTTGCCTGCCCCCGAGGCCTTCCTTGCTCCTGGGCTATAGCTGAGGGGGAGGGTTCGGCTCCAGACTGGGCTGCCAAAGGGCTGCTCTCGAGGTGGAAGCCAGGCCTGTGTCTGGCCCGTTCCCCTGCGGTAGGTGGGTCCTGGGACCGCCCGTCTCTGCACCCATGAGCCAGTCCTGCCCGTCCTGCAGGTTCCAGCAGCACCTTGAGCAGGAGCAATGGGTGCTGCAGCAGCAACGGCAGCGTCTGTACAGCGAGGTGGCCGAGGAGAAGGAGCGGCTGGGCCAGCAGGCAGCCAGGTGCGCCCAGGGGACACGCCCTCTCCCAGGGACCCTCACCCGCTGACCCCTTACCCACCGTCCTCTCCCGTCCTTGACCCCTGGCCTGCTAACCCCCTCATTTGCTGACCCCTTGGCCACAGGCAGCGGGCAGAGCTGGAGGAGCTGAGGCAACAGCTGGAAGAGAGCAGCTCTGCGCTGACCCGAGCCCTGAGGGCTGAGTTTGAGAAGGGCAGGGAGGAGCAGGAGCGCCAGCACCAGGTCTGGGTTGGGGAGGCTGTACTGGGCAGGGGGGCAAGAGGAGGTTGGTTAGTGGGGATGGGGGCAGCTGGGTAGGGGCTGGGGGGTGGGTGCTGACTGGTCTCTTAACGTCTACCCCCCAGATGGAGCTGAAGGCCCTGAAGCAGCAGCTGGAGCTGGAGAGGCAGGCGTGGGAGGCCGGCTGCGCCAGGAAGGAGGTGGGGACCTGGGCGCTCAGGTGGGCAGGGGTTGGCAGCTGCCTGGGATGGGCTCTGCTGCTGTGGCATCCTGGGGCCTCGTTTCTGTGAGTCATATCTGGCTGCATGGGGTTGTCTTCTGAGCTGATGCTGAGCATGTTGCTTTCAGCCCATCTTTTGTGCAGACTCTGGAAGGATCCATGGTGCCTGGAGCGCATCCTCTGTGGTCCAATAACAGGCGTCATCCCCCTTGCTGGGGGTTGCTATGCCTGTGCACCCCACAGCCAGCCCACTGACACCCAGATGTAGAGAGGCACACGCACAGCAGGGCTCCCCTTAGCCTTTGGGGCCTTCGGAGGAGGTGGCCTCTGCCAGGGTGACAGTCCCACACACATTCTCACCAACCATGCCCTCCATGAGGCCACTGTGCAGGCTGACCATGCCCGTCACCTGGGTGGATGTCACCCAGCAGCCAGGCAGGCTGTGGCAGTGGATGCCTCTGGGCTCAGGAAGATGTGCCCGATGCAGGCCTATGGAGGCCTTAGAAGCAGTTGCTTCTAAGAGGCTTCCTGGGTGGGCTCTCACTGCCTGGGCTTGGGGGCCCAGGCCTTGCCCTCAGCAACATGGCAAGTCCGACTTTCCCGGCCCATCTGGTAGCAGGTGTTGGCCTCAGGTCGTCATGGGCTGTGGGTCTGAGGTAGGGGACCCTGAGCTGTGTGTCATAATAGTCTCTGGCGTGCCTGTGCCCACACTGGGTCCTGATGACAGGATGTGGCGCACCCCAGGGCGGGAGTCTGGAGAGGGGAAGGCTCCTTGCCCCACTGTGGCTCAGAACCTGGAGCCCTCCAGGACCCCCTGAGGCTGGCCTTGGCCCCACCCTCAGCTTTCTGCATCCACTGCCTTTTGAGGGCCAGCTCCCAGTGGTGACCCCCAAGGCAGCGCATGTTCCCCCAGGAGGTGTGGCTGCTGAACCGGGAACAGGAGCTGAGGGAAGAAATCCGGAAAGGCCGGGACAAGGAGATTGAGCTTGTCGTTCACCGGCTGGAGGCCGACATGGCGCTGGCCAAGGAAGAGAGTGAGCGGGCTGCTGAGAGCCGGTGAGGCCCGCCACGAGTGGGCATGGCTGGGTCGCCAGCTGGGGAGGCTGGGAGCCGAGGTGTGAGGGCCCGTGTGTGTCCGGGCTGCAGTGACTCTGCCCTCCCCCCAACACCAGCATCAAGCGCTTACGGGACAAGTATGAGGCAGAGCTCTCGGAGCTGGAGCAGTCGGAACGGAAGCTTCAGGAGCGGTGCTCAGAGCTGAAGGGCCAGCTTGGGGAGGCCGAAGGGGAGAACCTGCATCTGCAGGGCCTTGTGCGGCAGAAGGAGCGGGCGCTGGAGGACGTGCAGGCAGTGAGCAGGCGGGCGGTGGGTGGGCAGTGGATATCCCAGGCCCCTCCTGCTTGCACGTAGCCACTCGCTGGCAGCTGGCTCACTGACTCCTGTGGCTGCCCAGATGAACCAGCAGCTCACCAGGGAGCGCAGCAACCTGGCTCAGGTGATTCGCCAGGAGTTCCAGGACCGGCTGGCAGCTTCTGAGGAGGAGACGCGGCAGGCCAGGGCCGAGCTGGCCGCACTGCAGGCCCGGCAGCAGCTGGAGCTGGAGGAGGTGCATCGGAGGTGGGCAGCCGGGGCTGCAGGGCTGGAGATGGAAGTGGGGCAGGGGAGTGGGCAGGACCCCAGGAGGCTGTGGCTGAGGAAGGCCAAGAGGTGTAGGCAGAGCACTGTGGGCAGAGGCTGGTGTGGGTACCATGTTTGGGGCCCAGGAGACCAGGATCTGTTTTCTTCCCTGACACTTAAGTCTGGGGTGTCAGCCATCCCTGTTGGAGCACCTCAGCGCATCAGGTCTCAGCCTGGCCAGTTCTCCAGGGAGGCAGCTCCCAGGGCGCTGGGCTGGGTGGACAGGCGCTGACAGAGCTAGGGCGCTGTGAGGTTCCCAGCGAGCTCCCTCTATGAGGGTCCTGCCTCCTTCCTGTGCCACCTGCTGCCAGGGCTGAGAGGCAAGTGTGGGCAAGGCTTCCCACCCCATCTGGTACCAGGCCTCTCCAGGGGTGGCCAGGGTCACTCCAGGGGCCCATGTTGGGTCCTGACTCATAGCAGGTGGGTTCCCTGGACACCTGCCTGGGCCAGCCACAGGAGTCATGGTCAGCAGAGCTGGGACCGGGCTACCCCGTGCACTCTGAGTGCTGCAGGCAAGTCTGGGGCCACGGGGCGGAGGCCATGCTGAATCCCACCACGTACTCCCCACAGGGTGAAGACAGCCCTAGCGAGGAAGGAGGAGGCCATGAGCAGCCTGCGCACACAGCATGAGGTGAGTCCCTGCGGCCAGCCCTGTGGGACCCCGGGGCCGGGAGCGGGCCTGACCCTGAGGGTGTGTTGCAGGCTGCAGTGAAGCGGGCTGACCACCTGGAGGACCTGCTGGAGCAGCACAGGCGGCCTGCACTGAGCAGCAAGTGACCAGGGATACTGGGACACCGTCCACAGACGGAAAGCAGAGGACAGAGGGTGGACTTGGGCCTGGAGATCACAGGGACGCCTGCCTGCCCGCCGAAGAGGCTGGTGTTGGAGATGCCAGCGGCCAAGCACCTGTGGCTACATTTTAACAGTAAAGGGTCCGCTTTTTTCAATGCCTTGAGTGACTGCCTTGCCTTCTCTCCTGGGCTGGAGCCCACCCAAGACCCCCAGAGCAGCCAGGCATGGGTTTGGCTCTCTCCCTCCCACTCCCCTCTCCAGCCTGTGCAGGCTGACCAGGATATCATGAGGCTTGGCCATCCGCTCCCCAGCTGGCAACCCTAGCACTCAGCCAGCAGTCCCCAGCACTCAGCCAGCAGGCCCCAGCACTCAGCCAGCAACTCCCTAGCACTCAGCCAGCAACTCCCCAGCACTCAGCCAGCAGCACCCAGCACTCAGCCAGCAGCCCCCTGCACTCAGCCAGCAGCCCCCAGCACTCAGCCAGCAGCCCCCAGCACTCAGCCAGCAACTCCACAACACTCAGCCAGCAGCCCCCCAGTACTCAGCCAGCAGCCCCCAGCACTCAGCCAGCAACTCCCCAGCACTCAGCCAGCAGCCCCCCATCACTCAGCCTGACCCCCAAGTTTCTGTTCTCTGCCTTGCCCTGGGCCCTGAGACTCCCACAGAGAATTCCCCACCCCGTTCCTGGCCAGGTGCAGGAGTTGCCCAGCAGAACTTGCCCCTTGGGAGGAGCTCTGAGGGCCCCACCCCAGCCCTGCAGGTGCTGGAAGCCCATGGCTGCCAGTGTGCCCCTATGGCTGGAGAGACTCTAAAGGGACAGGAAGCTCCCCCATCCCCACTGTCAAGATGTGACAGCCTGGAGCGCTCAAGAAATGAGGATGGACAGGGCCCACCCATGCGGAGGGGGGCACTGGGGAAGGTCCCAGGCAGGGGAGGGCATGAGAGGGCACCAGGTCCCCTGCTGGCGCAGGGCACCTGTTCACACCCAGCCTTTGCTCAGGTCCCTACACTTGGCCTGGTCAGCTCAGAACTTGCCCCAAATCCTTGGGGGGCAATCCTCCCTCCACCTCCATCTACACTGACCGGGAAGTGAGTGCTGCCTGCCCACTTACCAGGGTTGGAAAGCCGAGGCTGTGCCTGAATGCTTGGTGGGTGACGAGGGTCTCTGAGCAGGCTGCGCTATCCTGGGACCTGGCTTTGGGGTCGCTCTGGCTACCACACCATACTGTCCCAGCATCAGTGCCAGGGAGACCCATTGGCCCCAGTCCTCAGTCTTCCCACCTGCAGCCTGGCTAGGACCACCCTGGCTGCAGCAGCTGCTGTACCGGTGCCCGTGGTCCTGGGAAGCCCCCTGTGGAGCAGAGGTACTGCTGGCTGCCCAGGCCTGCCCTGAGACCCTGCCCAAAGCTTGCCTTCCCCCGGGAGGGGCCGGCCAGGATCACGCTCCCCTGCCCAGCGCCATCCTGCTGGCCAAGTCACTGCCCTGGACACAAGGCCTGACTTGGTTTTTACCCTTCCTGGGGAGAGGTGGCATTGTCCCTGGTCCCCGTTGTGTGATCAGCAGTGTGTGTGAGATGGGCTTTGCCCTGTAGCTGGTGTGGGTCTGCTGCCTGGCAGGGGGTGCAGGCCCCTGGGTCCCTCTCACCACCCTCCAGGTTCCCAGGTCCAGGCCTAGGCTGGGGAAGCTCAGGACCTCGGGGGTGAGGCTGGGAAAATGCCCTAACACGGACGTAGCCCAGACACTCTTTTTGGTCAGAAAAGGAGCGAGAAACAGGTGTGACCTTCAGCCAAGGACGTCCCTGGCTTCCCAGCCCCTGCTCGATGGGTTTCATTTGTTGGCTTATTGCTCCGTGTTCCTGAGACCTTCATTTGTTTGTTCACAAGGGCATGTGGTGAACCTTTTGCATTTGGGGTCACCTCTGGATCGCTGCATCTCTTGAGTTTTGTTTTTTTTGTTGTTGTTTTTAATTTTTCAATTTTTATTTTTTGAGACAAGGTCTTGCTCTGCTGCGTAAGCTGGAGTGCAGTGGCGCAATCATAGCTCACTGTAGCCTAGAACTCCTAGCCTCAAGTGATCCTCCACCTCAGCCTTCCAGGTAGCAGGAAACCACACCAGCTACTTTAACTTTTGTAGAGACGGTCTCACTATGTTGACCAGATTGGTCTCAGAACTCCTGGGTTCAAGTGATCACCCCACCTCGGCCTCCCAAAGTGGAATTACAGGTGCAAACCACCATGCCCAGCCTGTTGGTTTTTAATTCAAATGTTAGTTGTCACATACAAGAAAGACAATTTGCGTTTGACATAAGGGACTGGGGTCGTGTATCATTTCTGTCTCCGTGCCGCCCTCCAGCCTTGTGGCCTCACGTGTCCTGCTGATGAGAAGCGTGTCTCTGAGAGGTTGAGGCACAGGGAAGGCTTGTCTGCCAGGCGGCTTCACCTGGACGGGGTGCCCGAGAGAGGGGGATGAGATGCCATTTCTCCTCCCTATGGGGAGTGGAGCTTGGGAAACTGGGAGTGGGGTGGGCAGGGAGTGGCTCTGTGCTTCAGGGGCGGCTATGAGGTCCCAGCATTCTGGGAAAGGCCCAGGTTAAACCTATTGCCTGAGCCTTCCAGCTCCTTCTGCTCCGGGTAGTACTAGTGCCCATCAGACAGTAAGCCAGAGCTGGGCTTCACCCAGCAAGACACTGTGGGGGTCCCCAGGGGGATGTAGGGGTCTCTGAGCCACAGTGGGGGGAACCCTGAGTCTCTACCATTGAGAAAGCCGGGCTCCCTTCCCTCAGCTGGATCACTTACCTGTCCAGGTTGGTGGGCTGTTGGGGGTAAGGGGAGGGCTTTGGGGCAGGAGCCAGACCTTAGAAGCACAAATGGACTCTGGCTGGGTTCATTCCACCCCATCTGGCTCACCACCCTCATACTCCATTCTCTCCCTGGCAGAGCCTGCTTCTGTGACAGTTTCCATGCTCTGTCCATGCCAGGCCTAGAATTTGGGGTACAGCCACAACCAGACCAGACCACCCAGCCCTCGAGGGGTTTACGTTCCAGCAGAGGAGACTGACAGAAAGCAAGACCTTTAACGTTTCCGAATGTTCACCCTTTCTCTCTGTCCCCTCCTGCCCATTTCCTTTTCTGTCCTTCTAATCTCTTGGGAAGGACACTTAGAGAAGTGATCCCAGCCCTTTTTCCTTTCCCGTCTGTGCACCTAAGTCCCTGAATTTCCTTCAAGGCACCACTTGAGCTGCGACCACAAGTTGGCACGTTTTATTGTCATTATTCTTAGGTGTGAAACAGATTCTAATTTGCAGGCTGGTCCCTTTGACCATAGCTGTTTAGAATTGCATTGCTTCCTTTATTTTTAAACTTCTAGCTTCTCTGTGGTCAGAGAATGTGCCATATTATTTCAATTCTTCCTCTTGATTGAATCTTGCTTTAGGACCCAGTGTTTGGACAATTTTGGTAAATGCTTTACATATTTAAAAATAACATGTGTTCTGCAGAGGCAGGCTTTCACCATGTTGGCTAGGCTGGTCTTGAACTCCTAACCTCGGGTGATCTGCCCACCTCAGCCTCCCAAAGTGCTAGGATTACAGGCATGAGCCACTGCGCCCAGCCTAGGCAGGTCTCTTGAGCCCAGGAGTTTGAGACCAGCCTGGGCAACGTGGTGAAACCCTGCTGTCTCTGTGTTTTGTTTTGGGGTGTTTTTTTTTTTTTTGAGGCAGAATCTTACTCTGTCACCCAGACTGGAGTGCAGTGGTGTGATCTTGGCTCACTGCAACCTCCACTTCCAGAGTTGCAGCCTCCACTCATGCCTCAGCCTTCCGAGTACCTGGGATTACAGGCTAGCACCACCATGCCCAGCTAATTTTTGCATTTTTAGTAGAGATGGGGTTTCGCCATGTTGGCTAAACTGGTCTTGAACTCCTGGCCTCAAGTGATCTACCCGCCTTGGCCTCCCACAGTGCTGGGATACAGGTGTGAGTCACCGTGCCCAGCCCCTTCTTATTTTCAAACTTTCTACGGCCTCTTTAAGCACAGTGAAGACAAAGCTGTCCTAGACAGTCCAAAACCAGGCTTGGCCAGTGTGGGGCTGGGTCTGGCCCTGGGACTGACTTTTGCCAGCCCCCTGTCCCTCAGGCTCAATGTGGCTCTGGCTGGGAGGGAGGGGCAGGGGCCGACGCTGGGGTCTGGACTGACTGTGAGGGCAGCCTCCAGTTGGTGAGGTCAGTCCTCCGCTGTTCGTACTCCCACTGGGTAGCCCATAGCATCTGCAGCCAGAGCCCCTCCTCCTGGACAGGCTCTGGACAGCAGGAGGCTACCCAGCGGCCCCTCGCCCTGCTATTGACTGGCAGATGCCCAATGGGGCAGCCTGTGCCACCTGCACTCACTCTGGGTCTCAGCACCCATGCTTTGCTCATAATTAATGCAGTATGTATGCCAATGTCATAGTGTATTAGGGGACGGGGAGTGCTTTGGGGAAAAGAGCTGGTCCAGAGGGATGCAGGATGCTAATGAGGGTGAGCGAAATACCACATAGGGCAGGTGAAGACGACCTCGTGGGGATATGACGTTTGCAGAAAACATCGAAGGAGTCTGGTAACGGGATGTCTAGGGAAGAGCGTGCTGGGCTGAGGGCCAACCATGCAAAGGCCCTGGAGCAGATTGGTGCCTGGTTGAGGAAGCAGGGGGGCCCCGTGGCTGCATGGGGAGGGGCAGGGCGTGGGGGGGTCTCAGGTCAGAGGGAAAGTGGGAACCACAGTCTGAGGCCTCTAGGGCCTGGCTTCACCCTGTGTGAGAGGAGGGCCCTAGGAGGGTTCCCAGAGGGAGGCCTCCAGCTGCCAAGTTGAGAATGAACCTTCAGAGGGTAGAGGCAGAGAGACCAACCGGGAGACTGTGGTGGCTGCCCAGGCAAGAGTGACCATGGCAGGGTGGTGTGGGCAGGGGCTCGGGCTCTGTGTGTATTTTGAGATGGAGCTGGGAGGGGACGCCCCGGTTCTCAAGTGGGGCTGAGCAGTGGCCAGAGGCACCTCTGCTCTCTGGATAGGGGAGTCATAGGTCAAGGGTTGCAGCGCAACCTTGGCGGCCTGGGGGTTTGAGGGGCACCAGCTGCAGCCCTGGACCAGGTCCTGCTCCCCAAGTAGTTACCTACGGGTGGGCCGTGAGGATGGTGTGAATCAGCCTAATTCTTGCCACTGCGACAAACTGACACCAACAAATGCCTTGCTCGCTCCGGGAGCAGCACCGTTCTGGCTCCCCTAAGCCCCGCAAGGGCTCCCCTGATGGGCAGGTGTCTTCCCTTCTGGGGTGAGACAGGACTCAGGTCCCCAGTGTCCTAAGTCCCACCAGCCCAGAGAGCCTGGAGTCCTGTGTGGCCGGTGAGCGGCTGGAGGCCGATGCTCACATCCACAAATGGCACCACGGGGCCCAGGCCCCTGCTGCTCCTCCCACACAGGGCCTGGGGAGCCAGGGGGCCTTAGGCCACTAGAAGGGGAGCTCTAGGCAAGTGAGTGTCAGGGGGACAGAGGCCCAAAAGCTGGGCTGGGGTCACACTGGAAGTACTAAGTGGGGAGAGGAGCATCATGGAGGGAGACACTTGGAGGTAGAAAAGCCAGCCCAGGAGCCTGAGCAGTCAGGAGACAGGGGTGGAGGAGGGTCTTGGGGTGCTTTGGGTGATTCTGCCAAGAACTAGAGGGCACCTGGGGGCTGCAGGTGTCCCCGTACCACATTCAGGCAGCTGCTGTGTATAGTGGGGGTGTGTGGCCCCGAGTGGCCCAGGCCAGGCCCATTGCAGATTGGGAAGGGGCCCTTCAGGGGTCTGGGCCCAGAGAGCACCATGTACCTGCTGACCGGGAGTCCTACCTGGATGGAACCTCCCAGCAAGGCCGCCCTCAGGCGTGCCCACAGCCAGGTGGGGCTCAGGGATAGGAGAAGGCCGTCTTCCTCCCCATCCTCACCTGCCCGCCCTGCCCCCCAGCTGTCGTCACCCATGGCCCTGATCCTACTACCCCCACCACAGTTCACACCAGCACCCCCAACAGACACACGAGGCTGCATCATTCACTTCATGCTGCTTTTCTTCCATTTTCTGGCAAGAGCTGGGTCCACCCTCACGGCTGGCTCCTCCTACAGGCCCCAGTGACTTCTGCCCAGGCGTGTAGTCACCCCGAGTTACCCCACAGGAGCCACTCGGTTGGCCAGGGCTGGTCATGGTGCTACTTCTTCTTAGGAATTTTCTCCTTTTTTATCAATTCAGAAAATTCTAGAGCAAGAGACCAATTTCTAGTAAGTACTCCTGTCTTGTGTCCCCCAATCCCTGCAGGCCTTTTAACTCTCAGAGGAGGCAGAGGGAGTGTGCCAGGACTGGACTGCATGGTCCACAGGGTCCTGTCCCTGAGCTCTTCAGTGGGGAGCAGGCCTCCAGCCTGTCTGGCTGGGGCCCCATGCCCTGGGCCTGGCTGCCTGGTTATCATGGGTTGACCCCACTGGGGGACTGCAGGCTTGTAATGGTCTGGGTCTCTGCAGAGACCCTCAGGAATTCCCACAGACCCTCTGAGAGCAGGAGCTCACTCCTATGATCATCTCTTAGGGGGGAAACTGAGGCATGGAACAGCTGGGGGGCTTGAGTTCTGAGGGACCAGGCTACTCCCTGTCAAGACTTGTGGCCCCCCATGAGTGGGGTTTGCTGGGGTTTCCAGACCCAGGCAGATGAGGACACGGCCACGGCTCGGCAGGGGGCATCTGGAGGCCCAGCCCACCTTGTGTGCCCTCTGCCCTCCTGGCCTATGGCCAGCAGCTGGGGTGGGTGGAGGTGAGATGGCCCAGACCTCAGGGCAGCCATGGAGAGCCTTGAAGACCCTGGGCCTCCCAGAAGACACAGCCCCAAGCCCGAGACCCCACACCCGCCGGTTCCACCACAGCTGGCCTTCCCAAAGCCCTCCCAGCCACCTTTCTGCAGTGGGGTCCTTGGCCCCGGGAAGAGCCCCTCAGGTCCCAGCTCAGACCCCTGAGCCTGGGTTTCCTCATCTGTGAGTTGGGTGCCGGTGCCCTCGGGGTGGGGCCGTGGGCAAGGGTGATGGCCTGGCCAGGTAAGGAAGGTCCTGAGGGGCCCCACCTTTGTAGTCGATCCTTCCGTCCCCGTCAGTGTCCGCCACCTGGATCATGGCCTCAGCCTCCTCGTCCGTCAGCGGGGCTGTGGGCCCGCTGCTGGGGATGATGGACAGGATGTACCTGGGGCCAAGGGGGCTGGAGTCAGGGCCAAGGGGCGTCCAGCCGTTCACCCTCACTATGTAGGCGATGGCACTCGGGGCCGGGAGCCTGGGCCTCTGGGCTTCCTGGGCCTCTAGCTGGTTCTGGCTCAGCCGTGTCAGCCACAAGGCCAGCAGGGACCCGGTGGAGGAAGGCTGGGTCTGCCGGGTGAGCATTCGAGGTCTTGGTGGCCTGGGCCCTGCCCCTCCCACCGCTGGCCATTACTTGATCTCGTTCCACTCGATGAAGCCGCTCTTATCCTTGTCCAGGACCTGGAAGGCCTTGCGGATGGCATCGTCCAGCTGGCCCAAGGCGTGGAACTTGCGCATGTGCTCGAAGAACTTGAGGTAGTTGAAGGACCCTGGGGCAACCAGGCTGGATCACCGAGGGCTGAGCCCACTCAGGTGGGCCTCTGGGAAGAGGCTGCCCTGGGATGGGCTGCTGGGCCTCCCCCCAGGTGCCCGCCCCCACAGGTCCCTCCCCCCAGGTCCCCACCCCTGCAGATCCTGTCCCCCCACATTCCTGCCCTAAGTCCCCACCCCCGCAGGTCCTACACCCCCACATCCCTGCCCCTGCAGGACTGCCCGCCACCTCCCACGTCCCGCCTCTGCTGGTCCTGCTCCTCACATCCCTGCCCTCCCCTCGCCCCCTCACTGCAGGTCCCACAACCCCACATCCCACATCCCTGCCCTGCCCCCAGCAGGTCTCATACACCCACGTCCCCACCCACCACAGGTCCTGGTGTCCTGGACCCATCAGCCCCAGAAAAGGGGTGAGGTCCCCTAACCGCAGCTGGGCTGGATGGGTCAGGGGCTGTGCTGGGTGGGGTGTGCTGTACCGTGGTATCTCATGTCCGTGGGTAGCATTTCAATGTCCTTGTCTGACAGAGATGTACCCATGGCCAAGGCCATCTTCTTCATCTGGGAGGAGAAGTCCTCATCCATCCTGGCCCTGGGGTGGATAGGGAGTCAATTCATGGGATGCACGCACGGATTGAGGGTGCTGCTTGGGCCAGAGCAGACGTAGAGCCTGCATAGGGCTAGGTCCTGCCTTAAAGTGGGAATGGTGACAGGTGTCACAGTGTTGGCGTTGTGCCAGGGCGCCCAAGGCAGGCTGGGATTCCAGCCAGGCAGGTTGGGGTCCGGGCACAGGCAGAGGGGCCAGAGGATGGAGCTGGGCCGTCCCGTGCCCCTCACAGCAGCGCCTTGTGACCTGCTGGGCTCTCGGATTGCTGTCCCCGGGGGTGGGGGGTGGGTTCTGGGGCTCAGCACAGCAGCTATCTCAGAGCTCAACAGGTGGCAGGTGTCCCATGCTTCTTGGCCCTCCTGAAAGTTCATGGGGTGGTAGAGCCTTCTGGAACATGCTTTTGCTGCCAGGAGGGGGGGCTTGGGTTCTCGAGTGGGGCTGAGCAGTGGCCAGAGACGCCTCTGCTCTCTGGATAGGGGAGCCATAGGTCAAGGGTTGCAGCGCAACCCTGGTGGCTTGGGGGTTCGAGGGGCGCCAGCTACAACTCTGGACCAGGTCCTGCTCCCCAAACCATAGTGACCTCTACCTGCCATGTGTTGTCGGGAGACGCCTGCCCCATTCACCGGGTTGTGAGAGGAGGCAGGAGGGAAGGGAGATGGCGGGGAGTGGGCTTGCCTGCTGCTTGAGGCTGGAGCTGCAGCCCCCCAGGCCCTGCAGTGGCCAATTCCCCCAGCCAGCAGGGCGGTGGTGAGCGGGGATGTGGGGCAGGCCTGGGCCTCAGAGGCCCTCAGGATCAAGACAGGCCCTGCTCCACTTCATTCAGAGCTGGGACTCTGGTTCCCCTCCCCCTGCCCTGGCATCTTGGGGACCCATTTTGGAAAAGAGGACACCTGCCTTCCATCGGGGCCAGTGTCACATTCTTTACAGAGGAGGGGCTGGGCTGAATTCCAGGCCGAAAGTGGCTGAACCAGGAATCAATGTCCTTGGGCTGGGCTCAGTCACCACCCCCTGCCCCACTGCTCTCAGGGCACCCTCATTGAAGGCAGGGGAGCCCAAGATCCAGGCTGGAGCCGGTGGGAGGTGGAGCTGCAGCTCCAGGCTGCTGGCTTATTTATAGCTCCTGCACCCCCAGCCTGGGCTGGAGTTTCACAGGACCCCAGAGTGAGCTGGGATGTCCAGCCGGGGCAGGCTTCGAGGCACCACTCAAACTATTCTTGGGCCCTGCCTGGACTCTAGGGGCTGCCCTCAGTGCTGGGAAAGGCCCTGCCTCCTCTCCCCTCTGAAAGGCCTCTTTTCTCCCCACTCCTTTTACCCTCGTCCACAGCTGGAGCTCCTAGAGCCTCCAGGCTAGGCTAAGACTTCTCAGACCCCACCCCCACCCAAGCATTGCTGCATCTGGGATGCCCTGCCTGGACCATTCCAGACCTTCCACCCTTGGAGGCTGTGGTATCCCCACAGCAGCTAGCCTCTGCCACCCAGTCGCCAAGCACAGACGCTGAGATGAGAGAGGTCTCTCAGGGGAAGGGGTGATGGAGACAGTAGGGTCCCTCTGGGTCAGGGGCAAGGCAGGGGACCAGAGCCAGCTCTGTGTACCTGCTGGAGTCTGGCCTTGGACCCACTGCCCTGCCAGCCCCACCCCATCCCTGTCCCCACTCTGAGCCTGGGTGCCTAGGGGTAGAGTGAGCAGGTCCAGCTCCCCATGCAGAGGCCCCAGCTCGCAGCTGCCTCTTGTAGTAATGCCCACAGAGGCTCACGCCAGCACACGTGTGCACGCACGTGCACCCTGCGGGGCCAGACGCAAACAGTTGTCTTCCATCTGGGCTCCCCTTGGGCTCATAGTGGTGCTGCTGGCAGGGAGGGTCGATCCTCCCCCTCCCACCCCTTTCCCCACCTCCCCTGGGCCCCTGGGGGGTCTCCCAGGACAGGGAGGGTCACTCCTCTTCCTTCCACCCCTTTCCCCACTTCCCATGGGCCCCCCCAGGGTCTCCCAGGGCCACCCTTGTCCTGCGGATGAAGAGGAGGCCCCGAGTTCCCACCATCCAGCCCGGATAACCTCAGTGGCCAGGGCCCACGCCCCCTCTCTGGCAGGGCTTACCTCTGCCGGGTTTCTTTAGGGAGCTCTGGAAGGTGGGTCAGACTGGGCTTCAGAGAGGCCCAGGGGCTTCAGCTTTTATACCTGCACGCCTGTTTACATCTTGGGTCTGCAGCTGTCCCCGCGCCTCCCTGGCACTCCAGCCTGGCATGGGCAGCTCCCAGGGGCTCACAGGCACTTGGTGAGTCTACACCCGGCTGGGCAAACTGACCCTTTGCAGCTCCTGGCCTCCCCAAACCTGGGGTGGGGTTAGGGAGGAGCAGAGGGCACCAGTGAACGGGTAGGAGGGCGAGCAAGGTCGGGTGGGCAGATGGCAGCTGGAAGCCCAAGGTCAGAGAGGCCAAGGGGCCTGCCTGAGGTCATGGGGCTGGAACCCAGGCCTCAGGCCTCCAGCGCAGCAGGTCGTGCGCAGTGGGAGGGGCTGTGGGCTAGTGGAGGGTGCAGGGAGACTGAGGCTAGGGACCCTGCCCTCCCAGCTCTGCTGCAGGGCCAGGCACATGGGTGGGGTTTGAAGGGGCAGCCAAGTGGGTGCTTTGGCCTGACCTTGGGGCTTGGGCCTGGTGGAAGGGACACAGCACAGCCTGCAGGCCGGTGGGGGTGGGAGGCTCCAGGTTCATATATGACAAAGCTTATCCATGACACACCCGCCTCCCAAACCACGGCACCTCTGCGGTGGTGAGCAGGGAGGGCCAGGGTGATCCCTGGCTGGCTCTGCATACCAAGGGCACGGTCACTTTCTGCCACGGAGGGTGGTGGTGAAAGCCCCATCCCTGTGGGGTGGTCATGCTGGGCACGACAGGCCTGTGAGGAAGCCAGGGATGGCGCTGTCTGCCGGGGTGGGGGCCCTGGCTTTCTATTGGAGGCCACGGGACCTCCAGGCCCCTGATATAGGCTGTGGTAGCCTGCCCATGTTGGAGGTGTGAGGGTGTTGTCCCCACTAATGAAGGTGACGGTCACATGATACATGACAGGTGACAATGAGTATAATAACAGTATCATCTGCCATCGGCTGGGCCCCAGGGGTCTCAGACAACTGCCATAGCAGCCCCCCAAGGGAGGCTCCATCATCCTCCTTCTTCAAGAGACCCCAGGAGCTGAGGAAATGAACCAGGTTCCAGAGTCTCAAAAACAAAAAAGGGAAAAAAAAAAGAAAACAGTCTTTTTTTTTAATTTTTTTTAAAGCAATGGTGTCGCTCTCCGTCCCACAGGCTGGAGTGCAGTGGTGCAATCTCGGCTCACTGCAACCTTAGCCTCCCAGGTTCAAGAGATTCTTCTGTCTCAGCCTCCCCAGGAGCTGGGACTGCAGGCTCTTGCCTCCACACCTGGCTGAGTTTTGTATTTTCAGTAGAGATGGGGTTTCACCATGGTAGCCAGGCTCGTCTTGAACTCCTGACCTCAGGCGATCCACCTGCCTTGGCCTCCCAAAATGCTGGGACTACAGGCGTGAGCCTCCGCGCCCAGCCTTACTTTTTCTTTTCCGTTGTGAGTGCCTTTCCTTTCTTTTTCTTGCTTAACTGGTCCGGCTGGAACCTCCAGTACCAACTGTGTTGAACAGGAGTGGCAAGAGTTCACACATTTTCTTGTTCTTGATCTCAGAGGAAAAGTTTTCAGTCTTTCACCACTGAATACGACGTTTGCTGTGTGCTTTTCATGGATGGTTTTTATCATGTTGAGGTAGTTTCCTTCTATTCATAGCTTGTTGAGCATTTCATGAAAGGGCATTGAATTTTGTCAAGTGCTTTTTCTTTTCTTTTCTCTTTTTTATTTGAGACTGCGTCTTGCTCTGTCGCCAGGCTGGAGTGCAATGGTGCAATCTCAGCTCACTGCAACATCTGTCTCCCTGGTTCAAGCGATCCTGTGCCTCAGCCTCCCAAGTAGCTGGGACTACAGGTGTGCATCACCACTCCTGGCTAATTTTTTGTATTTTAGTAGAGACAGGATTTCACCATGGCCAGGAAGGTCGATCTCCTGACCTTGTGATCTGCCCGCCTCAGCCTCCCAAAGTGCTGGGATTATAGACATGAGCCACTGGGCCCAGCCATCAAATGCTTTTTCTACCTCAGTTGAGTTGATCACATTTTCTGTTCTTCCTTCTGTGAATGTAGTATATCACACTGATCGAATTTTTTAGTTAACCCATCCTTGCATTCCACAAATAAATCCCACTTGATTATGGTGTATAAACCTTTCCATATGCTGCTGAATTCAACTTGCCTGCATTTGGTTGGGGATTTTTAAATCTGTGCTCATGAGGGATATTGGCTTATACTTTTCGTTCCTTGTAATCTCTTTGGCTTGGTATCAGGGTAATGCTGGCCTCAAGAGTGAGTTAGGAGTGGCTGAGTTCACTTGTTTGGGAAGGCTTGAGAAGAATTGGTGTTTGTTCTTTAAATGTTTGGTAGAATTCACTAGTGAAAATAGCATGTCCTGGGAGGCTGGCCAGGGTGTTTGATAAACCAGCAGAAGACACGGGACAACCTGGCTTCCTCCAGTGACTGGCCAGGCCTCGGTAGCCATCTGTACCCAGGTCACTACAGGGGCCAGAGAGCCATGCGAGGGCCTGCTCATGAAGCCCCTAAAATAAGGGCCCTGGAAGGAGAGGGCATCTCTGTGAGGCAGGTGGCTTCTGTGGGCACCTCTCACTGGGCAGGGCCCTAGTAGGGCTGTCACCAGCGTAAGACCAGAACAGGGACACGTCACTTAGGACCTGCCCCAGCCACGGCCGGTCTGAAAGGATACGCTTCACTGTTCATTTGTTTTCTGATACCCCGATAACGACAGTGAGAAGGTCTCATGCTGCCTCTTCTCCACCCTGAAACCACAGGCTTTTCTTCGTGCTGGTTTCTGCCCCTCTGGTTCTTACGTGGAGCTGATGTGACCTCGGTATCCGATTTCTTGGTGTCATATTTTATCACATGACTCTACAACGCTGCAGTTACCATGGAAGACAGCTCCGTGTTGTGCCTGGGAGCTGACGACATTCAGGCAACATTTTTTTTTTTGAGATGGAGTCTCAACCCAGACTGGAGTGCAGTGGCATGATTTCAGCTCACTGCAACCTGCACCTCTCAGGTTCAAGTGATTCTCATGCCTCAGCCTCCTGAGTAGCTGGGATTATAGGCCCCCACCACCACTCCTGGCTCATTTTTGTATTTTTAGTAGAGACAGAGTTTCACCATGTTGCCCAGGCTGGTCTTGAACTCCTGACCACAAGTGATCCTCCTGCCTTGGCCTCCCAAAGTGCTGGGTTTACAGGTATGAGCCACCACACCCTGCCCCAGCAACTTTCTTGGCTGGCTGTCTGCTGCTGGACCCAGACAGAGAAGCATCAGCGTTTTTTGCATTACAGATAATGTTGCAATGAGTGTCTTTGTCCAAGAACCCCCTCGGTTTCCTTGGCTATGTTCACAGTAGTGGAATGAGCGGGTCAGAGTGGAAGAGTCCACGATCCTGCCATAGTCTTCTCCGTGGGGTTCACCCTGTAGCATTCCCACCATGCCATGCTGTCCCGTGTACCCCACCCTACATATGACACTAACATGGCAGTCTGTCCCCAGCAAGCAGCCCGGACCTCAGGGCACGGCTGGATAAACACCATATGGTCCGTCCACGCAATGGAATGTAACTCAGCTGCAGAAAGGCATGGGGCACTGGCAGGCCAGAGTGAGGAGGAACCTCGGGAACATCCCAGTGAGTGGGGCGTGCGTGGCAGAGAGACATCCCACATACTGTGTAATTCCATTTTATGAAATGTTGGAATGGGGCCAGTCCACGGGGACCGAACACAGCGGTGGGGGCCCAGGAGAAGGGAGCGGGCAGGCGTCATCTGATGGGCACAGGGCTGCCTCTCGGGATTGTGACAATTTTTTGGATCCAGATGGGGGCGCAGCATTGTGAATTCAAATGCTACTGAATTGTTCACTGACAATTAATTTTATGTTATGTGAATTTTTTTCAATGAAAAGGAACTATGTGGAGTGGGAAATCATGTTTTTAATAAAACGAGACCCAAAGAAACCAGTACCTGGAAGCTTCTGCAGTGTGAGCGGCCAGGCTGTGAGCCCACCACTGGCCTGCCTGGGCCACGAGGGCATGGGGAGCCTGGCCTGGGATCTCCAGGAGGGTGGCGGGTGGGCTGGCGGATGCGGTGTTCTCCAAAGCTCCCGGAACCAGCACCTGCCCCAAGCTGACAGATGGCCTGTCCCCTGGGGGGCCCTTTCGGCTTCATTTCTGTTCAGAGCCGCCCCTCCTGGCCTCTAGCCCTGGCCCCAGCTCACTGGCCCCCACCGAGGGCTACACTGGCCTGGAAGGGCCTCAAGGACCAACTCATAGCTCTGGGGGACAGTATTGTGCTCCCTGTCCCAGCACTGGACAGGCACTGCCCCTTGGGGAGGCTCAGATCTCACCCCTCAGGGTTGGCACTGCTCACCTCCCTGCCTGGAACAACTGTGGGGCAAGGGGGAGGCCAGGGCTGGAGGCCAAGAGGCCCCAGCTGCCCTTCCTGCCTGAGGGTCGTGCTGCCTCTGCCTGGAAGGGCACCCGGCTCTATTTCCTCCCGGGTGCCTGGGGGTACAGGGCTGGGGCTGGAGGGGCCCAAGCACCCTAAGATGCCTCTAAGAGGGCCAAGATGGCGGAGGGGGATGTGGCAGAATGGGGGTGCCCACTGCAGGGTGAGGTCAGCCAGGCAGGGGTATCCTTGGGGCTCTGCAGTGCCTCCCAAGGTGCCCAGCAGGTGGGTTTGGGTGCTGAGTCTGGGCAGCTGCACTTGCGGAAACACTATTATAACTGGCTAATTGGGATTCAGATGTCTGCAGGAGGAATCTGGGAAGACGCTGACCTTGTCCTCACAGCTGCATGTTACCCACCTTACCTCACTCCTCCCTCCCACGCCCTGAACGTCCGTCTGGGGTTGAATTGTGTCCCCCAAAATATGTCCAGTCCTGACCTTACACACATGGACACACACCTACACACACTACACATATGCACACACACATGCCAGCACACACACATGCCAACACACACATACACACATACCAACACACACCTATACATAGGCACACAAACATGCACACACCTACACATATGTACACATACCACCACATACCTACACATATGCACACACATGCCAGCACACATGTGCACACACCAACACACACCTACACAGGCACACACATACACATGCCGACACACAGGCACACACATGCACACATACCAACACAAACCTACACATATGTACGCCTGCACACCTACACATATGCACACACATATGCACACACATTAACACACACCTACACATGTACACACATACGTGCCAACACACATGCACACACATGCCAACACACACATACCAACACACCTACACATAGGCACACACATGCAGACCCATAACACCCACACCTACACATATGCACACATTCATACCAACACACACCTACACATAGGCACACACATGCATATACCAACACATACCTACACATGCACACACATGCCAACACGCATGCACACATAACACCTACACATAGGCACACACATGCACATACCAACACACCTACATATAGGTACACACATACATGCCAACACACACCTACACATATGCACACACATGCAGACACATACAAACACATGCACCTACACATGCAGGCATTCATACCAACACACACCTACACGTATGCACACACATGCATACCAACACACAGCACATATGCACACATACATCTCAACACACAACTACATATATGCACACACATGCACAAATATCAACACACATGCACACACATCACACCTACACATAGGCACACACATGAGCACACATACCAACACCTACACATAGGCACACACATGCACATTTATACCAGCACACACCTACACATAGGCACACATATACATACCAACACACATACCAACACATGCACACACATCGACATGCGCACACATGCACACACATACCAACACACACACCTACACATCGGCACACATGCATACATAGCAACACACACCTACACATATACCAACACACCTACACATGCACACACATACACCTACACATATGTACAACACACACGCACACACACCTACATACAGACATGCCTACATATATGAAACACACATGCACACACTAACACACACCTACATACATGCAGCCACACATGCATACATACTGACACACACCTACACATGTGCACACACCTACATACCAAGACATACCTACACAGGCACACACATACCAACACACACCTACATATATGCAGCCACACACACACACAAACACACACCTACACACATGCAGATACACAAATGCACACACAGACACCTTCACATGTGCATAGACACAAACACACACACATAAACTACATGTTGATGCAGGCAGAGGTTGGGTCCGTGCAGCCACCAGCACAGGACCGCCTAGGGCCACCAGCAGCTACATGGGGCAGGAAGGATCCTCCGACACCTGGATCTCAGACTTCTGCCTCCAGAGCTGAGAGCATCCCTTTCTGGGGTTTGAAGCCCTCAGTGTGTGGTCCTTTTTGCTGACAGGCCCCGGACACTCCTGCAGCCCCTCCCCAGAGCCCTGCCTTGCTGTTTCTTTCCCTCCCTCCCACCTGTCCTCCCCCTGACCCGGGTCCACCCCTCCCTGCTGACCCCTTCCGGAGCCTCCGGGTCTCAGTATGTAGAAGGGGACCCTGTGGAGTCACCCCACGCAGTGAGGACCCTGTGGAAAGCAAAGAAGGCTCCCTGGCATGCCTAGTAAGTGACCTTCACTGTTCCCTGAGGCTGGGAAGACCCAGGAGGGGGACAGAGCCGGTGCTCCCTGCAGGCAGGGTGGCTCCCATGTCCCCTGCATTGGGACAACAGGACTGCCCTTTCTCAGCCTCGGGCTCTGAGACGGCTTGCGTGGCTCTCGACTCAGTTCATAGCTGGGATACTGTGCTTGTCATGGATTTCTAAAATAAATTTTGGGGCCGGGCGTGGTGGTTCATGCCTGTAATCCCAGCACTTTGGGAGGCCAAGGCGGGCAGATCAGGAGGTCAGGAGTTCAAGACCAGCTTGGCCAATATGGTGAAACCGCATTTCTACTAAAAATACAAAAATTAGTGGGGCATGGTAGCACATGCCTGTAGTCCCAGCTACTTGGGAGGCTGAGGCAGAAGAATCACTGGAACTCGGGAGGCAGAGGTTGCAGTGAGCTGAGATCACGCCACTGCACTCCAGCCCGGAGACAGAGCGAGACTCCTTGGGAAAAAAAAATAATAATTTTGTTGTATTAAGCCAGGTGCAGTGGCTCATGCCTGCAATTCCAGCTACTGTGGAGGGCAAGACGGGAGGATCACTGGGCCCCAGAGTTGGAGCCCAGCCTGGGCAACATAGTGAGACCCCATCTCAAAAATCAAGTAAAATTAGGGCTGGACATGGTGGCTAATGCCTGTAATCCCAGTACTTTGGGAGGTCCAGGTGGGTGGATCACTGATCACCTGAGCTTGGGAGTTCAAGACCAGCCTGGGCAACATGGTGAAGCCCTATCTCTACAAAAAAATACAAAAATTAGCTGGGTGTTTTCTCGGGGAGCTGTACTCCCAGCTGCTCAGAAGGCTGAAGTGGGAGGATGGCTTGAACCCAGGAGTCAGTGTTCTCACCACTGCACTCCAGCCTGGGCAGCAGAGTAAGACCCTATCTCAAAATAATAATAATAATAATAATAATAATAATAATAATAGTTGGGCTGAGTGCGGTGGCTCACGCCTGTAATCCCAGGACTTTGGGAGGCTGAGGCAGGTGGATCAAGAGGTCAGGAGTTCAAAACAAGCCTGACCAATATGGTGAAACCCCGTCTCTACTAAAAATACAAAAATTAGTTGGGTGTGGTGGCACACGCCTGTGATCCCAGGTACTCAGGAGGCTGAGGCAGGAGAATTGCTTGAACCCAGGAGGTGGAGGTTGCAGTGAGCCGAGATTTCACCACTGCACTCCAGCCTGGGCGACAGAGGGAGACTCTGTCTCAAAAATAAATAAATGGCCGGGCATGGTGGCTCACACCTGTAATCCCAGCACTTTGGGAGGCTGAGGCGGGTGGATCACGAGGTCAAGAGATCGAGACCATCCTGGTCAACATGGTGAAACCCCGTCTCTACTAAAAATACAAAAAATTAGCTGGGCATGGTGGCGCATGCCTGTAATCCCAGCTACTCAGGAGGCTGAGGCAGGAGAACTGCCTGAACCCAGGAGGCGGAGGTTGCGGTGAGCCGAGATCGCGCCATTGCACTCCAGCCTGGGTAACAAGAGCGAAACTCCGTTTCAAAAAAATAAATAAATAAAAATAATTGATAAAATTAAAATATTGTATTAAAATCTTAGTTACCTTGATTACTGCTTGTTTTTAACAATGTTATTGAGATATGAATCATATGCCATGAAATTCACCACTTTAAAGGGTACAACTTAGTGTTTTTGAGTCTTCACAGGGTGGGCAGCCATCACCTCTAATTCAGGACGTTTTTCTTCCCCAGGAAGATGCCCTGCACCCCTCTGCATCACCCCCACTTGCCCTTCCCTCGGCTCTGGCCCTCCCCCTGTGCTCGGTCTCGTGGATCTGTCTGTTCTGGATGTTTTATACAAGTGGAGTCACACACTCTGTGGCCTCTTGCGTCTTTCACTGAGCATGACATTTTTGTGTGTCATCGTGTGTCAGAGCTTTGGTCCAGTGCATGGACAGATTCCATCCTGCCAATGGTTCCTCTGTAGATGGGCATAACTGCTGAGTTTTTGGGTGTCCCTTAAACTTTGCTCCTGAAGTGGATGCCTCACCCTAGTGTCTGGTCCCCAGACCCCCAGGCCCAGGCTCCCTCTTGCCCTTGCCCCCTCTTCCCTGCCACACCTGGGCTTTCTGCCTGGCCTCTTGGCCTTTTTCCTCTTGAATGGGCAATGCCTCTGCACGGACACTCTCCCAGCCAGTCTGGGCTCCTGGGTCAGCTCCTTCTGGGGTCTGGAGGGTTCCAGAGCAGAGATCAGGCCTTCCCTCAGGCCAGGGGATAGGGAATGGGTATGTCTTCAGGGACCTCTTACCTAGAGGTGCTCACTGACCCTGTCCCCGCATGGGCAAAGGCCAGACCTGGGAGCACCTCTCAAGTCGTGGTCAGAGAAAGCATTCGAACTCCTGGTTCCAGGGACATCTCAGGACCCCGTGCACCCTGGAGAAGGAGTTTCACTGGCCACGTGGGGTGGAGTGCTGGCCTGGAGCCCAGGGGCAGTTCCTCCCATGTCCTGCCTGGACCCCCAAGAGGATCCACAGTTTGAAGGCCCTGGGCTGTGGCCAGCTGCAAGTATACACGTGTGTTTTCACAGGCAAATCTGAAAGCAGCCAGCCATTGGTCACAGCAATCTCTCTGGCCCTGGTCATTGAGGCAGGGCCACTGTGGACACAGAAGTTCTGGGAACTCTCTCCAAGTGCCAACCAGCAACCACCTAGGGCCACGGGCCATCTTCCCCTGCCTAAGTCCGCGTATCTGGTCTGGGGTACCTTCCAGCCCGGGCAGAGGAGGGCATTCCCCCCTTGGCTGGGAGGGGCCCTGACAGGGGACCCATCGTGGAGACTCAGCCCCCACACCATGCCCACTGTCCCTCATACTGGGCACTCTAGGATCACAGCCTGCTGGTACCAACCATCCCTGCCACTGGGTGGGCACTGGTCCTTCTAGTCCCTGGGACTCCCTGAAGGCACAGACTGAATGAGGTGGCCCGGGGCCTCTGAGCGCCTTCTGCAGGCAAGGTCGCCATCAACCACTCTACCCACCAGGCTCCTTCACCCACAATGGCAGCCTGGGGGCACAGCCCCTTAGAGCCTCAGCTGGTCACACCATCAGGGCCAGGAAGAAGGCCCTGGTGCTCTGTCTCCTGCCCCAGGCGGGGTTGGTGTCTGGCCTCCTACAGCCAGGAACCCCGAAGGTCTGAGGTGACGGTGGAGGCCTCTTGCTTTGCCTGTTGGGAGGAAACTTCCTACATGAGAGACGCCTTAGGAAAGGAAGGGCAGGTCCTGGCATCCATCCATCTGCCCCGTGGTGCAAGCATCCTGTCTGGGTCCCTGCAGGCCCCTCTGTCGGGAGCAGGCTCCTTCCTCTCCCCAAGGCCTAAGAGCCCTGCTTGAGTGGATGCCTCTCACCTGCTCCACAGGCCCCTCCCCCAGCTGGGCCCTGCCAGGGGCTTAGCCATCTGGTCCAAGAATGAGTGAGTGAATGAATGAATGAGTGGAGGAGGTCGCATCAAGTTCAACTGTCCTAGTCTCTAGGACACTTTTTTTGAGACAAGATCTCACTGTCACCCAGGCTGGAGTGCAGTGGCTCCATCTTGGCTCACTGCAGCTTCGAACTCCCAGGCTCAAGTCATCCTCCCACCTCAGCCTCCCAAGTAGCTGGGACTACAGGTTAGCGCCACCATGCCTGGCTCATTTTTGTAATTTTTGGAGCAAAATGATCTTGCTATGTAGCCTAGGCTGGTCTGGAACTCCTGAGCTCAAGCCATCCACCTGCCTTGTGTGAGCCTCGGGGACTGGCCTCCACTGCACTTTAACTCTCCCCACTCCCATTCCCACAGGAGCGGGCTGGGGGGGACCCTGCCCCGCCCCAACCCTGCAAGATGGCGTTGCCTGGCCGTGGGGAGATGGGGGAATGGGGGATGCTGGGAGTAACACAGGGGAAGGGGTGGCCCCTCTGTGCCCAGGCCAACCTGCTGCCCTAAGCACCTGGCACAGTCCTGGCCTAGGAGAGTCAGCCAACTTCCTTCTTCATGGCTGTCGCAGCGTGGCACAGGAGCAGACTGTGTGCATAAAGCCAGCCCTCCACTTTGCCAGCACAGGGTATGGGGTGGGGGGATGGTTGCCAGCCTTGAAACCTGCAAGTGAGGCCAGGGCCGCTGAGCACCAAGCCCCGCCCCGGGTGTGCTCCCAGGTCTCCCACCTGTCTCCCTGCACTTCCCACCTAGGAGCACCTCCTCCCCTGCCCCAGCATTCCCTCCAGACCCACTCATGACTTATGTCCCCCTGACAGCCTCCGTGCCCCTCTCAGTCACAGGCTTCTGTGCTCCCCACTCCCGACCATCCCCCCCATGGCATTCACTCCCTCCAAGCACCCCACTCCTCCCTGCCCTCCATGCCCCCCTCCGTGTCCTCCCTTGTACCCCGTCCATGTCCCCACACTCCAAGCCCCCCACTCCATGCCCCCCACTCCATGTCCCCGTGTCCTTCTCCGTACCCCCTCTCTGTGTCCCCCCCATACCCCCCATGTCCCCCTCTGTGCCCCTCTCCGTGCCCCCCTCCGTGGCCCCTCCGTACCCCCTCCATGCCCCCGTGTCCCCCTCTGTGCCCCTCCGTGCCCCCCTCCATGCCCCCTCTGTACCCCCTCCAGGCCCCCCTCTGTGTCCCCCTCCATGCCCCCCTCCGTACCCCCCTCCATGCCCCCGCCGTGTCCCCCCTCCGTACCCCCCTCCATGCCCCCCGTGTCCCCCATCCGTACCCCCTCTGTGCCCCCCCATGCCACCCCGGCAGCGGAGGAGTGCCTCCCTCCGCGCGGCTCTGCGCGCTCCCGCTGGCGTTTTCGGACTGCACCAGCGGAGCCCCGCGGCGCCAGGGCCGGGCGGAGCGCCTCGTCTGTCGCCGCCGCCCCCACCGGTGCGGGCGCTGCGGCTGCGGCGGGGGCGCGGGGCGCGGGGGCCGGCGCGCTCCGCACCTGCGGCGGCCGCTGGGTGATGCCGCGGCGCGGGCCGGGGCCGCGGGCGTCCTGAGCGCAGCGCCCGCCCGCCCGGGATGCCCGCCGGCCGCTGGCCCGGCCATGTCGTCGTCCTTCTTCAACCCCAGCTTCGCCTTCAGCTCGCACTTCGATCCCGGTGAGTCCCGGCGGCCCGGCCTGCGCGCGCTGCCTCACTCCGTCCCTCCCCCGCCGCCGACGCGCCGCCGGCCCCGCTCCGGGTTCGCCAGGAAATTAACCCTTTCCCCGCCCCGAGCCCAGCCGCGGAGGGAGCCGGACCCCCTGGCGGCCCCGAGCCCGGAGGGGCAGGTCCTGGGCCCCAGCGCGCACCGGCCTCCTCCTGCGGGCTGTCGTCCCCCGCGCGGTCGTGACGCCGTGGCTGCCTCCCGGGCACAGGTAACTGGGGCACGGAGGGCCTGCGCGGGCCCCGGGGGGGCCAGGAGAGGAGGTCTAGGGACTTAGGGCCCTTGGGGGTGTGGGGGGTGTCAGCCAGCTGGGGCTCAGGCTTGTCATGGCCTCTCCTGGGTCAGGGCCTTGGCGTGGGAGGCTCCTTCCCAGGATGGGAGCGGTTCTCGGAGCTCTGCCGAGCCACCAGCAGCCGGCAGGGGATGCGTGGGGAGCAGGGGCCAGTCCACATGACAGAGCCAATGGGCAGAGACTCAGAAGAGATGGGCCTTGGTGGGTGCCCAGACCCCTTGACAGTGGGGGCCTGAGGTGACACTGTCAAGCTGGCTGCAGGGGACCTGGGCAGGCCTCTTACCCCCTATGGCCAGTGCACCAGGCAGGGCATGATTGCCCACGGATGCCTGGCCTCCTGGCTGCAGTGGGCAGCTGGGATGGGCAGAGGGGGCTGAGGACAGCTGGAAGCCCCATCTGTCATCAGGAGGCCATGGGCTTTCTTCCCCCTGCTTCTCCAGATCTGGCCCCTGCTTGTCCTGAGTGGGAGATAACCCCCCCACCCCATGCCATCCATGCCCCAGGGCCAAGGCCCACCCACACATCCCTGGGGCTCTGGCACAAGGCTGAGCCAGCCCAAACAAAGCGTGTTTGCCTGTGACTCGCTCTCCTGTGTGTCCCTCCTGGAGCGGGGCCGGTGCACACAGCGTGGCAGGGATGCAGGGGGTTCCGCTGGGCCCGTCTGGGTCTGAAGGCATGTCCCCTGGGGGGAACGGGAGCCAGTGGGAGGTCTGTCTGTTGGGCTTAGGGCTGTGGGCGTCACTTGCTCACAAATGACTTCCTGCAGTGACCCCTGGGGCTCAGAAGTCCCTGTGTGGTGAGCAGGCAAAGGCCCAGAGCCCAGCAGCGTAGAGGCCCAACGGCAGGGGGTGGAGGAGGCTCAGGGCCGGTCCCCATGGCATCTCCATACCAGGCGTGGCCCAGGGTGCTTGGTTCTTTCTGCCCCCAGAACAGAGGGGACTCTTGGCCCACACCCTGCTTTGGGGCCCAGCCTTGCCCTTCACCCCGAGGGGCCCCTTCTCCCGCCCTCTAGCAGCACCAGCTCTGCCCTTCCCTAGGTAAACAGCCGTGATCTGAGCAACTCTAATGTGTCCGTTTAATGACTTAGAGAAGTTGGCGGCAAGGGGTGTCTCTCCTCTGCAAGACGCTGGGCTACAGCTGCAGGCACCTGCTGGGCTCCAGGTCCCATGGCCAGGAGGGGCTGCCCAAGGTGCTGGTGCCGGGAGTGGGGGGGAAGAGAACCCTCCTTTGGATTAAGGGGTTGGGTCTAGGCTCTGCAGCAGCCCCCATGAGGGTTAGAGAGGCGGGGGGGGGGCTCCCTCTGCCTGGCCTTGCCTGTGAGCCTCGGTTTTCCCATCTGTAGCATGGGCTGTCGGTGCCTGTGGCAGGCTGGGGTGGGCTCAGTGCTTGGTGAGCACTTGGCTCTCTGTGCTGGAGGTGGTGGTGCTGGGACAGAGACCCCCAGGCCCCGGGCTTCCTGCAGCACGAGGCCGGCTCCTCACCATCTCCAAAATGGAGTGAGCTGGTTCTTTCAGAAGCTGCTTGAGTCTGTGGGGACGCCCAGAGGGGAGGGGCCTGCGCCCATGGCTCTGGCAGTTGGCTTGTGTGTCACTCAGCATCTGGTGCAGTGCCAGCACCTGGGCGTGGGGTCTCGCTGTGTTCGCCAGCTCCTGCCCTGCTGCTGGACCAGCTCCTTGTTCATCGCAGGAACTGGTGCCAGTCTCCACAGAAGTGACAGCCGTCGTCGGGGTACGGGGGCAGAGACGCCCAAGAGTGCAGGGCCTGAGCTAGAGTGGAGGCTGTGGGCACAGACTGTGGGCTGCCTGGGCCCCTGACCCTCCACACCAGGTGGATGCAGGCAGGGCAGGGGCAGAGGGCACCTGGTCTAGGAGCCTGCTTGAGTGCTGGGAAGAGCCACTTCCTCTGGGGCCCAGCTCTTCCCCCAGTTCCCTGGACTCAGGAGCTTGTGTGAGTGACCCTGAGGATTTCTTGGCAGCTGCAGCCCTCCAGCCTCTGTGCTGTGTGGCCTTGGGCTACTCACCCAAGCTCTCTGAGATCTGCTCTGCATAAGTGAAAGCTCGCTCTGGGGAGACTAGGGTGGGCAGGGGGGTCAGGAAAGACAGGATGATGAAGATGACACGTGGGCAGGATGGCTGGGTCCAGGCTGGCAGGAAGGGGGTGGCATGGCCTCGAGCAAGTGGGGGTCACTCCTTCTACGTGAGTGCCCCAAGGGATGGGGCTGACCTTGTTGCTCCCCAGCCTTCACCCACCCAGGTGTGGCCTCAGGTCACCGTGATTTCCACCATCCTGAGCCCTGGGGCCTGGCGTTGTCCTACGCTGGGAGTGGGCATGGGACACCACCTCGCTCTGGCTTCTGGAGGGGCATGCTCAGCCTGGAGGGGGGGGCCACATGCTCTACTCCATTAGGAACAGGGGTTTTCCCTGGGGCCACCTCTGGTTTGCTGATGGGCCCTTCTGTGACTGCCTCTCCATGCCTGCTTTGCTACCTGTAAGTTGGGAATGGCTGTGATGTTCAGGTCCGAGGGGACAGCAGTGGTGTCTGTCAAGGCTGACCCCTGGCACAGAGCTGTCACTGTTGACCAGTGGGAAGGGCCTGGAGTTTGTAGAAGCTCCCGTAGGACATGACACCCTGGATTCACCATCTTCCCACCCCCACCTCTCTGCCGTCCCTCGGCTCACATCCTGTCCCCTGCTCAAGGCCTCTCCCTGTATCTGGCCCAAACCAGGCACCATGGGGGGTTTATGGGAGAAGAGCCTGTGGCTGGCCATGGTGCTCACTCACCCAGAATTCATGTGAACCGGACACTGCACAAGCGCTGGGTGCGCTGGGCCTCGGGATGATCGCGTCATTGGGGAGAGAGCAGAGGAGGCGGTCAGCCCCGGGCCAGGCACAGCTTCAGTGGCAGGGACAGGGTTGGACTCGGGGTCAAGGGCTGAGCAGGAGGCATGGGTCTGGGTGGTCCCCAGAGTACTGCCCTGGGAAGGTGCCCCACAGTTGACGCTGCCCGGGCGCCAGGTGTGGGGTCTGGGTGAGGGCAGCTGCTGCTCCAGCCTCCCAGACCACTCCGGCTCAGGCAGCCAGCACCTGCCCTTCGAGCAGTTACCTGTCCTCCTCTGGCCCCGTGGGGTCTCAGAGGATGGCCAGGGGAGGCTGTGCCTTTAGGGGTGGGCCTGTCCCTGCCCTTCCTCTCAGGTCTCCCGCCGAGACCGTTATGCTGCGGATGTGCAGGCGGAGGTGGGTTCTTGGAGAGGGTCCCATGGGAAATCTGTGTGGACAGTGGCCCTGGGGAGTGGTCACACGCAGGCCGTGGGCCCTGGGCATAGGTCTGGCTCCCACCTGCCATCTTGGGTGCAGGCACTGGGGGAGGGTGTGGGTATGAGGCCCCAGATCCCCAGGTGTGGGTCAGAGAGACCATCTCCATCATTCTGACACATTCTCCAGGAGGCCAGACTATGTGCTTCCCTCCATGGGACGGCACGGTGACCCAGAGGACTGGTCTGAGCCCTGGGTGCGCCAGAAGAAGTCGCCCCTGCTGGGGGTTCAGGCCCAGCACCTGCCCCTGCTGTGGCTGCCCTGTGGGCCCGAGTGCCCCAGAGCTGGCTGAGGTGGGCTGGCAGCCACTGTGTTGTGTGGAACGTGCTGGAAGGTCCGCCTCGTGCCATCCTGCATGTTTAGGCTGCATGGACTCCCCACCAAGCCCGCTGCCACCCTGGCTCCCAGCCCTGACCCTACCTTGTGGGAGAGTGCCGCTGTGGGCTGGTGTCTGGGGCCAGGCCCTGCTGCGTGACCATGGACAGGCGTCCCAACAGCTCCGTGTCTGTTTCACCTCTGAAACGGGGTCCAGCAGCACCCACTCTCCTGGAGGCTCCTGAGAGAACATAGGGGCTGTCACGGCAGGTCCAGGGCCAGTGCCTGCTCACGTCCTCTCTGCAATCACTGGCCACCCTGGCCGCCTGGGAAATGCGCTCCTGCCTGTGCCCCCTGGAGTCACATGCTGAGTGGAATATGTCACCCCAAGCCCACGGCCACCCAGAACCTCCAAATGGGGTCTTATTCGAAAATAGTGTCTTCACAGCTGTGATCAATTCAGATGAAGTCAGACTGCAGAGGGTGGGCCTGATTAAAGGAGGCGGCGTGGTGCTCGTGGGAGGGAGGCCACGGCTGAGGCTGGAGAGATGTGAGCCCAGGAGCACCTGGTGCCGCTGAGCCGGGGGGCAGGAAGGACCTCGTCAGTGCCTCAGGGGAGTGGCCTGCCCATGCCGCTCTCCTCCTCCGTCCTCAGGAACTGAGCATCTCCGTTCCTTGCTGTCTGGGCCAGCAGCCCATGGTCCCAGGACACGCATCTAGGGGTCTCCTTGGGTCTGAGGGGCAAGCACAGCTGCCTCAAGGTGTCAGGAACCTCTGACTATACCTAGGAAGAGTTATCCTTGGAAGAAAACGAGGGCACGTGCTGGCCCAGCCTCAGAACCCGCCACGGTGCCCGACTGGCAGGCTGGTCCTCTGCCTCCTCCTCTGTCCACGAGGGAGGCGGAGGGTCCATGGCACGCCCCAGTGTCTGCTCGGACCTGGCGTGTGACGGCGAGCCTGGGACTCTGACGTTCCTGCTGCCACCAGCCTCCCATCTCCAGCTCACAGGATTCTTCTGGGATGGGCCTTTCTCATGGGCCACCTGACCCCTCTGCAACCCAAGGTGAGGCTGATGGGAGGCCCACTCAGCTACTCCCTCGTGGGAGCCTGATGCAGAGCGCCCCCTGTGGCACCCCGGCCTGCGTTCCTGTCCCTGGCGGCGTGTCCGTGAAGGAGAGACCACTGTCCCCTCTGCAGGTCACGGTGAGTGACAGGAGGGCTTGGGCGTCTGGGCCCTGCTGGGCCTGGCCCTGCAGTCCCTGCCTGCCTTTCACAGAGGAACTAGCGCCAGTGAGCGGGACCAGCAGCCTTGGCCTCCCCACCCCCCGCAGAGGAAGCCAGCAGAGGAAATGAGGGCAGCGGACGGGACCGGAGCCAGTTCCCATGCACCTCTGAGGACTGTCACGGGAGGCGGCGTCCTCCTGAGTCCCCAGCCTCTCTCCAAAGGGACCAGGGCCTGGGGTCAGGGGGCCAGGGCTGGGGTGGGCTGGAGTCCTCCCAGGGGTCACTCTGGGGTTGCAGCCGCAATCAGAGCCACGTGGGAGCAGTACCCAGAGCCCGGTAGGTGGGGGTTTCTGGGAGGATGCAGGCTGTGCTCCTGCTGCCAGCCCTGCGGTGGGTGGGGGGACTGTGGTCAGGAGACTCCTGTCCTTCAGGGACCCTGCCAGAGGCGGTGGCTGTGCTAGAGCAGGCAGGGCCTCTGCAGCGGATGATTCTGGGCAGTGGGGGCCAGATGCTCCCCTGAGCCAGGGCCACTTGAGGGCACCTCTTACGGTAGGCCAGGCTACCCGTCTCTCACCCTTGTGGAGGGTGTGGGGGTCCCTGCTGAGGGACAGGAGTCCAGCTTCCCCCACCTGCCAGGGTCCCCAGAAAGACTCCTCTCTGTACCTGGTGTCAGGCAGGCCTGGCCAGCTGGCCTGGGGGAGCCAGGTGGGGGGCAGGAGAGCCTGGTCCGGGATCAGGACTCTGCCGAGTCACCTCTGTGCCAAGGTCACGGTTTGAGGCTGTGTCTCGAAGTCGTTGTGGGAAGAAGCTGGGGACGCTGTCCTCTGTGTGAGGGTCCCTCTGACCAGGGCCTGGTGCTCAGTGGGGCCATCTTAGTGACTTTGATGGAGGAGCTTGGGCTCCCTTTGCACTTCGTCCTGTGGATTCTGCAGCTGGCTGTGCATGTTTAGGGTTTGGGCTTCTCGGTGAGGCCCATGTGGAAATTCCTCAAACCCCCTGGGAAAAAGGCGTCCGACTTCCTAGTGGTTGAGGCACACACAGGCACACTCTGGCCTCCGGGGGTGCTCCAGGGCTTCTCCCTAGTGGATTCACCCTAGAGCCCCCAAGAGCCCCCAGGACAACCACCCGGGCCATCACTCAGGCTGCTGGCGCCCTCCCAGCTGCTTTGCGCCGGGCATCTCCCTCGCTCTCTGTGAATGAGACTCCGTTTCGGGCTGTTCCGTGGGCTTCTGTCATGGGCATTCACGTGAGGGCCCCTTTGCTGAGGTAATTCACATACTGAGACCCTGCCCATGTCCGATGTGCAGCTTGGGGCTTTCCCGCATGTCCAAGGCTGTGCAGCCATCGCTCTGCAGCTTGGAGCATCCGTGCCCCTGACAGGAGACTTGTGCCATGATTATCACTCCCCATCCCCTGCCCCAGCCTTGGAAGCCACCCATCTGCTGCTGGTCTCTGGGCACTTGGCCTGGACATCTGTCTCATAAGCAGGGTCCTGTGGCCTTGGCCTCTTTGGGCCTGCAGTCTGGCTGTGTGTCTAGTGGCCCCAGGGATCAGGGGTGCTGGTGTGTGGCTGCAGTGGGCACTGTCCAGGGAGCTTCTAGGAGGTAGTGCCATTTTGCCCCTATCCCCATGGACAAGCACCTCCACAGCTTCTCCTCCTGCCAGGGTGGGTTGCTGTTTTTATAACACCAGGGCTTGTGAGCATGTGGGTGCTGCCCATGGTGATCTTGCCTGGCTTTCCCTGATGAAAGATGCCGCAAGTCTTTCCCACCCTTCCGAGCCCCTCGGGTGAGTGCCTATTTGAAGGCATTCTGTCCGTGGTTTGTGTCTGGCTTCGGGCAGCCCTGGCTGGCCTGTGACAGCCAGGCCCAGGGCGGTGGGCAGGTCCTGGGCACAAGGCCTCAGGTCTGTGCGTGGTGAGAGGTGGCCTGCTGCTTCACTTCCTGCAACCCTGCAGGGTTGATGCTAGCAGCTCCCACCTGGAAATGGACCGAGGTGGGAGCACGGGCGTCAGGGGCCGGCACATGCCCTACTTTCTTTCTCAGGGAGCTGGGTGCAGGTACTGACCAGCAGCCGCCAGCTCAGGCACCTTCTCTCCCTGGGAAGCTGCTTGGATTCCCTGTGGCCCAAAGGCAGGCATCCCTAAGAGCATTTCCTCGTCCTGGGGATGAATGATAGGGAGGACGGTCCTGCTCGGACCGTAGATCTGGAGGTCTGGGCTCTGCCCTGCCCTCTGTCATGGGTCTGGAGGGAATGGTGAGACGCTCAGCTGCTGCTGGAGCGTGAATGGGTGCGTCAGATTCTGTTTTATTTTTCCTTCTGTGACAGGCGGCCTTGCAAGTCCTGTCTAAAAATAACCACGGCCAGCCTGCATCCGTGATGCGTGGCCGCCCTGGCCGTGGACCTGCCCGTTTCCTCCTTGGCGAGCCTGCACCAGGCAGCCCTCTGCCACTGCCCAGCTGGCACTGAGGGAGGGACTCAGTCTGTGCAGGTCCCTTTGGAGCCAGCTGGATGCCGGGAGGCATCGGGGCCAGGCCTGAAGTGCACAGGAGGGTGGCCTCCCAGGAAGAGCGGGACTGCAGGCTGTGGTATGGGGGGACAGAGAGCGTGTGTTAAGGAGTGAAGAGCCGGGGCCATGACCAAATCTGGAGCCTGTCCCTTGGGGGCTACTCCACTGTCAGGGATCAGCGTCCTGGGGAACTGGGGGCATTCCAGGTGCCTGCCCACCCTTGGACCAGCCTTGGGGTGGACCTGGGCATCTGGTGCTGTTGGAGGCAAGGCTGGCCTGTGTCATGCCTCAGCAGATGGGACGTCCCTTTTGAGTGTCCAGCTGGTGGAACTCACTTCCGTCCCTGGGCCGGGCTGGGCACCCGTGTTTGATTGTGGGGCTGGCTGTTGAGGGGCAGGAGAGGCAGGCTTAGAGATGCTGGGGTGGCAACCCCCGGGGACGTGCAGGGGCCCTGCAGCAGAGAGAGGGGCAGGTCCCTGCACTGCCGGAGAGCTGGATGGTCCACCTCGAGGCTGCCAGCGTGTGCAGCAGGCGTGTGTATGGAGGGGTACATGTGCATGTGGGAGCACAAGCATCCCTGACAGGCGAACATGTGTGTATGCATGTGTGTGGGTGGGTGCAGTGAGCGAAGTGTTGGGGGGACCCAGCTGGGGCCTGTGGACCTCACCATGTCCTGGGCTGGAAGCTTACACTTTACGTGGCCTCTCCTAAAAATAACCATGGCTGGCCTGCATCCTTGTTATTACCAGGCATGGTGGTGCACACCTGTAGTCCCAGCTTCTCAGGAAGCTGAGGTGAGAGGATTGCTTGAGCCCAGGAGTTCGAGGCTGCAGTGAGCCGTGATGGTGTCACTGCACTCCAGCCTGGGTGACAGAGTGAGACCCCATATAAAAGGAAAATGATAAGTAAAGTGTATTAAAAAGGGAATTGCATAAACCCATGCTACTCTGGTCGGTGACCGTGTGTACCTGGCTACATCACTGCAGTTGTATGAAATACTGTGACAATGACCTCAGTCTCTTGACAACATCCATCAAAACCTCGCTGGTCACTGCCACTGATGCCGTCACCCACAGAGCCAGGATCTTGAGAATTTTACCTTGCCCAAATGCAAATGTATGAATGAGACATCTCTTCATTTATGGAGGAAGTTCAAGGTTTCCATGCACGGCACAGCACCATGATGATGCACATTCGCGGAGTCCAACACGCAGGAAGTGCATGGGAGGAACAAGAACCCTCTAGAGGTCCATGCAGTGTAGACTCCAGCACAGGAAATCACGCGGAAATGAAATGCAGAGCACAGCGGGCTGTAAAGAGCAATGCTGACCATTTACAGTACTGGGAAAGGCCGGTCATGGTGCCTCACACCTGTAATCCTGGCACTTTGGGAGGCCGAGGTGGGTGGATCCCCTGAGCTCAGGAATTTGAGACCCTTCTGGCCATCATGGTGAAACCCTGGCTCTACTAAAATACAAAAATTAGCCAGGTGTGGTGGCAGGTGCCTGTAGTCCCAGCTACTTGGGAGGTTGAGGCAGGAGAATTGCTTGAACCCGGGAGGCAGAGGTTGCAGTGAGCTGAGATTGTGTAACTGCACTTCATCTTGGGTGACCATGACACTCTGTCTCAAAAAAAAAAAAGGGAAAAAAATTAAAAAAACAAAATTCGATTCATGACAGGGGCAGGTGACTGGCAGTTGTCACAGAGATAGTCCCTAAGAGCTGGCCAGCTTTAGGACCATGTGTTGGCATTGAGCATTTCAACAAATAGCTGCTTGCTTTCTTGTAGGATGTGGCTCTCCTTAGAGAACACGCTCCAAGTGTTCCTCTTCTACGTGGCACTGCTCTCTTTTTTTAAGACAGAGTTTCTCTCTTCTTGCCCAGGATGGAGTGCAGTGGTGTGATCTTGGCTCACTGCAACCTCCGCTTCCTGGGTTCAAGTGATTCTCCTGCCTCAGCCTTCTGAGTAGCTGGGATTACAGGTGTGCACCACCTCACTGGGCTAATTTTTGTATTTTTAGTAGAGACAGGGTTTCACCATGTTGGCCAGGCTGGTCTCGAACTCCTGAGCTCAGGCAATCTGACTGCCTCAGCCTCCCAAAGTGCTGGGATCATGGGCGTGAGCCAGTGTTGCTGTTTTGAAATTGTTCTGTGATTCGGCTGTACCGTGTGAGCATTCCCATCAGATTCTCCTGTCTTTCATGCAGCGCTTTGAGTCGTTTGGGGTGTGGGAGGTCCATTTTCATGGGCCTCATACACAGACCGCGGATTTGGTGGAAATAGTGCTGGTGATAGAGCAGCAACACCATCACAAAGCGTCCTCTCATCCTACCACACACACGAGTCTTTCCGAACTGTTGGTAACTTCCCTGGCTTCTTAGGGCAAATGCAGCTGTTAATTCCCTGAGAGCTTTGGGGAAGGAACGCCCACGAAGGCAAATGACGCAGCTTTAAATGGAAGTTCTGGTCTC